ACTTGATTTTGCTTTGTTTGTAATTAATGTTTATTGCTTTATTGATATGCAAAGAAAATATTAAACTGTGGTTCTTTGTCCCAAACCTGTGTTTACTCAGTTTATACTTCTAACCAAGAACCAGTTAACATGTCTTGGGGCCCCTTACTGATTTCTGATTAGTGTAAAACAGATGCTTTCATTTTCACTGTATCTTTTCAGTTTTGGTTCGGGCCCCAAAAGAGAAAGCATCTAAGTATTCGCAACATAGTCCCTAAATAGAATAAGGAGCAATATATAGGGAGGATCGGGGGGGACTAGTAATGTTGATTAATCTGCATAATTTTCAAACAGGGTCACCTGACGTTTGCCTCATTGCATGGATCAGTGATCAACATTAAGTTTTAGTGTTAAGGTTCACTTGACAGATACTCTTATCAATAGGTCAACTACAAGAATGAGAATGGAAATGTGGAATGTGACATAGAGACAACAACCTAACCAAAGAGCAGAAAACAGGTTTCAGCTGGCCCTTAAACAAAAATGTTTCTCAGATACCAACAGCAAATAGGTCAAAACATTTGGTAAATGGCATGATTGCAAGGTGAACACATGGCCCCAGACCACAATTAATGATCCCGCTTTTCGTTGTCAACGAATATAGTTCCCTTTAATTAAAGTGTATTTTTTCTTTATTTTTTTAGCTCACCTGGCCCGAAGGGCCAAGTGAGCTTTTCTCATCACTTGGCGTCCGTCGTCCGTCGTCGGCGTTAACTTTTTACATTTTGAACTTCTTCTAGAGAACCACTGAATGGAATGAAACCAAACATGGCATGAATGTTCCTTTTGAGGTGCTGACCAAGTGTTGTTACTTTGTAGCCGATTCATCATCCAAGATGGCCGCCAGCGGGGGACTTAGTTTAACATAGGACCCTATGGGAAATGCATACAAATGACTTCTTTTAGAGAACCACTGAATGGAATGTAACAAAACATAGCATGAATGTTCCTTACAAGGTGCTGACCAAGTGTTGTTACTTTGTAGCTGTTCCATCATCCAAAATGGCCACCAGTGAGGGACTTAGTTTAACATAGGACCCTATGGGAAATGCATACAAATGACTTCTTTTAGAGAACCACTGAATGGAATGAAACAAAACATAGCATGAATGTTCATTAGGAGGTGCTGACCAAGTGTTGTTACTTTGTAGCTGATCCATCATCCAAGATGGCCGCCAGCGGAGGACTTAGTTTAACATAGGACCCTATGGGAAATGCATACAAATGACTTCTTTTAGAGAACCACTGAATGGAATGAAACAAAACATAGCATGAATGTTCCTTACAAGGTGCTGACCAAGTGTTGTTACTTTGTAGCTGTTCCATCATCCAAAATGGCCGCCAGTGAGGGACTTAGTTTAACATAGGACCCTATGGGAAATGCATACAAATGACTTCTTTTAGAGAACCACTGAATGGAATGAAACAAAACATAGCATGAATGTTCATTAGGAGGTGCTGACCAAGTGTTGTTACTTTGTAGCTGATCCATCATCCAAGATGGCCGCCAGCGGAGGACTTAGTTTAACATAGGACCCTATGGGAAATGCATACAAATGACTTCTGTTAGAGAACCACTGAATGGAATGAAACAAAACATAGCATGAATGTTCCTTACAAGGTGCTGACTAAGTGTTGTTACTTTGTAGCTGTTCCATCATCCAAAATGGCCGCCAGTGAGGGACTTAGTTTAACATAGGACCCTATGGGAAATGCATACAAATGACTTCTTTTAGAGAAGCACTGAATGGAATGAAACAAAACATAGCATGAATGTTCATTAGGAGGTGCTGACCAAGAGTTGTTACTTTGTAGCCGATCCATCATCCAAGATGGCCGCCAGCAGGGGACTTAGTTTAACATAGGACCCTATGGGAAATGCATACAAATGACTTCTTTTAGAGAACCACTGAATGGAATGTAACAAAACATAGCATGAATGTTCCTTACAAGGTGCTGACCAAGTGTTGTTACTTTGTAGTTGTTCCATCATCCAAAATTGCCGCCAGTGAGGGACTTAGTTTAACATAGGACCCTATGGGAAATACATACAAATGTCTTCTTTTATAGAACCACTGAACGGAATGAAACCAAACATGGTATGAATGTTCCTTATGAGGTGCTGACCGAGTGTTGTTACTTTGAAGCCGATCCATAATCCAAGATGGCCGCCAGCGGGGGACTTAGTTTAACATAGGACCCTATGGGAAATACATACAAATGTCTTCTTTTAGAGAACCACTGAATGGAATAAAACCAAACATGGTATGAATGTTCCTTATGAGGTGCTGACTGAGTGTTGTTACTTTGAAGCCGATCCATAATCCAAGATGGCCGCCAGCGGGGGACTTAGTTAAACATAGGACCCTATGGGAAATACATACAAATGTCTTCTTTTAGAGAACCACTGAATGCAATGAAACCAAACATTGCATGAATGTTTCTTATGAGGTGCTGACCGAGTGTTGTTACTTTGAAGCCGATCCATAATCCAAGATGGCCGCCAGCGGGGGACTTAGTTTAACATACCACCCTATGGGAAATACATACAAATGTCTTCTTTTAGAGAACCACTGAATGGAATGAAACCAAACATGGTATGAATGTTCTTTATGAGGTGCTGACCGAGTGTTGTTACTTTGAAGCCGATCCATAATCCAAGATGGATGCCAGCGGGGGACTTAGTTTAACATGGGACCCTATGGGAAATACATACAAATGTCTTCTTTTAGAGAACCACTTAATGCAATGAAACCAAACATGGCATGAATGTTCCTTATGAGGTCTTGACTAAGTGTTGTTACTTTGAAGCCGATCCATCATCCAAGATGGCCGCCAGAGAGGGACTTAGTTTAACATAGGACCCTATGGGAAATACATACAAATGTCTTCTTTTAGAGAACCACTGAATGCAATGAAACCAAACATGGCATGAATGTTCCTTATGAGGTGCTGACCAAGTGTTGTTACTTTGAAGCTGATCCATCATCCAAGATGGCAGCCAGCGGGGGACTTAGTTTAACATAGGACCCTATAGGAAATACATACAAATGTCTTCTTTTAGAGAACCACTGAATGCAATGAAACCAAACATGGCATGAATGTTCCTTATGAGGTGCTGACCAAGTGTTGTTACTTTGAAGCTGATCCATCATCCAAGATGGCAGCCAGCGGGGGACTTAGTTTAACATAGGACCCTATGGGAAATACATACAAATGTCTTCTTTTAGAGAACCACTGAATGCAATGAAACCAAACATGGCATGAATGTTCCTTATGAGGTGCTGACTAAGTGTTGTTACTATGAAGCCGATCCATAATCTAAGATGGCCGCCAGCGGAGGACTTAGTTTAACATAGGACCCTATGAGAAATACGTACAAATGTTTTCTTTTAGAGAACCATTGAATGGAATGAAACCAAACATGGCATGCATGTTCCTTTTGAGGTGCTGACCAAGTGTTGTTACTTTGAAGCTGATCCTTCATCCATGATGGCTGCCAGATGGGGACAATGTTTAACAAAGGACCCTATGGATGATACATACAAATGTCTTCTTTTAGAGAACCACATACTGAATAGATTGAAACCAAACATGGCATGAATGTTCCTTATGAGGTGCTGACTAAGTTTTGTTACTTTGAAGCTGATCCTTCATCCATGATGGCCGCCAATAGGGGGACTTCCTTTAACATAAGACCCTATGGGAAATACATACAAATGCTTCTTCTAGAGGTGCACTGAATGGAATGAAACCAAAACATGGCATAAATGTTTCTTATGAGGTGCTGATTAAGTGTTGCTACTTTGTTGCCGATTTACTGTTCAAGATGGCTGCAAGGATTTTTTATTAAATTACAGGACCAATATTAAACCAAATTTAGCCTCACTCATTATTAGGGTATCTGTTATGATTTTAATCTATTTTTACATGATTTCCAAAACCAAAGTAGAATCAGGTGAGCGACACAGGCTCTTGAGAGCCTCTAGTTTCTTTCCTTTTCTCATACATTTCTTAGTCTTTATAAGGTGGAAATGAAAGAAGGGAGCTGAAATAAATTTTTGGATGTGTTATTTTAACTGATTTTGATATGGAAAGAGTGATTAGGCCAGGTGCAAAAAGGTAATATTTACAGTTTTTGGGACATCTCTTGACTTGTCCATAGGGGTATGGATGTGTATTGGCTAAATTTGTAAGATGTAAACGTTCAATATTTCTGAAACTTGGATATATTTTTGGACTTGTACTGTACATTACACACACAAAAGATTTGACAAAAAAAACAGGTTATTTTTTTTTAATGCGACACAACGTTATAAAGAACTAATAGGGGGAATTAATTGTGGTCTGTGGCCACATCCATCTCTCTGGGCTCATCTGACCTTTACCTCATTTTAATGAATGTAAAGTTTATGCGATAAAACCTTTATCTCAAAGTCTGTTAACCAAAATTAATTCATGATCAGTACAGTTGGGTAAACCTATAATTGTGTGCATTCATTTATATTTAATAGTTAACATTAGAATTCTTCTTCTATCTATAAGAGTAAAGAGAATGCCACGCTCTTTGCACGTTAAGAACCCTTGCAACAACTCTTTGAGGGGTCCGTAGGTGACCTGTTGCAAGGCAAAATTTCCGTCCCTATTCAATGTACCCTTATTTCCCGTGGCAGTCTAAATTTCTCCGACCTTAATCCCTTAATCTATTACAGAAGAACCTACATATTGTATTTATTGTGAACTTGTTCTCGTCCTGAATATGCATGAAATATTTGCCACTGGACGTTAAGCAACCAACAATCAATCAATCAATCTATCTATAAGATGCATGTTCTTAGAATTGCAGTTTCAGATTTTTTTTAAAAGAAAGTTATGATGAAAACAGAGAAATCTTATGCATTTTGAAGCCTTAGTTTAGATGATACTTAATTTTAATTTGTTTAAATTTTTTGCAGATTTTTCCCTAGAAGATTGGACAAGGACAAGAGGAGAAGATCTTACAAATCTCACAGAGCTAGCAATTATACAAGTTTCAAGTGACCTTGGGATATCTAAGTTTTTCAAGAGTCCTTCCTGTATCAGAAATGGAATGTTTTATCAACCAGAAAACCTTGGTTGGAAAAGAGGTAGAAGAGTACTATAAGATTACTTTTATTTCTGTATTTCTGCATATAACATTAGTCTATAACATATGCTATAAAACAGTTTATATTAATGAGCCATATATTTAAACATTTGCCAGTAGAAAAATAACATGAATATATGATGTTGTGATTATGTTAAACTAAGATCTTCTCGTTTATAAATAGACCAACATTACAAAGTTAGAAATTTTAATAAAGAATAAATCTATGTGAATTCTTCAAATAAAAGCAAAATTTGAAAAAAAGGTATTCAAGAGAGTAGTTAGTTTAGATATGCATTTGTGGTCTTTAAGATACTGTTTATTGTCATATTGGATTATTTTGTATTTTGTATTTTGTTTTCACATAATTTGTATCTTGTTTTCAGATTGCCCTGTAACAACAGAACTTCCTGAACTTCACCCAGGAATGACATGTGTCTTATTATCTTCATGTACCGAAGTGGACTGTTGCATAGATGTTGATATGTTTCATCATTCATTTAATCTTGTCTTGAGACTGGATCCATGTGATGAAAAATTAATTGTTGGGATTGAAAATTTTGTTTTTGCAATATCTCTTTATGAATTTGATTGGGGTAAGTTTGCAATGAATGTATAGAACATACAACAATGTATTTATAGTTAGTTGGTGGTACTTTTGATGCATAATCAACTGATACAAATTTAGATTTCTTTTAAATAAGACCTTGTAAAATTAATAATCTGAAGCATTTGTTTAATCAAAACTCAGGACTAGAATTGATTATTTCTGGATAAATTTGACAACAACAGAATGATATGATTATATTTTAAAATACACTAAGTACATTAAAATTGACTAAAAAAAACTCATCACAGATACAAAGTAGAGTATGCCATAGAAAAGCATAGAGGACCCAATATTCTGAAAGGTTTTGTCAAATATAACTATGGTAAAGCATTTTATGGCCTGCAAACAACAATGCATCATATTGAAAATTAATATACATGTTCATTATGATTTTCTATACAGAAAAAAACATATAAATAGATGAGTTTTTACTTGGATATCGGAAATCACTGAACATTGATATGTGATATTGCAAATTTACATGGTGTTCTATTGGAGATATGTTTTTGTTTTTCTGTTCATTCAGTAATTTCTTATTTTTATTTGTAGGAGTCCGCAAGAAACTATATTTGAATAGTGTTATATGTATGGAGTAAGTATATTTGTGAAATTTTTATCACTTCATTAGATATTTGTTAAAGATGCAGTACTCGTAATTGTTGTCTTTTGCAAATGTGCTACTAACTAATGAAAAAAATCTGAAATTGCTTCTTCCTATTTGTGGCTGCTGATGCTGAAAAAAGAATTGTCTTCACATGTTAACCAATTTTTGTACAAATGATCAAGGACATTTCTAACAAAAACTGTTATAAAAAATGTCTGGTTGTAATTCAAAACTGCGCAAAATGAAGTATGAGGAAAGTCATCTGAAGCAAGTTGTTTCACTTGAGAAAAAAATGGATTTAAATTAAGTATCAATGTTAAAAAATTAAATAGCAATGAAAATAAGTTAATGGTAAAGATGAATATGAATTTGGTTAATACTAAGAAAGTGTAATTTGCCAATGTTGGTTTCTAAACATTTTACATTGAGATAACCATGTTTCCTTTCAGCTTTAATCATAGCTTTATAAATAAAGTTCAATATAAGTCTAAAAATTCTTGTGATGAACCTCTTGACTTGAACCTTTTTTATAGTTATTCGATATATGATCTGGAGAGTGATAGTACTTACTTGGTAGATATGAATGTCAGTGTATGCTTTGAATCTTCCAAGCCTTGTTTAATTGACCAAGTAGTCCTGAATAAAACTAAACTGGCAAAGAAACCATGCAAATGGCAGACTGGGTTTAAAAATTCAAGTAAGTTGATGTCATTCATACCTTTCTCTACTGATAATAATCTCAACATATTTGACATACAGTATTTCAATACCCATTAGTATGAAAATTCATATGTTACTACTCAGTCTAGGAAATGCAGAAGATTTGTATTTCTGAAGCCTCTGTACATCAAAAACTTCCTGTTGGAAGTTTGTTACTGTTGAAAATAACCTTCCTTACAATAAGTACTATTAATAAACTGTTATATAATTATTAATAGAATCTAGAATTGCAAGCTAGTACACTCCACATATTAGTAGATACTATCAGAACTATGTTATTCGCCGCTTTAATTTCTTGCATCCTGGATTGATTTGAATTGGTTCTGATAAATTATATGGAAATTTACTGATCCCAACATCTATCAGAGCATTACTAAGAATGTTTAAATAGGTAAAAACTAAATTGGACTGACCAGCTGCATGAAAATTAGATAACTCCAGTATGAGTTTGGGTGTAAAGTAATGCATGAATTTATATTGATAGGTTTTAGTCTTTCCTCATGGAAGAAATCATCTGGTGTTGATACCTCACAACCATTGAGTCAGTTGGAGATCAGAAAGCTTGAAGAAACTCTTGGAATAGCTCCATTCCTATTGGAAAATTCTTGTCAAAGATTTAGCTCTCCATATGTTCCTCAAACTGATGGATGGAGAACAGGTTTGATACATACACTATTTCATTACACTTTTTCATTTTTCAATGTAAAATGATTTCATTAAGATGCATTGTTTTTTTAATATAGGTATGATATGGTTCCGAAAGTAACAATAACAATTGGTGCATCAAAACCACATAAATGAAAAAAAAATGTTTCTCTTGAATGAGCTGCTGTTAAAATTCTTAACCATGGTAGTGGCCCTTTTCATAAAAATTATTGTATTCTTCTTATGTTGTGTTAAAGTTCCAAACAAGCAAGAAATATTTAAAATTTGGTTGTCTGAAAGCAAGTAACACTTGTAAAAAACTGCAACTCATGTTGTTTATTGTAAATGAATTGATTTTACTATAGTATTTCTAAAATTATGGAATGCATAGGACCTTTAAGCATTTTCATGAGACATAGGCCATGAAGTGTCTACTTCCAGTTTATGAACCAATTAAAGGGGCAATTAATCACCAAATTAACAGTTTTTATAGATCTGTCCTATATTTTTTAGCATCAGTATGACAACACTTTGTATTATAACTCAATTTGCTTTCAATTTCAAAATTTGTCATTCTAGAGTTATGAGAATTCAATTGTAAGATTTATTGTAATTTTTTTACTTGTCCCTCTTTTGCTCTAGTATTCTTGAATCAAATTACCACAAACTTTTCACTGTTATTAGGATATTGAGTGGATTATCAATACACCAGAGGATATTCTCGGGCAATCTTTTTACAGGGTCATTTTACTAACTTCCATAAAGATGCCTTTTAAATCCTCCATTTTATTGTAGATCTGGCAGAAATTTCAATATGCACTTGACATATGTATACTCTCTTGAAACTGCTGCTCATTTTATTGGGTATCTATATTTTGAATATATGAAATTCTTATGACTTTTTTTTTATAGATTGTCCACAAGAAATGAGGAATCTACCATCACTCCTGAGTAATATGAACTGTTACATTGATCAGTCCTGTACAGCAGTCCAGTGTTGTATTGATGTCAACGAACTTGGAAAGTCTTTAGAGATAGGAGTCAAGATTGATCCATGTGACTTCAGGTTAACAGTCAGGATAGAGAAATTGAGCTTTGATGTTACATTGTATGATTATGTATGGGGTAAGTCTGGTTGAACCATGTGACTTCAGGTTGACAGTCAGGATAGAGAAATTGAGCTTTGATGTTACATTGTATGATTATGTATGGGGTAAGTCTGATTGATCCATGTGACTTCAGGTTGACAGTCAGGATAGAGAAATTGAGCTTTGATGTTACATTGTATGATTATGTGTGGGGTAAGTCTGATTGATCCATGTGACTTCAGGTTGACAGTCAGGATAGAGAAATTGAGCTTTGATGTTACATTGTATGATTATGTATGGGGTAAGTCTGATTGATCCATGTGACTTCAGTTTGACAGTCAGAATAGAGAAACTGAGCTTTGATGTTACATTGTATGATTATGTATGGGGTAAGTTAGATTGATTTTACCTTACAAAGTTACTGTTCTTAATTGATTTTTTTATACGCCCGTTTACAGGACTTATTATGGTATACCGCTGTCCGTCTGTCCATCCCTCCATTTGTCCATCCGTCCATCTGTCCGTCCCTCGTAAACATGTTGGACATTAACTCAAAAACGCTTTAACCAATTTGCATGAAACTTTGGTGAATTGTTTATATCTTTTGACGTGAGCTCCCTTTTGTTTTTTATAAATTTTTGATTTTACGTTTCTGAGTTATTGGGTTTTATTCATAAAAAAGGGGGATTTTCCAGATTTCCGACAATACCTTTACAGTGCTTTGAGCAGTTTTCATTAAACTTTGTTTATATCTATTAAGATAATCTCCCTTTAATTTTGCATAAATTTCTGATATGACATTGAGAAGTTATTGAACTTTATTCTTAGAAAATGTGATGGGCGTATCATGCGCTCATGGCGCAGCTGTTTATTGTACAAATTGATTGATTGTATCGGCTGAAGCTGAAAAGTTGGGCTTATCTTATCTATACATTCCTTCCAACTAGTCAAAATCTTCCTGAGTGATTTTAAACACAAGAGGACCCAAAGCATATCTTTAACATGTCCTAATCATTGGCACCCTCATTGTTGAAAGAAATGAATGTCTGTCTGACAGGTTTCATCTGACCTTGACCTCATTTTAATAGTTCATTGATCAATGTTAAGTGTTCATAATTATGTATGCTTATCAGATACTGTAAGCATTAGGTTAAATATATTTGGTCAATTGTATGATTGTAAGGGTGACCGTGTGTCTTGAAGAATTCACCCGACATTGACCTCATTTACATGGATTATTGATAAGTTTATATGATACATGTACTTATAGTAAAAACTTCATATTAAAGACTTTTGACATGAATTCAATCATGATAAATAAATTTGCTTGTGTGTGCACTCTTATTATAAAAACAACCACTTGCAATTATTATCTAATCATTGGATTCTCTAAATCAATTGCTTGCAATATACCAACCTCTTCATGGTATGTACCTTCCAATTAAAACAACAGTAAATGCTTAATAGAGTGCAGACATTTTCATAAATAATATCCTGTGAATATGCAAAATCTCATTTCAACACAAGTAAAACAGTTTAATTCATGTTACTTGACCCACAACATTTTTAGTTTTTCTGATCAATTTCAATTTCAGTAATTTTTCAAAAAAATTATTGAGGAAAAATCTATTTTAGAGTGAATAGAATACACTGTAAAATTTGTGTATAGCTGTGTCAATATGACTCTAAATATGTAACTTTGCTTTTTTCCAGAAAAACAGGAATATTTAGATCTCTATGGAGTCATACAGATTGCGTAAGTTTGGATTGCTTGTATGCTGTTATAAGCTATAAAACTTGGAAAAAGTAATGATGAAATTAGCATTGATAACATATGGAAGTCTGAGAGTATTCTGCTATCTGATAATAATTACATTTACCTTTACATGGCTAAAAATATATAACATCCCTTTTCTGCAAGTTTACAAGACTTTTTTATAATTTCTATGTTAATTCTGTGAATAATCCAAATACTGCTAAATACAATTTGCATTCATCCCCTTGTTTTGACAGTTCAGTAGACTGATTAGTACCTGTGACATTATTTCAATGTAAGGAAACATTCAGATATTTATCTTTATTTCAGATTCACTATTAAAAATTTGTATGGAGAAAAGTTCTATCTAATCAGCCTCAATGCATCAGTTAATTTTGATGCCAAAAGTGAAGAGGAATACAACATTATACTGGAGAACAATCTACTACCAAAAGCAGTCTGTGATTGGTCGTCTGATTTCTATATTTCAAGTATGTTTACCGCTTTCTTTTATAATCACATTTACTAAATCAATTGTATAATACATAAAAAAGACATCCAAAACAGATCACATTTAACCACCAATGCCCAACTCTGCAAGAAAATAGATTTCCAGACAGCAAAACAACACAGGGTCAAAATACCCTGGCTCGAGACTGATGTAGTCTAATTAAACAAGAATTAAAATGTCCCCCTTTTCCTATCAAGATCTATATGTTATAAAAGTAAACATACAATTATAAACCTTGCACCTTTTCACCAATTTTCTTGCAAGTGATCAATACTTATTTAATTTTATCAAGAATATGCGGGGGCCTTTTATAGTTGACCATATAGTATGGGTTTTTCTCATTGTTGAAGGATGTATGGTTGCCTATAATAACTTATATCCACTTCATTTGAACTTTGGTGGATAGTTCTCGCATTGGCAATCATACCATTTCTCCTTATTTTTATATATCATCTATTCAGACCAAAATTGCTCGACTGGAACATGGCTAATAGAGTTCAAATGTAGGACAGAAAGTCAAAGGACAAAAAGCCTAGTAAGACAAAAATGCTCAATTAATATAAACTCTTGAAATCAAAGTTATTTTATATGCCCCTGTCATATGGGAGGGGGCATTAAATTTACCCTTGTCCATCTATACGTCCAAAATTTGGTTTCCCTTCTTTAACTTAAGTTTTCCTGTTATGAAACTTATACACAATACCGTCACTTATAAAACTGATACATGGTACCTTCACTTTTACCATTCTAGAGTTATGTCCCTTTACAGTTTCTGTTCTCTAACTTTAGTTAGCCTCAACTAAATGTTATGAATCATATGCAATGCTTATTACTTGAAAACACAGATCAAGTTTGAATTTTAGTGGCTTCACTTTTACCTCGCTAGAGTTATGCATCTTTACAAATTGAAAAATTGCTGAATTTTTTCGTCTGTTCTCTAATTTTAGTGTGCCTCATCAAAATGTTATCTTAATATACATAATGCTTATTACTTCAAAACACAGATCAAGTTTAAATTTTGGTGGAGACACTTTTACCATTCTATAGTTATACCCCTTTACAAATGGAAAAAAATGCTGAATTTTTAGTTTCCGTTAACTAACATTTTGCATCAACCAAATGTTATGAAACTCATACACAATGCTTGTTACCACAAAACACTGATCATGTTTAAATTTAGGTAGCGTCACTTCAATGATTCTTGAGTTATGTCCCTCTACAACGTTATATGCAAGCGGGGGAATCATCTGTGTCCCATTGATACATTCCCAATTTATTGTATTTTCTTAACTGTTTTATATCAAAATACAAGTAAAGAAATCTTATAAATTATAATTCAAAGACAATTGCAATAAAGCCTTTTCATGTTGTAATTTTAAGTTATGTTAGAAATACCTGTGATTTAATATTAGAATAAAGAATGGAAGCAGGGAATGTGTCAAAGAATGAACAACCCAACCAAAGACCAGAAAATAGGCCACCAATGGGCCTTCACCTGGAGGCAAGCTTAAGCTGGCCCCTTACCAATAATATATTTATAGTTCAGTGTAATTAACGCCATATCAAACTCCTAAACCTAAAAATGAACCAAAAATTTTGTGAATGCAGAAGACTAACAAAGGCTATAGAGGTTCCTGATTTTGAACAGGTACAAAATTTTGGTGGGGTTAAACATCTTTTGTGAGATCTCAAACCTCCCCATATACCTCTAGCCAATGTAGAATAAACAAACATAGCAAAATGCAATGTAAAGCTCAGTTTAAAAGAGGTCCTAATCTGATGATAGAATAGGTAACAGAAGAAACTATTGTTTTCTTTTAATTATTATGATCCATCAGTTGATAGAGTTTTCTCTTACATGTTTTTTTTTTAGATTTTTCATTGACAAACTGGCTGCATAAGAAAAACTTGGAGATTAATGATTCAATTCCTGGTGATATCTTATACCAGTTGTACGAAGAAACAAATGTAGGCCATTACCTTCTGGATAACAAGTGTTCTAGACTTGTCTATCCTTACAATAATAGTTGGACTAAAGGTAAAGTTATCATTAGACCAAATGAAATACTGTAAATTCAGAAATTATTGCGATGTTTTAATTATTGTGAAAAATGCGACAGGGTTATAACCACAATAATTTAAACTGGCTTTTTGAAATATTTTATAAGAATTAAACAGGATTTTTCTCAATATCGCAAAAATAAAAAAATCGCATTTTAGTCTAAAATGACAAAATCGTATTAAATAAAAAATTTCTGAGTTTACAATATATGATTTTGAATTTCACAAAGATGAGATTGGGATTTATTTATCACAAGCTATTGGCTCAGTTTAACTTTGGGAAGATCACTTCAATCTATTATGCAAGAGAGTTTGTCAGTAAATCTCTTAAAGGTGGAAAATAATACATGAGTTACCCATTTTCCTTAACTAATTTGTATATGATATATTTAAAGTTGATTGGATGCAACACACATGAGTTTGTTTTTAACTTTTTGCATTTAAATTGAATTCAACTTTATTCATAGAGTACAGAATAATAATGTTTAGAACATGTGAGACTTATCTGTAATTACTGTAAATTCAGAATATTCTGCATTGATTTTTATATTGCTGAATATTGTGATTGGGTTAGGATTCCCTCCCCAAAAAATCATATTATAAATTTCTATTGCATCATTTCTATGTAGTTTTTCCTATAATCACAATAATTATTTTCTCATTTTTGTCCACAGTTCAACAATTGCAATAATAAATACATGCAATAATTTCTGAATTAACAGTACTTATGAAAAAAAAAAAAAACACCAATTATATCAATGTAATACATTTTATTTATATATATACAATAGACATGTGGTATTTTGTAGATTGTGCTATGGACATGACTTTACCAATGTTACCATCAGATGTATCCTGTTTTATTACTGATACATGTACAGGGGTTCAGTGTTGTGTTATGAACAATTTATTGCAACAGACATTTGAAATCTCATTTCTGTTGGACAGCTGTAACAAGAAACTAAGTATCAGTATAGAGAAAATACAGTACAATGACACTTTACTGGATTTCAAATTAGGTAAGATCATTACAAGTGCAAAATATAAAACATACCATAGAAGGCTGTAAACATGACGTGATGAACAAAATATAGAAAAACAAACTTTAAATTTGATTAAAGTATATAGATGTTATTACATTGATATGTATAATCAATTCTTTGGTCTTGAAAACCACTATAAACAAGACTTTTATGAATATTATATCAGATGAAGGTTATTACTTAGCGTTTGATGAGCATTTTTTACGTTGTAAATACTACTTGTGAATAGCTCTTTTACTTGAACCTTGTTAGTGAGTTAACTTCTCTTAAAATTCTTTTGACTATTTGGAAGACTCTTAATTGAATGTGTCTTTAAAGAGATTGAGAATTTGGAATGGACAACAACATTAAAGAAAAACATGGAAACATCATATTGCTAAATACATAAACTTTTTTGCAAATGAGCTAATATATTTAAACAAACCACTTTATTTTGTAACCACAAAAAATATGCATGCAAGATGTAAACAAATTTGACTTTACATCTTTAATGTATAATCTTGTTCAAGTCTTTTTTTTTTTTTTTTTTATTTTAGGGACTTATTATTCCTTCAGCTTACAGGGATTAATTCAAGTTCAGTAAGTAAATAACCAGATCATATACATTGTTATGTGAGTCTTTTTGATAGGTCGAGGAATACTTGAATCCATCAGGATATATATTCAATAAGTTTTAGAAGTCTTAGAGTAGAATATGTGTTTGCAATTAACTGCATGCTTTTATTTTATAGCTAGTGTAAAAATATATTGAAATATATAGACAATAACTGGTTAGTGTCTTTTTAAAAATATCAGCTGTATTTGTATGAGGCTGAGAAACAGGTGTAATGCGAGCTTTAGCGAGCTATTACTCCTGTTTCGAGTCGAGTACAAATACAGCTGATATTTTTAAAAAGACACTAACCAGTTATTGTCTTTATCCTGCAATTAATTTCGTTTATTGCTTTTGCTTTGAAAGACAAAAAAACTCACATTTATTGCATTTATTTTGTATTTTAAACCCTTTTAAACTGAAGACAGGTTCTCAGAAAAGAATCTCAAATGGTCAACAATACTACATTGCTCAAAGATAATAGTTATTTATTATAACATAACTTATTTTAACAGTAAAAATAAATAACAAAACATAGTCCGATTTAAATCAAAAGTGTTTGATTTGTCCTGCACTTCAAAAATTTGAACTGAATTTGACATTCACTAACATGCTGAAATTGACATTGTTGCATGGTTGTTTTTGTGTGTTACATATGTTCACATTCATTCGATGATTGGCGCAGAAAAATATGGAGTTAATCATACTGTTCATGTTTGTCTGTTAGCAGAAAATGGATTTTTTCATATAGCTTCACAGAAATGCGTAAATTAATCTATAGTTCACATAAGGTCAAGCAATACGTCATTGGAATGCGACTACAATACACATTCTGATGTCACGCAGGTTCAAACAACACTCTCAACAGCAATACACAAACGTAGTCCGTCAGTGGGCAGAGCTTGAAAGCTATAGCCTAGCGATATCTGTTGGGCTGTATCTGAATGATAAGACACTTAATTGCAGGATAAAGCATTTTTTATGACCAGTATTAAAAATAAAGTAGCGTAAAATGAAAGGAAAGAAATTGGAAAAGTATTAATCTAAAAAAAAAAAACATTCGGATAATACTTTTATAAAACACTATTTCAGATACAGTATTGAAGACTTGTATACTGAGAGGTTCTACTTAGTAAATATGAAAATTCAGTTTTGCTATGAAAGTACAGAGCCTCAATGTGATCATCAGTTCACCATTCTACAAAATACAAAACTTCCCAAAAGACAGTGTGATTGGAATAGTGGATTTGTTACTCCTGGTAATTCAATGTTAAGTTAAAAACATGCAAGGATAGCACTATTAGGAAAATAAACTTTTAAGCTGAAAAATATTTTGTTTTCAAATTTTTTGATCATATTATATATAGTTATGGTAAAAGGTAGAAATGTGTAGTCCTTGAAATTTCAAATATTGAATTTAGAAAGAAAGTGCCCACAACAGTGCTTTGTTAAGATTGTACTGCTCTCTTCATTTTTTTTTCACAGTTTTGCATATTAAAACATTTTTAAGCTTTGAAATGTTAACTTTTGAAATCTTTTTTACCTACTTAATGCATTTAAATTTACAGTTTGCCCAAAGCTGAAGCTAGGAGGAAGGCAGATCTAGTTATTTCAACCTTTTCAGTATGTTCACAACCAGGTGATATTGATATATGATTTTTTACAATTTTTGTTCAGGATTCTCCTTGGACACTTGGTATAATGAGCATTCTTTGTCATCTGGATCAAATTTGGAAGATTGGATGATATCTGAACTACTTAATGGTCTTGGGATATCACCATACCTACACGTTGAACAATGCTCAAGACAATCATCACCTTTCTATCCAAGTATACTTGGTTGGAATAAAGGTAGGAAACAATAGTCAGATTTCTATGGTACTTTTTATGTCCCACCTAGGGGCATAATGTTTTTTGTTGTTTGTGCATCTGTTTGTCTGTCCCACTTCAGGTTAAAGTTTTTGGTCAAGGTAGTTTTTGATGAAGTTGGAATCCAATCAACTTAAAACTTAGTACACATGTGACCTATGATATGATCTTTCTAGTTTTAATGCTTAATTAGAATTTTGAATCCAATTTCACGATCAAATGAACATAGAAAATTTTAGTGCGAGTGTACTATATATATATATGGACACTTTCTTGTTTATACCGTACAACAGGTTATTTTCGTGGGTGTAAAATTTCGCGATTGAGAGGCAACAAAGTATACGAAAAACTTTGGCGGTTTTTATTTTGGCGGATTCTTTAATCCCAAAATTAATATTTTGGCGGATACTAAAACAGTTGCAGTTAAAAAGTTGTGAAAATTGACAAACAAGTGTGTATTGTTATTGTTAAATGATTGTTTTACCTGCATGAAGTCTTATTTATTGATTATATTTTGATCAATAGTTAATCAATAGAATACCTGTATTTAGATATTTGTCACAGGTGTACAAACTTCTTGTAAATGTTACGGTTGGTAAAATACGAAATTGACCGGACCTTTGATGTACTAATTAGATTACAAAAATTATCATGAGTGACTCTTATATAATTTGACAATAATTAATAAGGATAAAATACCTGACAAAGTACCTTACACTCTTATATTATTAATTATTCTATTATATAACCAATTAACTAATCAACACCTGACAGCCAGTGAACAATGGCCTTTTGCATGTATGTTGTTTAAGTTAACATAAACTGTTAATGGTCCGACGAATGGGAAAAAAATAGAGAGTTTACAAAACGCTTTAGTTATTAGATAGTACCGAACGTATGCATAAATTTTTGCGGAATTAAAGTTCGCGATTACCCATAACCCGCCAAAATAAGTGAAAATAAACACCCCGCCAAAATAACCCGCTATATGGTATCAAAATTTACCAAGCTTTATTCATCTCATCTCGAGAAGCCTTGGCTAAACATACATGCACATATTTATTTATGTAATAGACTCAACAGGAGATATGTTATAAAAAAGAATTGGAGATATAAGTTCTATATTAAAAGGCAGTGACATGAAGACAAAGGTTTGTGTAAACCATGAAAGTTGATGGAGAATGTGATATCCTTTTGTTAGTTTCCTTTATGTTTGTCTTATGTATAACATTTACAATTAGTATGACTTTTGGTGTTCATTTAAAATTAATCCAATGGAATTATCAATTTTATTCATATATAGATCTGCAATGTGCGCATGATATCAAGATCTGTGAAGATATTTGATTAAAAGGACTTTTTTTTTAATTTCCAGGTTGTGCTAATAATATAAACCTTCCACAGGTTGAAGAACCAACAACCTGCTATATAGATACAAGTTGTACCACAGTAGAATGTTGTGTAGATGTAGACTTTATTCCATACTCCTTCCACACCTACCTGAATATAGATCCTTGCAAACAGATGATAACTGTTGGCATTGAAAAATTCCACAGAAACATCTCACTAACAAACTACCAATGGGGTATATTTGCTTTATGTTTTATTATATCTATAAATTTTAATCATATTGAATTTCAAGGTCAATGGATAGGATCAACAAATACAGCTTAAACAAATGGAATGTAAAAAATTGTTTATCGAACATTTGACTTTAAAATCAGTGTTATGTAGTTTCATTCTTGCTTTTTTACACCACGGTCCCTGCATATGTTACAATCGACCTATGTATCAGATAAGATGAGAAATTAGTGCGTGTTTTTTTCTCTTAAAGGAGTGCAGGAAAGTTTTTGGCTTGCTGGTGTATTGCGTCTATCTTACAGCATAGAGGATTTTAGTGGTGAAAGCCTGTACTTAGTCAGCCTGAACATGAGTGTTTGCTTTGAAAGTAACAAATCTTGTCATGCATCTACACAGATACTAAGTCACACATGGCTGACCAAGGCCTTGTGTGCATGGGATACCAACTATTATCAGTCAAGTAATGTGTTTTTATTATTAGTTGCTGTAAAAATACTTTCTCTATTTTGAAAAAAACATCTAAAAAACAAAAAGCTTTTATATTCATGAGTGGTTAGGACATCAATTTGTGATCACTTAACTTGTAGTAAAATCAAGCTTATAGATTCCACTGTTGTGGAATCATATACCACAATTGAAACTAATTCTCTATAGAAAGAGCGCAAGTTTAAGCGTAGTAATTTTTTGATTGAACTTTGTAGAGAATGTAAGTATTTCGTGAATCTTTATTTTTTAGACAGTGAACAACAACACATCACTGCATAACTTTATACAACACGCACAACTCATACATAATATTGAGCAATAAGCACAACTCATGCACAATTTAAAGCTACAAAAAGCCCAAGGAGAACAAAATTTAAAACAAATTTAAAAGAGAAAACCAAGGGCCTGATTTAAAATTATAACATTTACTTAAAAAAAATAGTGTCTCACGTCAACCAATGACAACAACTGGACTACAGGCTTTAGGCTGGAGACAGACTTAGAGAGAAAGTGATGGAGTAAGCTTCATTTATTGCACTTATATTTCACTTAAACAATTTTTTGATGCTGTTAAATCTTCTAAAGCAATGATTGTTTTTATGTATTTTTTGTTACAGACAGTTTGATAAGTTTTTAAATACTTTATAAGTAATTTACCAATGACATCTGTACTGTACCACACTATTCCTTTTTATAACATTTTCTTCCTTTTTCAGACTTTTCCTTGGCAGCCTGGCTACAGACCAAAGAGATGTCACTACCACTGCCAGATTATGGACAGCTTCTTCTGTTTCAAGATACTGGGATAGCACCATATTTATTGGATGATCAATGTTGGGTAGATTTTACCAAGTTCCACTACTGGTTCTTTACAAATGGTTTGTGTAGTATGATTTAGAGGCATATTTTTCATTTTGCTTACTGTAAATTCAGATATGGGTGCTTTTTTTTTAATGGAATTCTGGGAATGGCTGTGTATAAAAGTTCTGTCAAAATAAAAAAATGCAATGTTTTAATCTTGCTAAATTTTTCAGTAATAAAAGCATTGTAAAGATTTCTGAATTTACAGTATATAGAACTCATTTTATTTTTTTGATAGTTTTATGTGTAGAGAACCATTCCTGAAATTGTTTTAATAAAACTCTTTTCAGCCATGCACTGTTAATTCAGTCATTCAAGACAAGGGAAAAATTATAAGACATTGAAATTGGCATGAGAAACAAAATAATTTTAATTATCAAATGTTCAATGAAATACTTAGATTAAAATATTGAAAAGTAGTATGTTACAGGTTGCACTTTGTAAATACAGCTGTTTCTCAAACCACGCCTCTTTTGGGGAGATATAGAATATTCATAGATAATTAATTTTGTTTACATACTGGTTCCCAGTTCTGATCTGTAACCAGTAATGGAGACATAACTTGGGAATGTTACCAGTAAATATACCTGTGAATATTGTTTATATTGAAATCTGTGGTAACCCTACAGTTGAGGTAGGGGTTGTTAAGAAATTTAGTGTTAGTTTAAACTCTTAGAAGTTCGGGACATATACACGTTGAAAATATGCCGCACTGCCCTATATTTTGACCTTTGAAAAAAATAGTAGTGCGTATGAACTTTCCATTCTAGGATATGATTTTTTTCAAAACTTCATAGTAAAAGTGGTACAGTTTTAGCCGTAAAGGGAGTTCCTATGGGAAAATGCATTGTCAATATTTACAGAAATGCAACCTACAAAGAGTTGATGACTTCAGAATTTTTTTTCTTCTCAAAATATAAAGGTTATTAAGGGAATTAACTTTTTGGAATAAAGTTCTGATTATTATTACAAATGATTATACTTTTTGTATGATCATTGAAAAAGAAAAAGGGTAGACACTGACATGAGAAAATACCATAGAAAAAACTTAATTTCAATGAGAAGTTCCACGTTGTTGTTGCAAAGCTACCTGTATATGTTTTGATATTTAATTTCTTGTCATTTTGATCTTTACATTACCTTATTGTTTATATGTTTTATGGCTATGTTTCAGCATGCCCATTGTACACACCAGCAATGCCTTACATAGAGATTCCATGCCATCTGTCAGCATTATGTACTGGTATTGAGTGTTGTGTCTATGACTACAAGTTAAACAGAGACTTCCATACCACAGTTCTAGTTGATCCATGTTCTTATGTTGTTACTGTTGGGATAGACAATTTTGTATACAACACCTCAATAACTGAGTTTTCCTTTGGTAAGAAACAATTTCTACAATTTTTTATTTCCATTTCTGGTAAATTATCAGTTGAAAGTTGCAGTACTAGACTCTGTAGCTGACCTGGTCCAAATTAATCAATTGATGTCTGTCTTCATCTGTTGTCCATTAACTCTTGGGTATTTAGTTTTAAAGGTGTCAGACCACCAATTACTCCCTCCAATTTAGAATGTATGTAAAAGTAGCCCTACTCTGACACAAAATAGTGCTTTTGATGTCTTTGTTTACTTAAACTAACAAAAAAAATGTACAGAAATGAAACTTTTGGTGAAAGAGAAATATATTTAGACCTTTTTGAGCCAAAATTTACTTGTCTAGGAGATTGCATTAAAAATTGAGGATTAATGCACTAAGTATTAAGTATACTAATTTAAGATTTCCAGAAAATCAGGGGTTATTTTTGGAGTACCTCTGTTGGGAGGTCAGTTTTTTTCTTAGAAGGCTTTAAAGGTATTTTGAAAATTGGCATGTAGAAAGCTGATACATGTACAATTCAGGATATACCTGGTTTTTATGAAGTTAAACTTAAGGTAAAAAATTTAGAAAGCTGTGAAAATTGCAAAATTTGGTTGAACAGATACGGATTTCTAATTGGTGGTCTGACACCTTGAAAAATATACCAGACTTCTGACTTGCAACCAACATGGCTGCCAAGACTTAAAACGGAAGATAGGAGTAAAATGCAAGTATTGTCTATTATCTTATAAACTTTTTAGATATAGAAAATCTGACATGACAGTATTGTCAAGATATACTTGATACCTATTTTGACCAAAAACTGAAAATGACAAAAATAAACATCAGGACAGGATCTGCAAATAAGTCAATATTGCCAAAAATGGCAATTGACTCGTAAAGAATGTTATAACAATTAAATTATGATATGTTTCCCCTTCAGTGATAGTCACAAAAAGTAGAACTAAACTACTCATTGATTAGGCAACCCAAGCAAGACATATATCTCTTTAACAGTTTATATTATAATTGTAGAATTTATTTGGTACACAGGTTTATTATTTTGAGTTTCACTCTATTTTTTTTTTAATCTATGGACAATATCAATTTTATTGTGGGTAGCACAGTAACTTTCAACAGTTAAATCTATTTGACAAATACTTTCTGTTTAACAATAATGTCGATTGCAAGTGGGGGTTTGCTTATCACCAAAAAAACATGCATTTTTGTTTAATTTACTTTATCTATTCTAGGTACTGTGAAGAAGTTCTCATTAGCAGGAATTGTGAACATAGAGTATGTATATTAATATAAATTATATTATTTGTTTGTTTATTGATTAGATTAGATTTATTAATATACCTGGTATACATATTTTTCATCATTTATAATATCAGCTATTTCAGATATTTGAAATGGTCTATTACTAAGCAAATTGAATTAACAAATTCTGCACAATTCACATTGCTACTATTATTGGGTAGAGAAATGTGAGACCTTATTTGATAGTTGACTTTTCTCATCACTTTGCGTCCGTCGTCCGTCGTCGGCGTCGTCTGTTAACTTTTACAAAAATCTTCTCCTCTAAAACCACTGGGCCAAATTTAACCAAACTTGGCCACAATCATCATTAGGGTATCTAGTTTAAAAAATGTGTCCGATGACCCCGCCAACCAACCAAGATGGCCGCCATGGCTAAAAATAGAACATAGGGGTAAAATGTAGATTTTGGCTTATATCTCTGAAACCAAAGCATTTAGAGTAAATCTGACGTAGGGTAAAACTGATTATCAAGTCAAGATCTATCTGCCCTGAAATTTTCAGACAAATCTGACAACCTGTTGTTGGGTTGCTGACCCTGAATTGGTAATTTTAAGGAAATTTTGCTGTTTTTGGTTATTATCTTGAATATTATTATAGATAGAGATAAACTGTAAACAGCAATAATGTTAAGCAAAGTAAGATCTACAAATAAGTTGTCCAAAATTGTCAGTCGACCCCGTTAGGAGTTATTGCCCTTAATAGTCAATTTTATATCTCTGAAACTAAAGCATTTAGAGCAAATCTCACAGGTGGCAAAAATGTTCATCAGATTTAGATTTATCTGCCCTGAAATTTTCAGACGAATCCGACAACCCGTTGTTGGGTTGCTGCCCCTGAGTTAGTAATTTTACAAAAATTTTGCAGTTTTTTGTTATTATCTTAGATATCATTATAATATCTAATATCTAATACTATTAATTATGATTTTAACCTTATTTTACATGATTTCCAAAGCATCAGTAAATACAGGTGAGCGACACAGGCTCTTGAGAGCCTCTAGTTTAATGTTTCATCCTCCACTATAAAATCAACTGCATTATTTAATTGATATCTGAAAGAAATTGATTAATCATTGAAAAAAGGGATTTTTTTTTAGCACAGAAGAGGATAGTCAAGGGAGGGGCGTATGTTTTCAGGTCTTTTTCCATTTAATAGTCAGTACCTCTACTTGTTCATCCTGATTTATGTCAAAGTTTGGTTAAAGTACATTTTCACATCAAATTGAATATTAGTACACATGTTCATTTTAAAGATGTGATTTAAAAAAAAGATACATTTTAAATTAAGGTTTTGACATAAATTTCATGGTTCACTAGAAATGAAAATGTGGTAGTTTGAGCTGGGCATGGTGTCTTTTGGACACATTTTCTTATATTAGAAATTCAATATTGTATATTTTAGATTGTCCATACACTACCTTAAAATGGAACATTCATATCTGATATCAAAGAATATAAGTATATGTACAGAGAGTCAAAATACCTGTGAACATAAATATGTTGTAGTGGAAAATATGATGCTACCAATCTTACAGTGCAGTTATAATGGAGGATTTATCGAAGAAGGTATATTATACTAGTAATATACTATTCTGTAATAAGGTATTAAAAAATTCTACCCTTAAAGATTTCTTGTAGAAGGAAGTACCATACACCAGTCATGTTGGAAAAGTTTATAATTTAGTTTTCTTTTATGCTTTTCACAAAAAAATATAGTTTTAAAAGGATGCACATATACTCTTTTTTTTTTACAGATTTTTCCATATCAAAGTGGAAAAACGAAAGAGGACTTGCTAAGAATGAGAGTTTAGACAGTATTGCAGTGTCTGAGTTGTTTGTAAATCTTGGTTTGTCTTACTATCTTCTTTCTATGAGATGTAACAACTTCAGTGATTTATACAGTCCATCTACCAATGGATGGAAGTCATGTAAGTAAATGGATATTTCTTTCATAGTCTGATCAGTTTATTTCTAGACTAAGGACAATAAAGTGCTGAATGTATTGTTTAGATATATATGTTTATATACTTTAGAATTTGTTTCTGTAGATGTATTTCGTGCTGTTAGGTTGCTGTCAAACACATTGATCATTCATATTTACCTTTTGAAAAAGAGAGTCTCTATTGTAACCAGTTTTAAGGCTGCCAAAAGTTTCACCATTCTGACAATCATTACAGGATACAGGGTTGATAAGACATTTTTAACCCTGAGTTTTCCATAGAAATGATTTGGTTATTCAAATGGGGAAGTAATACAGCCTTAAACAGTCAGGGCGGCAATTGCCAAATGTTTCTGTGCCATGACTTATTAACCATTCAAACAATGCTTTTGAAATTCTAATATCTTGTTACTTATGACAAAATGGAGGTCAAGTTCTGTATTAACGATTGATTTTCACTTTCACCATCCAGGAGTTATGATTATGGATAGACTGGAAAATAGCCCTCTATTTATTTTTTTTGTCAGTAACCTCTGAATCTTTCAACCAATTCAAATTTGAATATATTGTTACTGATGACAATATTGAGGTGATGTTTGATATGGACAATTTTTATACGACCGCAAACATTTTTTGTGGTCGTATATTGGTATGACTTTGGCGTCGTTGTTGTCGTCGTTGTCGTCGTCGTCCGAAGACTCATTGGTTTTCACACTATAACTTTAGTTTGAGTGAATGGATCTCTATGAAATTTTACCATAAGGTTAAATACCACAAAAGGCAGGTTGGGATTGATTTTGGGGATAATGGTGCCAACAGTTAAGGAATTGGGGGCCAAAAAGGGGCCAAAAATAAGCATTTTCTAGTGTACAGACAATAACTTGTTAGAACGGTGTATGGATCTCTCTGAAATTATACCACAAGTTTCCATACCACAAAGGGATGGTTAGGATTTGCTTTGGGGGGTTATGGCTCAAACCGTTTAGGAATTAGGGGCAAAAAAGGGGAAAAACAAGGTTGTCCTGGTTAATGGACAAATACTTTAGAACAAAACATAATTTAAAGCAGTGTAAGGGAGATAAATCAAATACATAATTTGAATTACCTCCCTTACACTGCTTTTAAATTATGTATAAAGTAATGGTTAATGAACAATTAAGACAATTTTAACAGTGTAAGGGAGGTAATCCAAATACAACGTTTTGATTACTTCCCTTACACTGCTTTTAAATTATGTTTAAAGAAATGCATATTTATAAAGGAAGACCAGTAAAAATATCTGCAAATGTTGCATCTTTTTTTTTTTTACAAAAAAATCCATATGAAAGATTTGACACCATATTTTAAATTCTATTATAAAATAGATTAAGTTAGCACTATGGTAAATTTAAATGGGTAATTATGGTTGCAAATTCCATTGGAAATTTGAATTGAGATTATGACCATATCTTGACTGAAAGAATTTTTTTGGGGAAAAAAGGGGGGGGTAAAAAGAAATTGTGGGGGGTCAATGAATTATTCTTCAAATATTATTGTTTTTTCAAATTTCAAATATTGAAAAATTTCAAGAAGTAATCTTTAATTGCACAGTATGGCGCATTAGATTTGTAAAATCTTTGACCACATTTATTTATTTGTTATTTCGAATCTGACGGTGTATGTAGATTTTTAATTTTGGGTCCAGTTTTCAAATTGGTCTACCTTAAGGTCCAAAGGGTCCAAAATTAAACTTAGTTTGATTTTAACAAAAATTGAATATATGGGGTTCTTTGATATGCTGAATCTAAACATGTATTTAGATTTTTGATTTTGGGCCCAGTTTTCAAGTTGGTCCAAATTTGGGTCCAAAATTAAACTTTGTTTGATTTCAACAAAAATTGAATATATGGGGTTCTTTGATATGATGAATCTAACCATGTATTTAGATTTTTTATTTGTGGTTCCCGCTATCAAAATGGTTCATATTGAGGTCAAAAGGGTCCAAAATTAAACTTTGTTTGATTTCATCAAAAATTGAATGATTGAGGTTCTTTGATATGCCAAATCTAACTGTGTATTTAGATTTTTAATTTTGGGTCCCGTTTTTTAAATTGGTCTACATTAAGGTCCAAAGGGTCCAAAATTAAACTTAGTTTGATTTTACAGCTCTTTTCATAATGCTAGCAAGACAAAGGTTTGTTTGGCTTGCTTGCTTTGTTTGTATAAATGTTTGCTCAAGCATTGTAATTAAGATTGACATCTACAAACAATATAAGTAGGCGGAGTTAAACCTGTGTATAGGTAAATTTGATTATTTGATAATGTCCAATCAAATTTAAATATAATGTATACAAGTTTAAATCCGCCTTTTTATGTTGTTTTCAGATGTCAATCTTAATTACAATGCTTGAGCAAACATTGATACAAACAAAGCAAAGAAGCAAAACAAACCTTTGTCTTGCTAGCATTATGAAAAGAGCTGTAACAAAAATTGAATTCTTGGGGTTCTTTGATATGCTGAATCTAAACGTGTTTAGATTTTTGATTATGGGCCCAGTTTTCAAGTTGGTCCAAGTTGGGGTCCAAAATTAAACTTTGTTTGATTTCAACAAAAATTGAATATATGGGGTTCTTTGATATGCTGAATCTAACCATGTATTTTGATTTTTGGGCCCCGTTATCAAATTGGTCCACATTGAGGTCAAAAGGGTCCAAAATTAAACTTTGTTTGATTTCATCAAAAATTGAATTCTTTGGATTCTTTGATATGCTAAATCTAACCATGTATTTAGATTTTGGATATTGGACCATAATAGGTAAATTAAAAATTTTTAAGTTCTTAGACCACATTCATTCTGTGTCAGAAAACTATGCTGTGTCAAATATTTAATCACAATCCAAATTCAGAGCTGTATCAAGCTTGAATGTTGTGTCCATACTTGCCCAACTGTTCAGGGTTCGACCTCTGCAGTCGTATCAAGCTGCGCCCAGCGGAGCATTTTATTCCCTTTTGCTGTTCAGAGTAATGGTGCTCTGTAGATTGTTAAATATAGGCACATATGCAGGTTAGCAGTCAGAGAAATGATAGTTAGCAAATTGATGATAATTAAGCCAGCCAATAAATGAATATTTAATTTAATCGTAACAGATATTATTTTCAGTTTTTGTGTCGAAAAATTCACCACTTAAGATTCAGTGTTCTTTTATCAATTTTGGTCAATTGTTATTAATTTAATTTGGATACACAGATTTTAACACTGTCTTTTAATATAGTATGTACAGATGATGAAGCTCTGCCAGTTCTGTCTGGAGAAATAACATGTAACTTGGGATATACTTGTGACACAGTAAGCTGTTGTATTGATGTAGAAGATCTAGGTAGAACAATGGAAGTATCATTATCAATAAACCACTGCAACAGGAAACTGTCTTTACAACTTGAAAGATTGTCAGAGGATATATCATTGGTGGATTACAAATGGGGTAATTTGGCATTAAATAAAATATTGTGATATGTATATGACATGTCATACTACCGATTCTAAAGCATGATACCTTGAATAAAAACAAATATATATATTTGTCACACCTTTCTTACAAAATGAAAACACTGAATGACTTTATATTTGGCCAGAAGCTTGGCAGTGATGAGTTGTAATGTATGGGCATTATTTTGTTTTATCTTTAGGGACAATTTTATATGTTGGAACACCTTCCTGTTTTCTGAAAATTATAATTTCTAGTGTACTAGGTTACAATGCTTAGCACAACACATTCATTCTTGTTTATAATGAAGTCACACTGCCAAGAAAGCAGCAATGATTTCAATGCTAATAAAATTGAGAATGGAAATGGGAAATATATCAAAGAGACAACAACCTGACCAAAGAGCAGCAACAGCTGAAGGCCACCAATTGGTCTTCAACGATTAATGATTATTTCATAGCTTTTGATAAATTTAGAATTTAACAGACCATTTTCAAGTATTGGTTAAATCTTGAATGGTTTCTGTTGTAATAATTTTCCATAGCTATATTGTCACTTGTAAAGAGCTATTTAATTTTGAAATACTTATTACTATTATAATTCACTGTTCAAAGTTTAAAATAAAAATGACTACATTTGTAATTTTAGGTACTTTGATGAAGCATGAACTTGTTGGTGTGTTGAGAACTGAGTAAGTTATTTTGTTTTAAATAAAATTACTGGTAGTTTAAAGATTTTTTTATACAATTGGCAGCTAAAATAGTTATATGTTTAAACAATTTTGATGTGCCTGGAAGCAAATTGTACCTACTCTATAAATGAGGAGATGTTGCACAATTGCAATGAAACATATAACTGCCCATCAGAGTCAAATGTTAATGTATTACTTAGCAACTAAAGGTCACTGTATGGCCTTCAACAATGAGTCAAACTTATACTTTATAATGAACAAATATATGACTTGGAAGCGACAAGATGTGAAGCAGTTCAAATGTGAATACCAATGGCCTTATTTATATCTAGTTAAACCAATTATAAATATTACAGACAGCAACCAAGAACAACAACTGCTATAATAATAAATATTACAGACAGCAACTAAGAGCAACAACTGCCACAATAATAAATATTACAGACAGCAACCAAGAACAACAACTGCCACAATAATAAATATTACAGACAGCAACTAAGAACAACAACTGCCACAATAATAAATATTACAGACAGCAACCAAGAACAACAACTGCCACAATAATAAATATTACAGACAGCAACCAAGAACAACAACTGCCACAATAATAAATATTACAGACAGCAACTAAGAACAACAACTGCCACAATAATGAATATTACAGACAGCAACCAAGAACAACAACTGCCACAATAATAAATATTACAGACAGCAACTAAGAACAACAACTGCCACAATAATAAATATTACAGACAGCAACCAAGAACAACAACTGCCACAATAATAAATATTACAGACAGCAACCAAGAACAACAACTGCCACAATAATAAATATTACAGACAGCAACCAAGAACAACAATTGCCACAATAATAAATATTACAGACAGCAACCAAGAACAACAACTGCCACATGATGCATGTTGTTTTTTACAGCAGATTTAAACATTACAAACAGTTATGTCAACATAATTGATATCTGTTACTTTTACTGTTTATTTTTTATTTTTTTATATAGAATTGTGGTTTACAACTTAGCAGCAGAAAACAGTTATATGGTGTACTTCAACATATTGGTGTGCCTGGAAGCAAATGGTACCTGCTCAGTGAATGAGGTCATATTAGATGGAAGAAAAATAATCAAAGAAGTCTGTGACAGATCAAAGGAAAATGGTAATGCAATCCTGTAAAGATATTGAAATGTTGAAATCCTATTCATGATATGAAAAATTCTTTTCTTTCTTGAGCTTTTACTAACCAGTGGATCTATTTTGGACCCTCTACCTATTCGAAGATTTTTCACAATTTGGAAGAAAAACATATTTGACCTTTGACCTATCTTCCATATCAACTTGTAGTTCTAGAATTACATTATTTTTTCAAAAATAATTAGTGCTGTCATTTTACTGTCTTCTTTTTATTTGGCAGCTGTTTCTCAGTCTTCTATTAATATCTTTTTTGACAATTACTCTGATTCTCATATTTGTTTTAGAATTTTCACTGGCTGCTTGGCTTGAAGAAAAGAACTTACCAAAGTCTGGAGGGATCTTTCCAGAATGGGCAGAAGTTCAGCTGAAGCAGGATCTAAAAATAGACCAGTTTCTCAAAACAGCCTGCTATGTTTCTTATTACAATAGCAATGGTTTGTCAAAATTATATTGTGAACCAACATTTAACAATCAACTATTCACTATTTACAGATAAATGGTCTGGAATCAAAATATTCATTATATGGATAGCTAAAAAAAGAAATGTGAGAGAGAGTTAGAGATTGCAGGAAAAATGATGTTTTACACCTGTACTAGCACAAAAATTTATAATTTAGAAGAACACTTAAAAAAAATATTGCTTTCATGAATAATTATAAATAAATTGTGGTATGAGTGACAATGAGACAACTCTCCATCCAAGCCGCAATGTGTAAATAGTAAACAATTATAGGTCAAATTATACCTGTAAATGAACCTTTGTATAAATATCACATATTTATCTTGGATTGTATGTTGTTTAAATGCAGGATGACTGTAATATGTGTACTCAATTCTATAATAGAATGTTACAACTAAATTAGAAAACATAAAATAAAGGATTTTATTGGAAATGTTTGTTAATATCTGCTTGGGATTTGAAAACAGTATTGTCACTCAGGTTATGACCCAAAAATGTACTATTAAATAGGAAAAAAATAAGAGAGACAAATCATGATACAGAATTCAGCTTTAAATTACAGTTTGCTGAAAATAATTAGCTGACTGCTTTCCTTATTCATTTACAGAATGTAAAGATGCTGCTGTAAAAGTGATACCAATAGACCACTATAGTAGTTATTCATGCATTATATCAGAAAATTGCCAGAGTGTACACTGTTGTGTCAATCTTCCAACCTTAAACACAAAAGTTACAACAGTGTTCAGAATCAATCAATGTAGAAACAACTTAAGACTAGAAATTGACAATTTAGATCATGAATTTAAGTTCTCAGAACTTTCGTATGGTAAGTTTTAAATCTAAGGAAACCGTTATCAAAGGTGCTAAAGGAGTATAATTATAGTTCTGTGTTTTCCAGCTGTATTTCTCAGTTTTTATGCACAAATATCTTGATTGTTGTGTTGTACAATTACTGCCAGATAGGAAAATAAAGAAATAAAATGTCTATGTCTTTGATTATATTAACATATAAATGGATACTTACAACAATGTATTACAATTTGATAAAAATGGAAATCAGCTGTTTAAACAACTGGGTGACTTGATAGTGCTTGTGGCAATCAGGACAAGAGAAGTTAGATGGACAGAAATGGACTTCCTAGCCAAAGACATGCATGTAGTAGCATATTTCTTGCTTTCCAGCATTAAATCAAGCTGATTGTCAATAATAGGTTAAGAAGTTAGTCAAAACAACTGCTTTCTCTTCATTGTACCCAAAAACACATTGGAATCACTAAAGCTAGGAAATAAAGAGAAGTAAAAATTGTCTATGTGTCATATCTCCCGATTATTTTTTTCTCTCAGATACAGATTTCTCACTTTAAAGGCTTCAAAGGAATGAAATCACTAGAGAAGGATCATCAAGAGATTGACTCAATCTTAAAGATATGTGTAGCTTAAATTGTATGAAAGAAGTATTATTACTTGTATTTTCAGGTAACTTTTACACCTTTGGACTATTGGGAATAGTGAATATAAAGTAAGTAATACAATTTTCTTTTATTCATACATTAAAAAAATGGTTTTAGATCCAAGATTGAGACTAAGCAATCCACATTCATTGTAGTCAAATACAAACATCTAATGACACTTATAAACATTCATTTTATCCAAGTACAGGTATAGATTGGAATCATTTGCCTCAACAAATAGTATCCTGCAGTACAGTACAGGGATTCAAGAGTATGATTTCAGAATCTGTTCTCATCCCTATTTTCTACCCGTAACTATATTATTGTTATCAAATGTATAAATTGTTATCTAAATGTTATTTTTCAAATATACATGTACATACATTATTTTGATTTTTGATTTTGTTTCTTTTTTTCTGGTTACCTTGTAAATTATAAATCAAATTTTATAGTCTACGCCCGCTGAATAATCTTCAATAAATCGCTAGAGGATTGCTATAAATATTAGGAAGAAGATATTTCTGTCTACTTTTTTATAACCCAAGGGATATCTAGGTGTGGGGGCTGTATTGCAATTACATTGTCTGTTTGTCTTTGTTCATCCATCCAACAAATATTTCAGTCACACCCTTTGCAGGAACAACTGAACATTAACACGAATAGCTTCAAAGTTGGACAGCAGTAATCATAATATTTAAAAGGTCTTCCTGATGAATTTAGTAGACTCCTGTAGGAATATGAAGAGAATATTGTTGTATCTTCATAGAGAACAAATGAAACTAGTAGAATGTCAACATAGTTGGTCCATTCTCCTAGTTAAAATTTTTATAATCTTCAGAACTTTGTTGTTGGTTAGTCATAAGAATCCAGTAGGTTTTAACATACTTTAAAAAAATGATTGCTCACTTTGTTTCAGATATATTATAGATACACCCTCTCTAGACACATTCAGCTTAACTCTAAATATATCTGTTTGCATGGAACCAAATAATGAATGTGAATTTGAGATTGAGATCTTCAGAGATGTGGTTGTTGATCAACAGAGTTGTGACCAAGCTCCTGGATTCTTAAACCCATGTGAGTAGAAGTTCTCATCCAAGAATACAACTTAGCTCTTTGTTTTTACGTTGACTTAAAGTATTTCATTCTTTTATAACTCGATTGCTGTTTGCATAAATCAATCTACCTGTCGAATTTGTTAAAATTTTAGGTCAAAGTTTAAAGGTGAAATTCTTTCACACAGCAGGATATATTGAAAACAACCAGTTTAAAGTAAGCGATGCTTTGCTTTACATATTTGCTTACTAGACCATAATTAATAAATTAGTTATTAATTTCACCTGGCATCTGCAGTTATCAAGTTGGATAAAATGTTATGAAGTTGAAAAACTTGCATCTACCATGTTTGTCCTTTTGTTTCAACAATAAAATATATTAAACTAAACTAGTTATCAAGTAAAAACATAATTGATGAAATATCAATATTGATCAGTGGTTCTAAACATTAGATTACACTTTAAAAAGCAGTTTTAAATTTTATTCAGTGGAATTGTTTGATGTTGATAAAAAAAAAAGAATTATAGAATAATCATGGGAGTATTTAATCAAACTGTTCAGTGGGGAAGCCAGTGACATTGAAGAGTTCTTTCCGGTGGTCACGCGGGAAAGGGGACATAATCTAAAAATTTCGAGGTGGCGCTGTAATCAGCGTCTAAACAAAAACGTAGCATATGATTCAGACAATAAATTTATCAAAACGACTCATCATCTAACAGTATTTGCGGTTTAATCTTCATCAGAATAGATTTTGTCACACGACTGCCAAAAATATATTAAAATAAGTGCTTCGTTATTGAAATATGATAAATCAAAAGACTACCTCCGTTGGTTTCCAAAAAACCGCGGGTAATACCCCCGTCTGAAAATAACTGACACAATTGCATCCTAAAGCTTTTCATTGGTGGAGATATAAATAAATGTGACCCAGAAACACATGGGCACATGACTATGTAAAGAATACCCCGTCACTTCGAGTCTTGTTTACATAATAAATACCTCAACCGGAGGTCAAAATTCAACATTTTTCTAACGTTTTTGGCGTTATTTCATTGCAAAATGGAGCAAATGATGTCAATTTTACCAGTTTTTAACCACGAAATTGATTCAGACAATGAAGTTTGATGATGTTTCCTGGATTTTTAATATGTTTTACATAAAAATGTTGATAGGTTGAAGGCTTTACTCCGTCATTTGTTGATTTTTTTCATGTTGCTCAGACTCCTTGTTTCAATAATTTTCTGCATTTATTTAATTATTTGTTTAATTATGCTGCAGTGTATAACAGATTTATGTAGTACATTGAAACTGGTTTATTCTATGAATGAATTTGTCCATATAAATGACTTCAGTTGTCTGGAAGCCCCCCCTCTTTTTCCCACTTTCAAGAAATTTCAGTTGGGCAAAAAATATTGTCTGAATGAAAAGCTTGCACAAATGCGAAGTGTAAACACTCAGCTAATGTCTGTTTTAATAAGCCATTTTTTAAAGTCTAATGATTACAGTCATTCTTTGTTTCTGTAAATATTTACCTGAAATGTGTCAACTTGTCAATTTAAAAAATATTAAAAGTATCAATCAACAAATATTGCCTGCCTGCCACTGTGACATGAAAATCTGACGAGTCAATAATTTTCACTTGATTTTTAGTCTTTGTTCTTATTGTATAAATAAAACTACTATGCAAGTGGGAAGTTAACACACAAACATTTGTATTTTGCCTGTCCTTATCAAGGAACCTGTTGTACACTAACCATTCATGTTTAAGTGTGTCTGGGCCCTGGTAACAAATATTTGTCATTGTGTTTTCAAAGTGTGTGCATTTTCTTAAAGAATTGTTTTGAAAAAGTTTAGTGGCCATTCATCAAATTTGTTTTTCTTCCATATATATATAGTAGCTGTATTTATTTTATCATTAGTTCTGGATTTAGAATTTTTATCACATGCTGTTTTATATAAGGTCCTTTATACTTGACAAAATGGTTTGCAAATTGTTGAAAGCTAAAACTGTTACCTATAATTATCATCCTCTATCAATTGTCAATCATGTCAATATGGGTTTCTTTTAAAAACAACTTTTCCCAAGGAAAAACTAAAGTTGAAAAAAATAGTTCAACCCAGATATGCTGCTGCTGAAGAAATTAACATTAACAATGGTATTTTTCAAATATAGCATTCATTAATTACACTATTCCTTCATTGAAAATGAAACAAAAATATTTTAAATTGAATGCATCCAAGGGCTTTCCTGGATTAACCTTCAACAGGTATGCTCAATGCCTAGTACATACAAGTCTTAATATAAGCGAGAGCTATATGACCATTAAGAGCATTAAAAAAAGCTATATTGCTTCTGAGGTCTGCTTTGCAGATGGTATATGAATGTCTCACTCTGATTTTGGTGATCCTGTTTTGTTGCATTGATATTAATTTTTCAACCCACAACTTTTATTTCACACTAATCTTTTTCGAGGTCTATCATGATGGAAAGTTTAGGTACTGTAAATTCAGAAAAGATAGCAAAGTTTTTATTACTGAAATAATGTGAGTGGGTGAGTATCTAAATAATAAATTGTATTCTGATACCTTTTAATCTGATTAAAATGCAAATCCTGTGTCCAAGCTTATTACAAGAAAACAGAGCTTGGACACAAGATCTATACTTAAATCAGATACATATATCTGTGTGCTGATTTTTCTGCAAAAGTTATACTTTTTACACATTTTATTCCATTCTTCAAATTTGCAATAATAAAAGCACACAATAATTTGCAAAATCATGTGATTACATATAGGAAAAGGGCACCTAGGCATCTCATTCTAAATACTACACATGGAGCAGGATCTGCTTACTCTTCCAGAGCACCTGAGATCATCTGTATTTTGTGGGTTCAAGTTGCTCAGTTTTCATTTTTCTAATTTGTATAGTAGTTTAAACTTTTCATCAAATAGTCTGAAAACAGAGATGTGTATCTGCTGAAAATGATTTATTTAGGTGCAGGGGTCACCACACTTCAAAATCTCCCTGGAAGCATATAACAGTGAAAAGTCATGTCATGAGAGGCCACTAGAGAGACATCAAGGATACCTCTGGGAGAAGTGAACGATTCTAAAACCACTCCGTTTAAGTCCTTCACACCTAATAAATCATTAAAGTAGACCTTTTACATCTTTGATATTTTTTTATGTCTCAAATACTACAGTACATACATGTATATGGCTAATGTGCTTGCTTTGCATCTATGAATGTTTTATTGTATTGCAGCAGCATTGTCTCATGTACATCTACCTCATGTCATCAATATAAAATGATTATGGTGTTTCACTTTGTATATGTAAAAATATAAAAATGTTAAGAAAAAAAAAGTTTATTAAAAGATAAATAAATACAAATGCATAAAAATAATGTTGAAATGAAACATATGTAAATAATATCTTAAATAATTATAAGTAAATAAGCTTCAATCAAATAAACAAAATTTAATACAACTTAAATACTTTGAAAGTAAAAAAAAACAAACACATAACAATAAAGTTTAAAATTTAAGAAGCATAATTATTGTTAAAAAGTCCAAGTTAAAGTAAAAACAAGTCAAATAGTGCTCTGTTCCATAAATCCTCAAAATGGAAATGTTTCCTGCTCTTCTTTATTCCTTATTTCTATTGTTACATGTATCTGTAAATATATAATTTATGCATAGGATATTAAATGAAAATAATTTCCCAACTTCTCTAGAGTTGTCATATGAAATTATAATTTACATTTTAATTGTCTACTGATTCTTATGTGGTCCAAGTTTTAATTTAAATTGAATGTTTCTAATTTCACTAATGTGAAACTAATCAGATGTGAAATAATTGCCAATGAGACAACTATCCCCAAAAAATCAAATGGAGTGGATATAAGCAATTTTATGCTACACTAAAGCCTTCAATCATGAGAAAATCCCATAATGTATATACTTAAGTTTGTTTTTAGATATTTGTTATTATTTTTTTGAAATTGAAATTATTCTTATTTTAATCTTAAATAATCAAAAGTATGTATATAACCTTCAATAAAAATAAACAAAAAATTTAGACTTCTGGTGTAAATAAATAATTTATTTTGATGACTTTATATGATATGTCTGATAAGAAGAGGTCATAATCATATACAGCAACATATGTTCAAAGAAATTTTTCTATTTATTTATTCATTTACTGAAGTATCTTAACATGTTAAAGTTAAATTCATCACTATATAATAACATATCAATCTTTTTAATAGATATTAATATATATTTTATGATATTAAATGTAAGTAAACGTCATAATTACAAACAAAATATCAGTATGAGAGCAAAAACATAAAGTAAATGCACAAGTAAGTCTGCATTCAGGTTGAGAATTCAAACTCTCCTTGTGCAAGTTATCTGAACTAGGATTGCTGTAATCAAAGGTCTGTGGTTATCTATGACGGATGGACAGACAGACGGATGGATGGACAACGGTATACCATAATACCTCTCATAAACAGGCGTATAAACAGGAGGATTCTTTTTCCAAATTGTCTTTGCCTAATGAATATTCTATGAAGAATTTCTTTTAAATATTTAGGAAATTTCCTTTTATCATTAAATGACATTTTATCAAAATAAATGTGAAAATTACTAAGAATATTCATTTCTAATGAAAATTAATCTTCAAAATGACAACAGATTATGGGTATATTCTAAATTTTAAAAAAATGGAAAATTAATAAAAAAAAATCATAACTTCATATTACATTCCTTTAACTGTATCTGAACATGATTAATGAAAAAAAAAAAAAAAAAAACACTGACTAGATTGTCAAAATCTTATGAAGAATATTTATATTTATATTTCAAGTAAAGACAGAAAATGTCGAAATGTTGACTTTCTTATCAGATAACCTATGTGTAACATCTGTGGTCAGTTTATTGGGTAGAGTGATATATATAAATTACAAGGACTTCAAACTGTGAAGCTAATCAGTTGTGAAATTTGAGATTCCCTCAAATCTGGGGGCATTCTTCGGGCTGTACTATAAAGTATATGAGCAATCAGGCATCCACCACCAATAAAACCTGGCCACAACACCTTGCCAATACTGTGGCGTTAAAAATCAACAATCAATCACATATAATTTGTGTGTTTTTTAGTATGGAAGGAGGGGCAGAACTGATACTTTCCTCCTGATTAATATTTCATATACCTGAAATCTGTTCAAAATATTTTTCATGACCATATATGCATTATATAACAAAAAAATGGTACTGTTGTTCACATAAACAAGGGTCTGGATGGGGTGTCCTCCATTTCTATATTATTAAATCTTTAAGGTCATTTGTCTCTATTCTTTATACTTTTTACCCATCCTTCTCTTTTCTCAATAAATTAGCACTGCACAACATTATTCTCTATTCCTTATAATTTTTAGTCAATTTTTCTCTATTCTTTATACTTTTAGCCATAGTACTCTATTCTGTTGTTATTTTTTTTTGTCACACTCATTGAACTAACATTTTTACTATTCGAGAGAATCAAACAAATGATCACAAATGCTTTACACAACCGTAATAATTAAACTAAAATATAAATGCTATCATTGACAGGCCAAAATTAGTTTTATTTAAAATTGAAGTCTCACGCTGGGAAAGGGGCGTTTATTTACATGTGGTCTGTGGAAATTTCAGCATCGAAAAAGGGGCAAATATATAGCCATAATTTGGCATAAACCGATCTGATCAATGAAATTTTGTTATGGATATTGTTCATATCTTTCTACTAACCATTAAAAGAATATTACTATGATTTTGTGAGCACAGAAACCTACTATTCACGTGGATCTGTTGAAAAATGGCGTCGATTTATGTGCTTCCCTTTCGCAGCCTCAGTTGCAATTTGACACGGAGTGATGGGTAGTTATGCAAATATTTAGGGACTCCCATCATCATAGATACTATATTTGGTCATTTTATATTTAAATAGCCATTAGGATGCAAATGTGTCAGTTATTTTCAGAAGGGGAAAACACCCGCCATATTTTTATCTTCCAAAACAACAACGTCACTTGCCATTTTCAGATGTTTGTTTCTTGTAAAATAAAATCTCCTAAGAAGAAAAAATAGCATGGTCACCTGTTAAACTTACCTATATAACTAATTGATGATGAAATGATGCAAGTTTAATTGTCTTTAATAATAAATGTCTTGAAAAATCAAACGTACACGATGTAAACAAATTACCGAGATGGTGCGATACTGTCGCCGTCTATTTAAAAATCGTGATTGTCGCCCTTGAATTCTTGTCCGTTACGTCATATGGAAGGAGGCGCAGAACTGACGTGTGGCTTTCCCACTGGTTGGTCTGTCTGGTGGCCAGTCACCATTCCACTCAATTAAAAAAACAATTGTTGAATTTAGTAGTGATTAATTTTCATAGAATCCTTGTAAAATGGTTTTCTGCTTAATTTCATAACTTGACCTGTCCTAGATCCTAACTGGCCATAACAACTAAACAAGTATTGCATATGTCCTAATTGGAAAATGCATTTAGAAACATTGCAGTTCAAAGCACTGATACCGCTAGACTTGGTTACATCAATATACATAATTATTTATACCTGCATTGTCTTTATGAGTATAAAAAATAGATAGTGCTTATGAGAAAAATGTTTGTGAAATGGTAAAAATATTTGTTCCTTTTCTTAGCTAGTACAAATTCATGCAGAGTGAACAAGTGCAAGATTGGGGATTCCTATTTCTTTGAACCCCTATTTGGCAGTAACATATAGACATATAGCTTTATATCATGTTTTCTTTTTTTCAACTTTTTTAGCATTTTCATTAGAGGACTGGTTATCTGGTAAAAACATAAAAGTAGAGGACATAACAGATGTAACAGCAAATGATTTGATGACAGAACTTGGTCTCTCTGATTACATGGGGTGGTCAAATATTTGTGATGTCAACCTGATGCCGTATAATGGATCTGTGAATGGATGGAAGAATGGTAAATTTATGTCATTACTTAAAGCTGTTATCCTTATGCTAGTAAGTCAAATGTTTGGTTTACCTGCTTGCTTTGTTTGTATAAATGTTTGTTGAAGCATTGCAATTAAGATTGACATCTGCTATCATTATAGATAGGTGGGGCTTCAGCTTGTTTACATTATACTTATATATGTTATTGGAAATTAAGCAATGTATACAAGTTGAAGCCCATCCTATCAATTGCTTGCAGATGTCAACATTAATTACAAAGCTTGAGTAAACATTTATACAAACAAAGCAACGAGCCATTAATCAAACCTTTAAGTTGCTAGTATTAGGATAACAGCTTTAATTTGAAATCTTACTGTGATTTAATTGTAAGTCTTGCTCATCACCTGCACCTATTGCAGTAAATTCAAAGTTCTGAACAAATTTCAATTTGTTTCATCATATCAAAGGATATTTACACTTGTTTCTTGTCATAACAACAAAGAAAGTTTCAAAAAGCTAACCAGATTCTAATTAGAAATTAAGATTTATTGTATAATTTTGTAAATGAAAATACAAATCACCTATATTAATTGATGCATATAACATGTACTTATTTCCAGAATGTGCTAATATAACAGCACCATCAATCAAACTGAATGAGAGCGTTGTATGCCACATTACTGAGACTTGTGATAGAGTTACCTGCTGTGCTGACATTCCTGTTCTTAAAAGATATGTCTATGCATCTGTCAATCTCAGAACGTGTGATTATTTACTTGACGTAGACCTTGAGGAAAACCACTTTGAATTCAACTTGATCAATTATGAATGGGGTTGGTTTTAATTTAGATATTTAGATATTTATAGATTATCGTTGGTCATCTCAACAAGATTGATTTTCTCGCTTGAGCTGTTACAGCGAAAGTGAGTAAAGCAATTGAGTTAAGATGACCGATGATAATCTGTTAATTGCTATTACACCTTTGACGACGTTGTTAACTTCTAGCGATAATTTTCAATTCACTACTGTGCTGAGAAAAGAAATTATCAGTCAGTAAGATCAAAAGGAAAATTTTATAAAATAGCAATAATGAGCAATTGTTGTAACTTTCAGATCTTTTTAAAGTTATTCTTAAATTTAAACTTTATTAATACTACTGGGGGAAAAAAACTGTACATAGCTTAATTAATGGCAAATATTTCAAACATCAACTTGATAAGTTTGCAATTTAAACAGCTGGTAAAAGTCTTATGTTTTCAGATTATCCTAGGTGTGTGAATCCTGTTTATACACCATGTCATGGTTCATGAACACAAGCTATTGAGCTATTGGGTGACGTTGAATTGCAATATTTCACTGCTGCAACATTTTTGAAGCATTTTGCACTCTTTCTGACAAATCTTTTGAAAAGATGAAAAAATATGTGATGACTTGTAAAGCAATTTTATCATTTTTAGAACATGTCACTGGTAACACTTTCTTGCACTTCCGGTGAGATTTTGATGTCTTGATTTTGTCATGTATTATTTTTTACATTTCTCTTATTTGACGTCATTAACACTCACTATTATGATGTCATCAACATGTTTTTTTGTTATTGCAACAACACGTCTCAACTCTATGAATCATGTATTAATTAATAATCGCTAAAAATTTGCAAAACATATATTTTTGGAAATCTGGGGCCATTTTAGGCTATTATAGCCCCTACTCCTTTTAAGAAAGCAATCACAACAAAGACAGGGTCTGTGATCAAAGTTTAGTGGATCTCAGATCTCGTATGAGTCTAAAAACATTTATTTTCCTTTGTTCTTTGCAGCACGTCAAGGTGTCTAAGATATGTAAGACAAACAGTACATAAATTATTTTCCAATTTAGCCAAACTCAATGCATTGACCAGTTATTTGTAAGTTCTTTGTTCTGTGTTTTCTTTATGGAAATGTTTATGCTCATAAATAAATATATTTTAGGTAAACAAGAGAAGGTAGAGATTCATGGAGTGCTGCAGCTGGTGTAAGTAGATTTATCATACAAAAAGATCAAAATAAAATACTGCCCAATGTATTAAATGAGATTTCCTTTCCTATTACTTGGCTAAATCAGCATTGATTGTTATCATTACTGGTTATTTTATATAGAAATAAGATGTGATATGAGTGCCAATGCCACAACTCTCCATCACAATGTGTAAAAAGTAATCAATTAAAGGTCAAAGTACGGCCTTTAACACGTAGCCTTGGCTCAGATCTAACAGCAAGCTATAAAGGGCCCCAAAATGAATAGTTAAAACAATTTAAACAGTAAAACCAATGGTTTAATCTATATAAAAAACATGAAACAAAAAACACTTATGAACCACATTAACAAACAACAACCACTTAAAAACTGGTTCCTGACTTAGGACAAGTGCAAACAAATTCAGCAGGTTTAAATATTTTAACAGGTGCCAATATTCATCCTAACCTGAAACAGTAGTGTTTCATTACAGCATAGAAAGACACACTATTAAAGATCAATAGAAATGACTTAACTTGATCAAAAAGACATATAAACAAAAAACAAGTAACCATACAGTGAATGAATAAATTTGAATAAATATTAATTTTATAAAAAGGGGGTTGAAAAAGACAACTCTAACATGGGACAAAATGGTGTTAAATAAACTAACATACACATGTAAATTTAAATATACAAATTTTGTTGTTAGGAATACGGAAATATTTTTGCAAAATAAATAAATCTATTTTTCATAGTACAAGAACAGAAGTGAAAATGCATTGTCATACTTAATTCTTATCAATGTTTATTGTTACATATACTATTTTAGATATGCTATCCATCACATTCCTTCCCTAAAGTTATTCTCTATGGATATGAAAATCAAGGCATGTTTTGAAGGAAATAGTTCTGTTTGCTTGTATGACTACACAGTTATGGAGAATTCCCAGCTTCTGTACTCAGAGTGTGATCAGACTGTTGAAAGAGCTCCATTCAAAGGTATGAATATGATTGGGTTTAATGCCACTTCTGTGTAGTGGTATAGTATCATGGAAGTCAGAAAAAATCCATATTGCTGTTTATAGCAGTTTTCTTGTTACTCTTGCCATTTCTATGATATTAGGGGCTGTTTTTATTAAATATTAAAATAGCACTTAACAGGTCAACATTTTTTAGTATTATACACAAGTATGATATAAAATTGAGAATGGAAATGGGGAATGTGTCAAAGAGACAACAACCCGACCACAGAACAGACAACAGCAGAAGGCCACCAACAGGTCTTCAATGCAGCGAGAAATTCCCGCTATTTTCCTGTAGTTTTTTTCACATCCGAGTTATGAGATTTTATTCATAAAAAAGGGGTAATTTTCATGTTTTCGGACAATATCCCTAAAGTGCAATGAGCAGTTTTCATTAAATTTTGGTGACTAATTTATATCTATTAAGATAACCTCCTTTTTGATTTTTATAAAAATCTGATATGACATTGAGAAGTTATTCAACTTTATTCTATTAAAACGTGACGGGCGTATCATGCGCTCATGGCACAGCTGTTTATTTCAGAGGGGTCTGGTGTTGGTGGGCAATATGGACTGTTGTACTGTCCAATATTTTTGGTTATTGAGATTATACCTTTATGCCCTGCCTATAATGATAAGGGTACAAAAAGTTTACCACTCTGTGTGTCCTATCTTTCTGTGGTATCCATACCATATAAGGTGGAAGTTTTGGCTAAAGATAGTTTACCATGAAGCTGTAGTTTCATCAACTTGAAACATAGTAAACATGTTCATTTTGATGTGAAATTTATAAAAAAAAATATGGCAAATTAACATTAGAACTTTAACCAAGCTTTCCTGGTTCACTGAACATGGTGATTTGATAGTGTGAGAAGGACCTGGTGTCCTATAGCTACTGACACATATTCTTGTTATATAAAATGTTGAGTATTCTTGTTCTAATATGCTGTGGTTATATCATATAGCACTTTAATATTACATAGCTATATAGCTTAAATATAAATATAAGAAGATGTGGTATGATTGCCAATGAGACAAGTCTCCACCCAAGACCAAATGATGTAGACTTTTGGAACTAAAGGTCACTGTTTCAACAATGAGCAACACCCATACCGCATATCAAGCTATAAAAGGCCCTGAAATCACAAATGTAAAACAATTTCAACTAATGGCTAGATTTATATGCAAAACAATAAACTAAAACCAGATATGATTTACAACAAGAAATGACAACTACTGAATTACAGGCTCCTGACTTTGGACTGGCACATACAGAATGAGCTTAGTTAAATATGTTAGTTGGTCATATGCCTTTGAAAATGATCCCCCTTATTTGAAACAAAAGTATAAATCAACCATACATTTTTTTATCAGTATAATATTACCGTAAAGTAGCCAACGAACTGCCTTACTTAAAAGAAAAGAACTACAAACAATACATATTTTTGAAATCTGTACAAGATGAGTTATCTTCTGACAGCTTTTTTTGCACAAAATTACTTTTTTTGGTAAAAAAAAAGAAAAAGAAAAAAAAGCATTTACATTTCTGCATAAAAGTTTATTTAAACCTTATAATTATTGGTATGTCAGGTTCAAAGATCAATTGGTTTTTAACTATAATAAATGTTCTTTTTAAATTTTAGGAATTTCTTTTGATCTCTGGCAGCCGACAGAATGTGCATTACAAACCTCACCATCTATATGCAGTTTTTTTTTATTTGGTTATATGTCAGATGAATGCTCTTTCACCCCTGACTGTCAAGGAATAACATGTTGCCTTCCAATCAAATTTATCAATGGACAACGGATGACCAACATTACATTTCACTTCATTTCTTGCACTGAGTTAGAATATAGCATTGAAAGAAAAGTTTGGCAGAAAAGTCTTGAAATAGGTTTGTTGGACTAGTATACTTGAGTTAGAATGAGTAGATTTTTTTTTTATACTATATGTATACTATAAAATTGAGAATGGAAATGGGGAATATGTCAGAGATAACAACCCGACCAGAGAGCAGATAACAGCCGAAGGCCACCAATGGGTCTTCAATGCAGAGAGAAAATCCAGCACCGGGAGGTGGTCCTCAGCTGGCCCCTAAATAAAATTGTGTACTGGTTCAGTGAAAATGGACATCACACTAAACTCGAAAACATATAAAGGAACTAAAATTATAAAAACATACACGACTAACAAAGGACAGAGGCTCCTGACTTAGGACAGGCGCAAAAATGCGGTGGGGTTAAATTTGTTTTGGGAGATCTCAACCCTCTCCCTATACCTCTAGCCAATGTAGAATAAAGAAACACATAGTAATACGCACAGTAAAACTCAGTTTAAAGGAAGTCCGAGTCCGATGTCACAATAGGTAACAAAAGAAACTAAGCAAAATGACAATGATACATAAATTAACAAAGGACTACTAGCAGTTACTGACATGCCAGCTCCAGACCTCAATTAAACTGATTGAAAGATTATGTCTTCATCATATGAAAATCAGGTACAATCCCTCTCGTTAGGGGTTTAGTATCATACCATCATAAAATATATGAGAAGAACAAAACCGTATCATGCCAACAACTGGTTTTAGAATAAATGTGTTTATTTCTGATGCAAAGACCCTATGAGTGAATCAATATTAATAACAAAATATGCAATCCTTAATGATCCGACAACAGTATCGTAACTATATCCCTTCCGAATAAGTCTGTTTAAAGGTTTGGTTAGCTTTTGAGGTGAATGCCGACATTTTTATACGGTCCTATATTGGTATGACGCTGGCGTTGTCGTCGTTGTCCGAAGACACATTGGTTTTCGCACAATAACTTTAGTTTAAGTGAATGGATCTCTATGAAATTTTACCATAAGGTTCAATACCACAAAAGGAAGGTTGGGATTTTGGGGGTTATGGTACCAATAGTTAAGGAATTAGGGGCCAAAAATAAGCATTTTTCTAGTTTCATGACAATAACTTGTGTGTAGTGTATGGATCTTTCTGAAATTGTACTACAAGGTTCCATATCACAAAGGGAATGCTGGAATTGATTTTGGGGGTAATTGCCTCAAAATGTTAGGAATTAGGGGCAAAAAACCAGCATTTTTCTAGTTTCATGACAATAACTTGTGTATAAGTGTATGGATCTTTCTGAAATTGTACTATAAGGTCCATATCACAAAGGGAAAGCTAGAATTGAGTTTGGGGGTAATTGCTCAAAATATTTATTTCAGTAGTAGTTACTATTAATTTTGCTGATCAAGGTTTTCTAATTTTAGCCATGACTATGATGTCATTTTCTATTTTTATACTTTTATGATGTATTTAAATGGGCTTTTATGGTTACAAAGTCCATTGGAAATTTTGAAAGCAAATTTAGATTTAAAATATGCACTTAATTTTCCATTATCTTTTGAATAGCAATTTATATAAGACTGCAAAATTTAGTATGGATTCATATAGTGCTATGATGTCGTCATTGTTTGCATCGTTGTCAACTGAAAACAGATTTGATTTCCAAACAATAGCTTTAGTTTAAGTGAATGGATCTCTATAAAATTTTTTAGGAAGGTTCAATACCATAAAAGGAAGATTGGGATTTATTTGGCAAATGATTGTCCCAATTGTTAAAAAGAGACACGAAACAAGCATTTTTCTACTTTCAGGATAATAACTTGAGTATAAGTATTTCAATTGCTCTGAAATTGTACCAAAATGTTTAATACCACAAGGACAAGGTTTGGATTCAATTTGGGTGTTATGGTGCCAACAGATTTGGAATTGAGGGCAAAAAAGGGGCCTAAAACAAGCATTTTGTAGCTTCTAGACAATAGCTTGTGTGTAAGTGTATGGATCTCTCTGACCTTGTACATCAAGGTTCCATATCACAAAGGGAAGGCTGGGATTGAGTTTGGGGGTAATTGCCCCAAACATGCAGGAATTAAGTGCAAAAAGAGAGCCCAAACAAACATTTTTAAAGTTTCAAGACAATAACTTATGTTTAAGTGTATGGATCTCTCTAATATTGTACTACAAGGTTCAATACTACAAAGGAAAGACTGGGATTGAGCTTGATGGTTAATGCTCCAAGGGAGATTCAAAAAGTTTGAAAAGGGGGGGGTTCAAATATTTTTTAATCGGTTCATATTTTTTTATACCCCACACAACGAAGTTGCGGAGGGTATAATGTTTTTGACCCGTCCGTCCGTCTGTCAGTCCATCAGTCCTGTTTCTTGTTATCGCAACTCCTCTCAAACCACACAACAGAATTTCATGAAACCTTTTTAGATAATAAGGACATACTATGTAGATGTGCATATCGACAGGAAATTACGATTCAGTTTTATTTCTAGGAGTTACGCCCCTTTGAACTTATTTGCTACAATATACTACTGGAACAGTTTGTCATCGCAACTCCTCTGAAACCACACAACAGACTTTCATGAAACCTTTTTAGATAATAAGGACATACTATGCAGATGTGCATATCGACAGGAAATTACAATTCAATTTTTTTTCTAGGAGTTACGCCCCTTTGAACTTATTTGCTTCAATATACTACTGCAACAGTTTGTCATCGCAACTCCTCTGAAACCACACAACAGAATTTCATGAAACTTTTTTTAGATAATAAGGACATACTATGCAGATGTGCATATCGACAGGAAATTACGATTCAATTTTTTTTCTAGGAGTTACGCCCCTTTGAACTTATTTGCTTCAATATACTACTGCAACAGGTTGTCATCGCAACTCCTCTGAAATCCACACAACAGAATTTCATGAATCTTTTTAGATAATAAGGACATACTATGCAGATGTGCATATCGACAGGAAATTACGATTCAATTTTTTTTCTAGGAGTTACGCCCCTTTGAACTTGTTTGCTTCAATATACTACTGCAACAGTTTGTCATCGCAACTCCTCTGAAACCGCACAACAGAATTTCATGAAACCTTTTTAGATAATAAGGACATACTATGCAGATGTGCATATCGACAGGAAATTACGATTCAATTTTTTTTCTAGGAGTTATGCCCCTTTGAACTTATTTGCTTCAATATACCTCTGCAACAGTTTGTCATCGCAACTCCTCTGAAACCACACAACCGAATTTCATGAAACTTTGTAGATAATAAGGACATACTATGTAGATGTGCATATCAACAGGAAATTATGATTCAATTTTTTTTTCTGATACATTTTTTTTTCTTACAGTTATTTTATTTCTCCAGTGACAATGTGGGGACATGGGGTATGTGAGCTTGCTCACTAAGGTTCTATAATTTTAACATTTTTAAATTTCAAATTTTTGAAAAATTTCAAGAAGAAATCTTTAATTGCACAGTATTGCGCATTAGATTTGTAAAATCTTTGACCACATTTATTTTGTGTCAGAAACCTATATTATGGCAAAAATTTGATCACAGTCCAAATTCAGATAGTATCAAGCTAGAATATTGTGTCCAAATTTGGCCCAACTGTTCAGGGTTCGACCACTGCGGTCGTATCAGGCTGCGCTCAGCGAAGCATTTTATTGTGCTTTGTAAATAATATTATCATAAAATATTGGATGTGAAATACCTGAACGTATAAGATGTCTGCATGTTGATTTATATTTACGAATGATGTCCTTGTACCGATGATAAAATTTAGTAAATGTTTTGACTAGTTTGTGATATCGAAAACCCTGGTTTAATAATTTTTCAGTAATACAGAGATTTCTTTCGTTGAAATCAAATACGTTGTTACATACACGAGCGAATCAAACAAGTTGAGATATATAAACACTATAAGATGGTGACAAGGGAAGGTCACTATCTAAAAATGGATAATTAACAATAGAAAATGAAAAATCATCTCTTTTATCATAAATTTTGGTATTAAGCTTCCCGTTAAAGATATATATATCAAGATCCAGGAAAGGGCAGTGTTCATTGTTAGTATTAGCTTTATTTAAAGTCAGTTTGGCAGGATAAATCTCTTTAGTGTACATACTGAAGTCGTCATTATTGAGAGCCAATATATCATCTAAATATCTAAAAGTGTTATTAAATTTTTGAATCAGATGTTGTTTCGATGGGTCTTTGCTGATTTTAGTCATAAATTGTAACTCATAACAATACAGAAAGAGGTCCACAATAAGTGTTGCACAGTTAGTTCCCATGGGAATTCCAATACTGTATTTATATGGTGTGGGCCATGCATTAATATTGGATGCTATACATTAATCCAGTTACACCACAGATAAACATGTTTACCAAATTTTTAATTATTTTAAAAGTAAAGAGACATATTTCTGTGTCAATAGCTTATTTATACTGAATATCAAATTTAAATTTTCTAAGGAATAAGGAATGTATTCTATATTACTGATATAAAATTTTCAGATAAAGTAGTGACAGAGAATATAGGTGACACTTTCCAGTATAACTACAGCTTAACATCAGGATTTGATTCATCAAAATATGTAGTTACAGTAGATTTACAAGTTTGTTACCAGGCTGATGGATTTTGTAGGACCTACATATTAGTGGATTCTATGTATATTGCATGTTCATCACTTATTAAGAAAAAGAGACGTAGAAGAGCTACTACAGAGTATGTGATAAAATATAGCAAAGACTACCATAACTTTTTGTCAATAATACATTATAAACTGCATTTCCTTTGATTTTAGTAGACAGCATGTACAAGAATCCAGTTTTCAGAATAATTTATTTTTATGGTTGTCTTTGGATTTCGTTATTTTCCTTTATGTTTGAATTAAAAGTTCAAAACTGTCAAATTTGACAATTTTTATTGAAATTGTGACTGTTTTATCAAATAATAATTTGAGAATTAAAAATAGAAATTTTCAGTTAGTATTGATGTCTTACAACTGTGTCAGATGTTTGAAAAAATTATAACTATTGCGAACCCAATGAAAGTTTTCCACAGTGCCATCTCTATCTGACCAAGGTATTTAAACTTTTGTAAGTCTACACAGAGAACAATAGCTATTGTATTTATTCAATAGGACAGGTGAACTTACAAAAGTTTAAATACCTTGGTCAGATAGAGATGGCACTGTGGAAAACTTTCATTGGGTTCGCAATAAAAGATAAGAACAAACTAAAATTTAGTAGGGAGTGGCATGACTCATCAGATTGACACAAAGTACAACATGAAACTTTATACAAAGAACCATTCTAAGAGTACTCACAGTTTCTTAAAGCTAGTTCAAAGCCAATGTCAGCTGATAATTAAAGCCTGTTTTCCTGATCTTAAATATCAATCAGTACACATCCAACAGATTTAGTTTAAAGACTTATAAACCGTTTAAGAAAAGCCTGACGTTTTCAAATGCCATATAATATAAGTATCATGTGTAAGAGTAAGACCATAAGTGTCTGTAACTAAAACAATGCATTATAGTTATGTTTTAATCTATTTAAAACAAAATTAATATTAGTTTCAAAGACAATATTCAAAGATTTTATTACAATTTTAAGGTACCTTTAAGAATCAGTTTATCAAAAACATCAAGAATTAAGTAATGGTTTTAAGAAATTTGTGGGAAAGAAATCCCTGACCTTATGATTTACCAATTTGACTATGTTCATTGAAATCTAAAATGTCACTATAGACACACCAAATAAAGTGAACGAGTTGGGAAGTAAACACATCGTAATATGAGCCGAAGGAAGATCACCTTTGAAAAAAGGAAAAGTAGCAACTGAGAATGAGAAATCATCTCATTTATTGTTGTTTTGAGTTGGACATTACACTGTGATTCATAACAATACAGGAACAATGGGGTATTTATTTTAAATATATTATTAATCAAAATAAAATTAACTCTGCCGTTGCATCATAGGGGAGTATTGATCAATAATTATCTTTACATGCCAGACTGGTGTTGGATTGCCGCTGTGCTCGTCTGCCCTCGGACGACAGTCCTTATTTGGTCAAGAGACTGGCATTACCAATGGGAAAGGGGCTTCCAGTGATGACCAGTCACATGACTAATTAGCTGATTGGTTTGTGATTGTAGTGCGCTCACTTCAATTAGGAAATTTAGCGTGGTTGAACACAGCAAAGTTTCATGCAGAAACTAATTTTTTATTATATAAACGCTTGGATTATTTATTGAGTGCTTTATCATCATACATATGTAAGTCACGTTCTTGCTTATTATGGCTTCAGTTTTTGAACAATTTAAAGCTATACTGGGATTTCCCGAGAGGTTCCAACTGTCGGACGAAGAAAATTTCTACTTTGAACTCTTACTTGTCTGAAACCGAGAACGATGTCAATCGGGCTTTGTGGTCACTAAAATTGGATTGTGCCGCATGTTGCAGTGGGTGTATCTTTTGTAACTTTTCTGCCGTTGTGCCCATTTGTGTACCATGCAAAAGTACACGCACAGATTAGAATTGATTATCGCTGTAAACTTGTGCTTGACATTCACGATTCAGACTATTCAATTGATAAAATTTCGAACAAAATCGACAAAGACGCATTTTTGTCATTAGCAATTAGCAATGGAAGATATCGAGAAGGTGCAAGTGTGGGCAACCGCCAAAAAACTGGACGAAAATACCGTTGACGAATTGCTGAAGAATGGATTCAACAGCATTGAATCTTTGTCCTTGTTGACATTAGAGGACATCAAAACTTTCCATATTCCGCTTAAGTCAACCATCTGGTTTCCTATACTACAGAATACATATGCATTGATTATTTGACCTATTCCATTTTAAAATCAGAAGTAATGCTGTGTAAACAAAAAGTGAAAAGTAAAATTTGCTCTCCTATATTATTTGAAGGCTTTTTAAATTATGATTTTAAGGATTACATGATACTTGGTGTTACTGATTTATTTTTCATTTTGTATTTTTGACATTTTCAGGCCCAAGGTTTCAGATTTCAAACCTGGTATGAGAATTCTATTGAAAAGAAAGGCTTCTTCAAAAGAAATAAAAGAATACATTGACAAAGTGAAAGAATATGAGGTATAAATAACAAACTTTTATTATACTGTACATAATGAACAGAAAATAATTGCCAAAAAGAGTAGAACCAGGAAGGCCAAAAAAAGTATCATATCCCACATTGACTCATGGAGACTTGATGTTTTTATAGTATTTCTTTCTTTTTCTCTTTAATGATCTGGTTCTTATTCTCAGAAAATCTGGTCTGGGCCAATGTGTTTGTATCTTGACATTGACTAATTTATTTGGCATGAACATGTCTTGAAACCTAAATTTAACCTTAACCTTGACCTCTATATGAAATTCTAAATATTTTTTTGTCAGGGTCATCACTGTTTTATCTTTGACATTTTATGCAAGCATACCTGTCAACTGAACTGTAGGATGTGACCCGTGAATTTATTATTTCATCTGAGATTTTTCAAAACCTGTTCCGTCATCAAATATATAACCTGGGAATTTCCTCAAATGAAAATATCAGTTATCTTATTTTAAAAAATCATTATAAAACAATTTGAACCTCTTTCAATATATCTAATGATAATAATAATAATAATAATAATAATTCTTTATTTAAAGAGGGTTACACAGTTAGCTATAAAACTAATCTTCCCTGAGGCCCTCGTGAAATACAATGAAATATAATAAACAATTACAAAATATCAAACAAACACACATATATGAAAAAATGAAATAAAAAATTGTTATGAAATATACAATTTTCAACACAGGTAAAAATTACAAATTCATATAGTATTGGATTCACTCAACTTACCTCAACAATATCTTAAGTTTGAGTAAGTGTATGAAAATTATTATGCATATAAAATTACACAGCTTCTTAATGTTCCAACAAGTAATTTTTTTAATCTTTTTTGAAGGAGCTTGTACTTGAGGTTGATTTTTAGGCAGTTAAGCTGCCTTATGCTAGCACCCTAGCTTTGTGTTCTTCCCAACGAATGCTGAAAAAAGTGCCATTGTTATAATCTAGCAGGCTAATATGTTATTTATAACTAAATTGGACATTTTTTTCATACTTTTAATTCTGGAATACAAAAAATATAACCAGAATAACCTTAAATGATCATCATACGACCCATAATATTTGAAGTTGCACATAAGAAATAGTGCCCATTGCCGAAAATCTGTAATTACAAGTCGTTTATATTTCCCAAATGGCAAAATGCGCAGGAATACTGTTCATGTACACCAAATCTCTATGATAGAGGAAATAAAGTTATATATAGTAGTCTAAGTTGGCTGTAATTTTAACTTAAACGAAACGTAAGCTTGTTTGATTCTGATTATATAAAGCCCGATTAAAAGAAACTTCAAAGTATTGTTAATCATGATATTCTTTTAGTTTAAGAAGATTGTGATTATTTAATTTGATTTCAATTAAATGTATGCACATTTAAATTCCTTTCTTTTATTAAATTATTCCGTTTATCACTGACCTTGCTAGTTGTTGTTATTTTATGAATGAAAAAGTTCTGGAAATCGACGTAATCAACTTAGACCAATCAGGTCGATGCTCTAAGAAATGTGGAACAACTCGTCCCAGAGATAAGTCAGATCGAGTCCACTTGGACTGTCTAAGAAGACAACTCTGACAGCTTTTCAGATTTACTTAGTGTTTCATAAAATGTAAGACTAACATGTCTAGCGGAGCCACAATCTTTCGTTTATGCTTTGGGGATTTTTTAGGGATATTTTGGGGGCCTAAAAAGGGGAGGGGTTTATTGTAGAACCCTATGGGATATTTAATTTTCAAATGACTTTTAGTCGAAAATAGTAAGTGATAGACTCACGCTGTCTTCAGTAATAAGAACAGGACCATAAAACAAATCAAATAAAATATAGGGGGAGTCCCTGGGGGTCATCCCACTCCCTTCAATTTGAAAATGTACTTTTATCTTGTAAATGGTTGCGATCCCCACCCCTAAACATATATATACTTGTATGGGACAATAAAACAAATGAAATGAAAATTTGGGGGAATCCCCGGTGTCACCCCTACCCCTTCTGTTTGAGAACTGGTAAACGGTCTAGATCCCCACCCCTAAACCATATATATTCATGTATGGGACAATATAACAAATCAAATGAAATATAGGGGAGTCCCTGGGATCACCCCACCCCCTCCTGTTTGAGAACTTGTAAACTGTCGAGATCCCTACTCCTAAACCATATATATTCATATATTGGACAATATAACAAATCAAATGAAATATAGGGGGAGTCCCTGAGGTCACCGCACCCCTCCTGTTTGAGAACTTGTAAACGGTGGAGATACCCGCTCCTAAACCATATTTATTCCTGTTCGTCATTTCAGAAAGATTTGAATGACATACAGGGTCAATCTCCTAGGCGTCACATATGCATATCACTTTACTAGACCAAACCAATGTGTACTGGACTTTGTCCAATGTCAGGCGACCATGGGAATGACGAATTATTTGTTTAGGAGACTTTGTAACAGCATCCTGTTACAGTTAGTTCTTGTTTATTATAAAAGTTTATTGATGCAAAACATGAGTCTAGGTTAATTGAATTTACTTAATTATTTTTTGAATTATTTCTGGGCCTATAAAAATTTTCATTTATGGCTCATTTTAAAGAAAACATATAAATCTTTCAAGCAGTGTAAAGCCCAAGAATGATTGACCAACTGTTTTATAATCACATGTCATTTTATTCAAAACTTGGTATGGAGTGACATCATGGACTTGGGGTGAAGGTAGGGGTCATTTACATTTACTATGGGAAGGTCAGTCAGACCTCACCTTTGATCCCTGTAGTAGTAAACATTTGTCTGATTTGTGTCTCATAATTTTTGTACTGTAGAACCCAAACACGGTGTTCCTTCCAGGGAAGCAAGTTCATTCATACTATTACAAACTCATACTACGTCAACTTGTACCACTAAAAGTCAACTGGTACCAATGTTAACTACCAACTAGAACAACTGCAATCATTGCAAACTTGTACCACTGCAGACTCACCATTAAAAATATACATTGATATATGTGTTGCTTTTGAAAACTTTGATAAAATATTGGTTAATTTGCCTTAATAATCATTTCATTAAATAAACATAAATGTACAATAAACGAATGTTCAATGTTTGTTCTTTCAAATCTTAAAAAAAAAATTTAAGCAACACTGCCACAGTTTTCATAATTATGTTTGCCTTGGTTTTTTGTTAACTGCCTACAGTGCTTACAGTTCTTTGATTTCAGGGATATTGGTAAGTTATTCCATAAAATAGATCCTGAGTATATAAAAGATCTCTTATACAGCTCTGTTTTGGCTTTTGGAACTTGAAAATTTTTTGCAAGACACATTCCTCAAACAATATTGGTTTATTTCTGGCATTTCTTTAAATTTTTCAGTGAGATATACAGGGGCTTAGTTCTTAAGGCATTTCTGCATCAAAACAGATTTGTGGTATGAGATTCTGTTTTCTACTGTCATCCACCCAAGCTGTTTAAACAGTGGTGCGATGAAGAAAGTGGATCAGCATCTAAAATAAGTCTTGCAGCCCTTTTCTGCAATTTTATTATTCTGACTAGCTCATTTTTATACGCCCGTTTACGAGACATATTATGGTATACCGTTGACCGTCTGTCTGTCCGTCCCTCCGTCCGTCCATCCGTCGTCAACATGTCAGATATTAATTCATAAACACTTTAACCAATATGCATGAAACTTTGATGAATTGTTTATATCAATTGGAGTGAGCTCCCTTTCGTTTTTTATAAATTTCAGATTTACCGTTTCTGAGTTTTGGGGTTTAATTCATTAAAAAAGGGGGGATTTTCCAGTTTTCTGACAATAACTCAAGAATGCTTTCACCAACTTGCAAGATATTTTGGTGAAGTGTTTATATCTATTGACATGAGCTCTGTTTTGATTTTTATAAATTTTAGATTTTACGTTTCCGAGTTACAGGGTTTTATTCATAAAAAAAGGGGGATTTTCCAGTTTTCAGACGATAACTAAAAAATGCTTTCAGCAGTTCTCATGCAACTTTGGTGAATTGTTTATATCTGTTGATATAAGCTCCCTTTAGAATTTTATAAATATTAGATTTTACATTTCTAAGTTATGGGGTTTTATTCATTAAAAAGGGGGGATTTTCCAGTTTTTGGACAATAACTCATAAATGCTTTCAGCAGTTCTCATGAAACTTTGGTAAATTATTAATAGCTATTGATGTAATCTCCCTATTGATTTTCATAAATTTCAAATATGACATTGAGAAGAAATTGAACTTTATTATACCCCACACAATGGATTGCGGAGGGTATAATGTTTTTGACCCGTCCGTCCGTCTGTCTGTCCGTCAGTCTGTCCGTCCCTCAGTCCGTCAGTCGTGTTTCTTGTCATCCCAACTCCTCTCAAACCACACAACAGAATTTCACGAAACCTTTTTAGATAATAAGGACATACTATGTAGTTGTGCATATCGACAGGAAATTACGATTCAATTTTTTTTCTAGGAGTTACGTCCCTTTGAACTTATTTGCTTCAATGTACTACTGCAACAGTTTGTCATCGCAACTCCTCTGAAACTACACAACAAGCAATATTTAGAAATTTCTTGATTTTAGAGAGTAAATGAAGTCTAGATGATATTGATGAACATTTTAAAGTAATTAACATGGCCTGTCCAGGACAGATGAGAGTCAATTTTAACACCTAAAAATTTTAATTGATGATTTTTGTCGAGCCTGCCACTTTTGTCACAAAGCGAGACATAGCGATCCTACATTCCGTCGGCGGCGGCAGCCACAAATATTCACTCTGTGGTTAAAGTTTTTGAAATTTTAATAACTTTCTACAACTATCCTGGATTTCTACCAAACTTGGGAAGAAGCTTGTTTATGATCATAAGATAGTATCCAGAAGTAAATTTTGTAAAAAAAAAATCCTGTTTATCCGTATTTTACTTATAAATGGACTTAGTTTTTCTGCCAGTTAACATTACATTCACTCTGTGGTTAAAGTTTTTAAAATTTTAATAACTTTCTTAAACTATCCTGGATTTGTACCAAACTTGGAAGGAAGCTTGTTTATGATAAAAAGCTAGTATCTAGAAGGAAATTTTGTAAAAAATTATTTCCTGAATTTCTGTATATTACTTATAAATGGACTTAGTTTTTCTTCCAGTTAACATTACATACAGTCTGCAGTTAAAGTTTTTAAAACATTTATTAGATTCATAAACCATCCTGGATTTTTACCAAACTTGGATAGAAGCTTCTTACAATCAAAAGAAAGTATCTAGAGGAAAATTTTTAATAATTTTTCCTCCATTTTTGTTGAGCCTGCGACTAACAGTAAAAGTAGGCGAGACACTGGGTTCCGCGGAACCCTTACAAATTTTTGTAGAATATTATTCTCAATAGTAATGGAGAGATAAAGGTCCTTGTACTATTTTCAAACATTTATTTTGTTGTCACTTATTATTAAAAATGGGGTCTACCTGGGACTGCACAGAATGAAAGAACAGTAAAATTCATGAGCTTCTTCCCATTTAGTTGTCCTCAGAGATAACTCTGTATTATCCAGTTAACAATTATTTTATAAAACCTGTATTATTATAATGTCTTATAATTTGAGCTTCAGTTAAAGTTATTTGTTATTATTTAGCTGAATTTGGTGCAACAAAATCTTAAAGGAGCTGTGCTGCCTGACACTGACACAAAAACAGGTTCTAAGTCTGCAATGAAGGCCCTTGGATGGAACAATCCTGCTACAATTCCATTATCAGTTGACACACAAGCAAGTGAATCAGTTACTGGAGGTAAAGAATCTTCTTTTTTATGCCCCACCTTGCCCAACCTAGGGGCATAATGTTTTTTGGTGTGTGCATCCATTCGTTGGTCCGTCTGTCTGTCCCGCTTCAGGTAAAAGTTTTTGGTCAAGGTAGTTTTCTGATGAAGTTGAAGTCCAATCAACTTGAAACTTAAGTACACATGTTCCCTATGATATGATCTTTTTAATTTTAATGACTAGTTAGAGGTTTGAATTCTGCTGATGTGCTGCAGGCAAGCAGATTATGAAATCTAAGTGCCTTGTGGAAAATAAGATATATAAACTACTGTTATTGTAAAAATTGTATAGATAAGAGCAAGAACACATTAAATCAGTGAAAACAAATTTAAATATTAACCATAGGTAGCAATACACAGTTATGAAAAAAACTTTAAATTGACACTCATAATTTTTAAAAACCCTCTTCCTTCCTTTCTAACAAATAAGGCTTAATATTTGTGTTATGCATGTGTATATTTATGGAAAGAGAATCTTCCATAGATTTGATTTCCAATAGTTATAAAGGTGAAATATAATCTCTTTTTGGTGTAACCATGGCAACAATCTGCATTTATTTGATAAAAAATATTACAAAAAGGGGGTTGAAAATGTCACAAAAGTCTCCAAAATTTAGTCCAGAGGAAAATTCAATCAATTAGAGTGATACCTTTCCTGAAACCATAGACATTTATCTATCAAGAGGTCCAAAAAAATCATATGCATTTCTGCTCGTTTTTCCATGATATTGAATTGAAAAGATCGAGCGTCAAATCTTGGTTGAAAAACACTTACAATAATTTCTGGACCTATGGGCGGTAAGGGTAGGAAAATACGGACTGTCAAACAGAAAAATGGCCTATAAAATATGCTAAAAACAATCTAAATGTTCATGTTAACCCACTTGGAAGGCTAATATTATTCTTCAACTATCTAAAAATCAATTTTATTGTACAAAAACTTTCATTATTTAAAAAATTCACCATGGCCATAATGCTAAACTAAACTTCTAATTGTGTATTGCTACCATAATAAAGAGAAAAGAGGTATATTCCCCAAGTGCCTGTTCAAAGATCCAGATTTATACTTTATGATTTATTGGTATTATCTTTCAGATGAAGTTATTCAAAGCATGTTAGGGGCCACATTTGATATACCAGGGAGGAATAAACAAACATTTGTTGTTGGACATGGTTTGACAAATGCAGGAGTTAGACTTCTTGGACAGAAGCTGGCTAACATGACTATTGGAGATATAGAAAATCTGCTAGATGTGAAGAATGTAGATCCAGTTGAAGTATCAAAACTGATTGATGAACTTAGAGATTTATTTAAAGCTTTGGTAAGCTTTATAAAAAAAATATTCACTTCTTAATTTTTTTCTTTAGAAGATGCAGTGTTACACAATTGCTTGTAGGTGTCTATCTGTTAAATATGAATTACATGATATATGTGTTAACTGTTCTTTTTAGGCATATATTCTCATTTTACATACTGTTAATTCAGAAATTATTGTGTGGTTTTTAAAAGCATTTGTTTTTATGGTCATCATGTAAATCAGGGCTTCCAAAACGGTCATATTTTCCAGACAATTCCGATAAATTATATAAATGACTTGTTGTGCCAAGTCTGAAACGGTCATTTTAATATAGTTTAGATAAAAACACATTTTATTATAGTTCAGAAAAAAATTTAAGTTTATGCTATCTTTTTGACATGACCTTTTGCCTTAAACAGCCACACATTTCCGGTCATATAAGTGACATGATTAATAATCACTATCTAAACAAACCCTTCTACAATACCCTCTCATTACAATCAAGATTAATTAGTTCTTTGACAGCTGATTTTACATGTTCATACAGGCGACAGGTAAACTATTTTGTATCAGACATAGATAGGTTTAGTATTAAAAGTTATTCTCTTAAATTTCAGCGGTTTGTATCTAATTGATTTAGTCAACAAGATTCAGATTACCAGAAAATTATATAAATATGATTTGATGAAAATTTAAAAAGGTAGTAATAAAGGTTTTAAGAGAAAAATCGCTAGTACACTCGTGTGCAGGTGTGAGATTAAATTATGCATCCGAATTTTCAAAAATGCAAAAAATATCATTGATACCTATATCTAATGTTCTTGTCGAGTCTTTTCTTGTAGAAAAAACGTGGACAGATCTACTTAAACTCAATCGTGCTTTGAAAACGTACACAGATTTTATGTATCCGTCTCTGGTCCGTGTTTTACCATTGTCAAGTCAACATCCGATAATAGGAAAAGTACTTTGTAAAAACGAAAGTGAAGTTATTGACAGCGTAATTTTGCACAAATAAAGAGTCTTAGACAGATATTAATACTCAGGTGTTGCACACTGTGAATGGTGCACTGTCAATTTAACAGTTAATGCCAGAACATCGGAATTTATATCAAAAATCAAGTCTAAACCGTTTTTGTGTCAATCATAATTTATATGATGCCCAACTAATTACTATGGTTGCTTTTTGTTACTTAGTTTTAAGGGATTAAAATCGAGATAAGACAAAAATGTCCAGCTGGCTCAAATATTTTTTGGAAGCCCTGGTGTAAATGCCATTTTATTTGCGTGAAATAGAGTGCACACATTTCTATTCACAGTTCTGTCATGATCATGTAAAAATATGTGTTTGCTTGATATTTGTATTGAAAATTAAGTTAATTTGATTAAGCATTCTTAAAATGCAATATAATATTTTAAATGGCTGAGTATCACAAAAATAAGAACTCACATTAGAATATCTGATACATGCATCTGTATGCAGATTTTCAATATTAAAATCGAGATAAGACAAAAATGTCCAGCTGGCTCAAATATTTTTTGGAAGCCCTGGTGTAAATGCCATTTTATTTGCGTGAAATAGAGTGCACACATTTCTATTCACAGTTCTGTCATGATCATGTAAAAATATGTGTTTGCTTGATATTTGTATTGAAAATTAAGTTAATTTGATTAAGCATTCTTAAAATGCAATATAATATTTTAAATGGCTGAGTATCACAAAAATAAGAACTCACATTAGAATATCTGATACATGCATCTGTATGCAGATTTTCCTCAAATCACAATAATTTATCTTACATTTTTGTCCTTTCTTCAAAATTCTGAATTTACAGTATTAGAATTTAGATATAAAATAATCAGTTTTTGGCATTTAGTATGTCTAGGCAGTTAATATTTTTGTGAACCACCAATTTCAGTGATGGAAAGGCAATATTTGGTTTAAGTTTTTTTCTGTCTAGTTAGATTTATTTCAAACTCAATTCCTCAAAGGCAGAATGCAAGAAACTAGCATGAAACTAAATAACATGACTGCAACATTGATATTAATATAAATGATAGTAGAATGATATAATTACTAAGCATGCTCGAGGCCTGAATACACATATAATGAAAGAAAATAAGGAAAAAATCAAATGGTGAATAATCCACCCCATGATAGTTGTCAAGTCTAATGAAATTCTATGTGTAAAATATGAATGTAATAAAGTAATATTGACTGCAATTTTAAAATTTTGATGAAAAGATTAACATTTTACTTTTAAAGTATTCTCTTTTAAATAGGTTTCGCTGACAACACTACTGCGACATGAATATGACTACAAATTAATGCTTGAGGTTTTGTTCTTACTTTGATGACCTTTTCATGATGTTTTCAAATGGGTTTAATCACATTGAGGGTACCAATTTTATTGCACAAGATGCACATTTAAATTCGCCCTCACCATGCTTGTACGAATTTAAAGTATTTCTTTACTAAATTCCTTTGTATAAATAGAAAGACAAAACTCTATAGGTTTGGTTGCTCACAGTAATTGTTCTTTTCCCCTGCAAACAATGTTTAATAACATAATAATCCAATATAATTTGATAACAATATTCATATTGACAATTGCATACAAGAAAATTGTCCAACATATTGTTATATATAAATGAATTCAAACTCTATATAATCCATATTCATATATATGACAATTAACAGTAAACTGTATGTTATAGTTACTGTGAGCACCTTATATAAACTGACAGCTCAACATTTTTTGAGCTCACCGTTCCAAAGGAACAGTGAGCTTTTGCCATCACTTGGTGTCCTTCGTCTTCGTCTGTCGTCTTCGTCCGTCTGGTGTAAACTATTTCAAACATCTTCTCCTCTGAAACTACTGAACCAATTCCAACCAAACTTAAGCTGAATGATGCTTAGGGTATCTAGAATAAAGTTTTGGTTTTATTTACTGTTTCGTCAAATAACATTGCCGCCATGGCTAAAAATAGAACATAGGGGTAAAATGAAGTTTTTGGCTTATATCTCAAAAACCAAAGCATTTAGAGCAAATCTTACAAGGGGTAAGGTGTTCATTAGGTGAAGTTCTATCAGCCCTGAATTTTTCAGTTGAATCTGATAACCCATTGTTGGGTTGCTGGCACTAAATTGGTAATTTTAAGGAAATTTTCAGTTTTTGGTTATTATCTTGAATATTACTCATGATAAAGATAAACTGTGAACAGTAAAAATCTTCAGCAAGGTAAGATCTACAAATAAGTTCCTATGATCAAAATTGTCAATTGACCCCTTAAGGAATTATCGCCCTTTAAGGACAATTTTACGTTTTGTTTTCTAACTTTAAAAAATCTTCTTCTCTGAAACTACTGAATCAATTTCAACCAAACTTAAGCTGAATGATTTTAAGGGTATCTAGAATAAAGTTTGTGTTTTATTTTCTGTTTTGTAAAAAAACATGGCCACCATGGCTAAAAATAGAACGTAGGGGTAAAATGCAATTTTTGGCTTTATCTCAAAAACCAAAGCATTTAGAGCTAATCTGATGGAGGTAAAAATGTTTATTAGGCCAAGCTCTGTCAGCCCTGAAATTTTCAGATGAATCTAACAACCCTTTGTTGGATTGCTGCCACTTAATTGGTATTTTAAGGAAATTTTGCAGATTTTGGTTATTATCTTGAATATTATTAATGATAAAGATAAACTGTAAACAGCAAAAATGTTCAGCAAAGTAAGATCTACAAATAAGTTCGTATGACCAAAATTGTCAATTGTCCCCTTAAGGAGTTATTGCCCTTTAAAATCAATTTTTCACAATTTGTTCATTTAGTTTGCTTACTTTAAAAAATCTTCTCCTTTGAAACTGCTGAATCAATTTCAGCCAAACTTGGGCTGAATGGGTTTCAGAGTATCTAGTATAAATTTTGTATTTTATTTTCGTGTACGTCTAGAAACATAGGGGTAAAATGCATTTCTTTGATTTTGAAGAAAATATGACAGATACAAAGAAATTTCAATGGAAGTTTTAAGCCATTCATTAATATATATTGAAAAGCAAAAATAATCATTGATGAAAGATTTAAGCAAAAAATTACAGGTGATTGATTCAGGCTCTTGAGAGCCTCTTGTTTTATATAATACAAAGGACCCCACCCTTTAAACCACCAAAGGATTTCACATGCAAATATAACCAATGTATCTAAATTCAAAATAACAATAACCCCTTATTCCTTTTACGACCGTTATACAAGTTTTCTAACCAGTTTTGAAAATATTTAACAATATTTCACACAAGGGAAATCACCCAGTCAAACGAGAGAAAAAAATATATTTCAATAACTAATGTCTCCAGAGATCCTTATGGCCAAAATATTTCAAAATCTGAAATCTGATAGCCAAACAATGGGGTGTTGATCACACAAAAAGGACCTAGTCTAGAATAAAGCCAAATCTGGAAAAGAAACCAGATCTTTGCATATATAAAAACACTTTCTTTTCAATAATTTTTTACAATTCAAACATCAATTTGGTATTTTGAGGGAAAAAAAATATATTTCTTCTTGCAGTTATCAGAGTTTTTGACAGAGATAGTTGGAGGAGATTCAGATTTTTTCCAATCAGAAGATCTTGATATGTTGGGAGAAGTTCCATTGCCATCTGTTTCAAAAACTGTGGAATTTGGTTCAAAAATGACCATTGCTTCAATTGTTACTTTGAGTTTTAGTACGTTTATTTATTATTTAAAAAAAATAATGAAATTAGTCTCTAAAATTCATGCAAATATAAATTTCTTTTATGTAGATTGATACTCTTACACAGAACCTACTTTAGAAGTAGGGGTTATATTGCATTTCATCCTTTATCTTGCATTATAAGACCCATGAATACTGATAGATGTAGCTTATTGTTGCCTGCATAGACAGTTGGCTTCAGTGTACGTATGAGATACAAAAGTGATATTGCCATGAGGAAAATTTTCTTGGTATAGCAGTCTACAGAAGGCCAATTCATTTCAAAATGCAGACTTATCTGATTTGGCTATACTTGGACCTGCAATTGAAAGTAGTCGTTTTTATACACCCATCTATTGGAAGTAATCTGGTTTACTGATAATGCATTATTTGTACGTCTGTCTATTAACATTAAGGACAATAAGTCATATATTTTAATTTTTATGTGATTTAAATTGTTTAAATCTATTTACTTAACCTTTCTTTTGATTTTTATTAATTTTACATTTTAGTTGCCAAGTAATTGGATTTTATTCATACAAATTGGGGGATTTTTCTAGTTTTCTGACTTCAATTTAAAAAGGCTTTAAACAAAATCCATGAAACTTTGGGGAATTGTTGACATATATTAAAATTAGCTCCTACTTGATTTTTGTCGAGCCTGCGACTTTTGTCGCAGAAAGCTCAACATAGGGATAGTGATCCGGCGGCGGCAGCGCCGGCGTTAGCTACCTTCTTAAAAGCTTTATATTTTAGAAGCTAGAAGACCTGGATGCTTCATACCTTTTATATAGATGCCTTGTGATATGAAGTTTCCGTCTGTCATATGTCCATTGTCCTTGACCTCATTTTCATGGTTCAGTGACTGCTTGAAAAAAATAGTCAACATTTTTTGTAATGTTTATTTCTTTCTTATTATGAGTAATAGGATAACTATATTTAGTATGTGCGTACCTTGCAAGGTCCTCATGCCCGTCAGACAATTTTCATTCGACCTCAACCTCATTTCATGGATCAGTGAACAAGGTTAAGTTTTCGTGGTCAAGTCCATATATCAGATACTATAAGCAGTAGGCCTACTATATTTAGTATATGGAATGATTGTAAGGTGTACATGTCCAACTGGTAGGTGTCATCTGACCATGACCTCATTTTCATGGTTCAGTGGTCAAAGTTAAGTTTTTAAGTTTTGGTCTTTTTTTCTAATACTATATGCAATAGGTCAACTATGGTGTATGGAAATATTCTATGATGTACATGTCAGTCTCACAGGTTTTATTTGACCTTGACCTCATCTTCACGGTTCATTTCTCAGTGTAATGTTTTTGTGTTTTGGTCTGTTTTTCTTCAACTATAAGCAATAGATCAACTATATTTGTTGTATGGAAGGATTGTAAGGTGTATATGTCTGTCTGGCAGGTATCATCTGACCTTGACCTCATTTTCATGGTTCATTGGTCAATGTTAAGTTTTCATGGTTAAGTTTGTTTCTTAGATACTATAAGCAATAGGTCAACTATATTTAATGCATACATTGATTGTAAGGTGTACATGTCTGTCTGGCATGGTTCATCTGACCTTGACCTCATTTTCATGGTTCATTGGTCAATGTTAAGTTTTCTTGGTTAAGACTGTTTCTTAGAAACTATAAGCAATAGGTCAACTATGTTTGGTTAATTGAATGATTGTAAGGTGTACATGTTTTTCTCGTTTGGTTTATCTGACCTTGACCTCATTTTCTTGGATCATGTTAAGTTTATGTGTTACTTGTAGTAAAGCTTTATATTTAGGACTATCAACATAAAATCAATGGTTAGTAAAGAAGGCGAGACATTTCAGCGTGTGCACTCTTGTTACATCTGATTTTACTTTAAGAGTTTTGGAACTTGATTCATAAAAAGTGGTGATTTTCCAGCTTTCAGACAATAACTCAAAAATGCTTTGAGCAGTTTTTAAGAATATTTGACAACTTGTTTACATCTTTTGAAATAAGCTCTTTTTGTTTTTGAAAAATGTTTGCTTTTTTTTTTAGGGGGGGGGTTCTATTTGAGAAGTGCTCACAGTATTTCTAATTGATCATATATATTTATTTAAATCATAAAGATGATCAAAAGGCCCCCTTTTAGTAAGTTAATGCTCAGTTTTGTTTATATTGCAAACTGCATTTGAGTGAAAATGATGGAAACATGTAAGATCATGATTCAGTGAATATATTATGTCGCTGTCATAGTTTTTCAATAATTGATGAAATGCATATTTGTCTGTTCTCATGTTATTTTCTATAAAAGTAAACTTTTGACATGAAATTCAAAGCTCACAATGAGTTTGATATATATCTTAACTTTTGTTCTTATATTTTGATATAAACTCCTAATTGGCTTTCTGAAATTTGAAATCGAGCTACAATACAGGTTAATGCATTTTCATATCCATTGCTTATCAACTACTTATACATGTTGACTGAATAGTTATACTAGGCATAGGGGTATGTATCATTTGGCAGCAACAGTTCACAGTCCTTCTATTTTTAAAGTAGTAATAATTGTTTCACCTGAAAACACATGCATTCTTGTTTTTATTTGATATATTGGCAGTAACCAAGTATTTATATTTCTGCTCCAAAAGAGGAGGAATACTGTTCTACCCATGTCTGTTCATCCATCCGTCTTATGAAATTTTCAAACTTCAGTTTCAATTTCAACTTCTGAAATTCATTTATAGTTAGCTTTGCACAGTTCTACTTTTTTACTGGAGTGTCATCTTGTACATTTTTAGAATAGCTAAAAAGATTATAGTGCTTTTTGGTGAATAACAGCAATGATTTTGAAGGGTTTTATTGATCTGTTTACAAAAATCATTCAAATTAAATCTCTGAAAGTCGTACCTTATATTTGTGTGCATAGAAAGGTGAAATAATTTGTTTTAATATTAATTATTCCTGATTATTACATTGACTGAACTGCTAAGTAACCAATGGCATTCTATTCATTGTAAGATAAACAAGCCTGTAATTCAGTGGTTGTTGCTGTTAGCTTATTAGTCCCCTACCGACGAAGTCGAAGGGGACTTTAGGTTTGTACTCCGTCCATCTGTCTGTCTGTCCGTCTGTCTGTCCATCAGTCAGTCCGGCAAATCAGTTTTCCAAACTTTTTTTCTTTGTGCTTGAAGATATTGAATTGATATTTGGTTTATTGTTTTATCATGACAAGTTACAGGTCAAGTTCAATTTTCACGATTTTAGCTTTTCTCTTTGTTCAGTTAAAGCCCTTTCCCTAGAATTAAATTTTTGATGAAATACTTAATTATTTAATTAGTAGATTTCTGTTCAAAGGGAAATAACTCATTTTTTAAAAGACAAAATGACATTTTGGATTTTTTTCCTTTTCTTTGGTGAATTGTTTGAAGAATTTAGTGGTAGGTTTGTTTGTCATTCTTGAAGATATTGATTTGATAATTAGTATATAGTTTTATCATGACAAGTTACAGATCAAGTTGGAATTTTGTTCTGGTCAGATGATTTTGTGCAGAGTTATGGTCTTTGGAAATAGAAAATTCACTTAAATAATCAGTTTTCAACAGTTTTTTTCGTCATGCTTGAAGATTTTGACTTGATATTTTTATGTAGTTTACACCATGACAAGTTATAGATCAAGTTAGAATTTCATTCCATTACAATGAATGTTTAACCGGTAGGGGACTAGGTATTGCCATGCAATACTCATAGAATGCTTGATTGTTATTGTTTATTGTTTTATACATAAATCCAGTTTTAGTTTTCTTGTTTGAATAGTTTTACATTTGTCATTTCAGTCCCCTTTAAAGCTTACTATGTGATATGGGATTTGCTCATTGTTGAAGGCTGTAAGGTGATCTAATATAGTTAACAATCTCATTGACAATCATTCATCTTATGTTTATAAGAGTAATTTTCTATAACCGTATTCATTTATTGTAGAAGTTGGTGCTGGTATATATTTTGGTGTTGATTTGAAAGTAGGAGTAAATATTTTGGGAATGAAGGGAATAGCTGAGATTACACCATATACTGGGATAATGGTTTACGGAGAAGTAGGAATTGGAATTTTGATCATTTTTGCCAATTTAAGACTTGAGGGATATATAATGGAACTGAGATTTCCAACCAGAGGAGAACTGATATTCAAGAAATTTCCTCTGGATGTTGGGTAATATCACTTGACAAATTATACTACCTAAAGTGTTGGGGTCGGGTTGTTGCCTCTTTGACACATTCCCAGTTTCCATTCTCTATTCTATTGTTATTTTAAATAATACCACCTTTCTGCTGTTATAGAACTTATGATGAATACTTGTGACTGTCAGACATATAATTCACATAATAATATATTGGTGAAGTTCGACTTTACAAGTAAAATGTGTAACTAAATGGTTAACGATTTTGTATATTTGAAATCTGTTATAAATAGAGAAAATCTGACAGGAGCAATGTTCAGAATGTTGAGCTCTACCAAATGTCCATTAATGTCAAAATTGCCAGACAAATTTTAGCATTTTTTTCTTTTTTTGGATATTATCTTGAAAATTATCATAGATAGAAACTAAAATTAACAAAAAGAACAGCAAGACAAGATCTACAATGAAGACAATTTGGAGAAAATCATTTGACGACTCCTTATTGGAATTATTGCCCTTTAATGACAACTTTTACTAAAAAAAATTGTGTGTGTTTTGCCTTACATGATAAAAATTATGATAGATAAAAAGACACTTAAAATAACATAAATGATCATCAAAGCAAGATCTACTAACAAGTCAAATTTATTAATAGGAATGATTGCCCTTAAGTGAGGAATTTTGTTTACCTTCTTTCCTGTTTTGAACAAAAACTAAAGGAGATAGAGAGAAACTTAAAACAGGCTGAATGATCAGTAGTACAAGATCATGAAAACAGATTTTGTTCTTGTCTACAATGTTAGAAAGTGTTAAAAGATCAGCATGATCAGCAATAATAGATTAACAAAACAAAAAATTTAAGTCATAAAAAAAATCTAGTCTACAATGTTCCAGAGTGGACATTGATGAAGATACACATAGATTATCACAAGTTAACAGACACAGGCTCTTTAGAGCCTCTAGTTTTATATATGATGTTGTTGTTTTTACATGATATAGAAACTTATCAACAACTCTTTCAGTATCTACATATAATCTTTCCTTTCAAATTTGTCCAACTTTTTTTTTGCCCTGTTGTTCAGTCATCTTTTTTTACCAATATATATAAGTAAATATACTGTAAGTTCATTCCTGACTAATATATATATAAACCTGAAATTTGTTTCTGGTATTGATAAAACCTCTTTTTGTAATACCAAGAGTATTCATCGGGAATACTAGGATATTGTATGTTATGAAATGATGAATATGAAAAAATACACTACAAAAGTAAAATCTACCTGTACGGAATAAAATGATGGACTAAAAGGCATTTAATAAAAAACTGGCTTTCTATAATATGGAATCCCTTAATTATGTTTCAAATAAAGATTAGAAAATTAATCATTTGTTAATTTAGATAACAAATTATCTCCCTCTAGGCAGCTTTGCAAAATCAGGGGGGGGGGGGGGGGGGGGGGGAAGGGGTATATTGCTCATACATAGTCCCAGAGATTGACATATTTGTATTTCATGTATTTATTACATAATGCCATTGTAAGAACAGGAATAAAAGCCCTGTTCATTGATAATTATTTATTTTTTCTATGTATTGTGTCCGTTTTTGTCCCATGTACATTTACTCCATATTCTTTCATTTTCTATACATTGCTAATTTCAGAATTGTTATGGACCTAGTAATAATACCGATACGAATTAAGCTGAAAGTGTTGATAACACTTGAGATATTTTTCTCATTTACCTTATACAAAGCAACCTTATGGGAGTATTCATCTCCAAGTATAGCACAAAACATCCTAAACAACAGGAAGGAAGAAAAAGATGACACCAGTCCAGTTATTACAGAGTTTATTGACAAACCAGGCACTGAAAGGGTATTTACATATATCAACATTTATTCATTCTTTCATTTTCCAATACCAGTACATGTCCCCACATTTCATCCCAGTCGATCCCATACAGTAGGACCTGTTTTGGGGCAAAGATTGCATGAAATGCAAACAATACCCTATGGTACTGACTTGATATCACTACTTTTGAGATATACAAAATATAGAGCATTGATCATAACATTCTAAACATCCTATCCATGAACAATTCTATAAATTTATCAGTGAAATATATGCTCAGATATTCAAGTTACAAAATTATGTTGTACTTGTCAAGAAAATTACATAACTTGTACAAGGTGCAGGAATTTAATATCTGTTCTAAAATTATTAATGATATCATTGTTAAAGTAATCTTTTAAGTTGGAGTTTTCTTCCTTCGTTTGTAATTGTTGTTGAATCAACTACAACCAATGCTTTATACTATGCAATGTTTAATTTGACTTCCTACTGAAGCAAAATTTACTCTTCGGTGCTTACAAGCACTTTGTTTTGTATTTTTTGTAAATTTTCTTGTCCTGAACATGTATGAAATACTTGTCAGCGGACATAAAGCAAAATTTGTCCAGTTATTGTTGTTTTATCATACAATTCATTACTAAAGCACTGTTTTTTTTACCTTTTGGGTTTGTTTTTTTTGTGTAGTAATTTTGTGTTATGAATTGTAAATCAAATCCTTGATTTTCTATTTTTAAGCTCTTAATACCTGGTTCAAGTGAAAACTAATGCCATTCCTTGGACTTCATTGTCCTGCATTTTTTAATCTTTAACAATATTTATCCAATATCATTGGGTTTTACATGCCAATTTTATGAGTGGAAATTACAGAGTGAAACATTAGTTGTGGCCATTCTTTTATAAATTAGTTGGAAGACTCCATATGCCAGCTAAAATGACTTGTATTTTTGTGATTAGAAATTTCTTGAATAATTTTATTAAATAAGAGGTCAGATTAGATTGAATAAATTCTTAACAAATTTGCATAAACAGATCAATCTGAACAAACTATAAAAGTTATTGCTGTCTGTCAAACTTAGTGTACTATGGTAGCACATTTAAGAACTTACATAGGGATGTGTACTTTAGAATATTTGCCCTTCATGGGTAACTGTAAACAATAATGTGCTAATAATAGTAATATACTAATTAAGCCAACATATTTGTGAAATAATGTATTTTAACTTTGAAAGATAATCATGTACTGGTCATTTTACAGGACAAAGTAGGCTCCTTTTTGGTCTAATTATCACAAACAATTTAATAATAAGCTTTATGTAGGCACATTATACTGCATGAGACTTTTTAAGACTCATCACTAATACACTTCCAGTTTACAGAATACTTATATAGTCTTCATAGAATGGTAATTTTTGTAGTTTTAGATGCATTTTTCTCAAAAACTAGAAATTATGGCTGTCAGACATTTTGGACTAAGCTTCATCTGAGCATAATATAATGTTATGCATTTTCACATTCATTGCTGGTGGACTCTTGTTTACTAATATATACACATTACTTTCATGTATGAAATTTTTATCACATTTTTCTCAGGAACTATGGTATGAGATGCTAATTTAGTCATGAAGTAGGTCTCCACATTTTGACGTAACAATATCTTGAAATCAAATTAAGGAATTGTGGTGGTTGTGAAATAATTTTAAACCTCCATAGACATTTAGGGATATCCTGAAATAACGCAATTTTGATGGATTAATTGTGGAGGTCCTGAAATATTTCAGAAGTCCTCAAGGATTTATGGGTATCCTGAATTCGAATTATGGATGTCCTGAAATAATTTAGGAGGTCTATAAATACAATGATTTGAATAAATCTGCACCTCATCCAATATTCCTGAAATTTGTTTGATTGATTTTTGGTGTTTTTAAGCATCTTTTAGCACTATTGGCTATTTCACAGCTGTCAGTTTTTATTGGCAGAGGAGGGTCCCAAAATTTGGTATAAAGTTTCATCTTAGCATGCTTTAAATACTGTGTGATGCTTTATCATTTATGAGGGTTTTAAAATATTTTAGGATAACCTGGCATCCAATAATGAAGGGTCTTAAATATATAAGAAGGTCTTTATTGATTTATGGGTATCCAGATTCATGAATTTGAGTTATGGAGGTCTTGAAATAATTTAGGAGCTCCTAAAATACAATGATTTGACTAAATCTGCACCTCATAATTATTTGGAACAAAACTTCCTGAAATTTAGTTACAGCACTATCAGCTATGTCCATTTGTAGAGGAAGCTCCTCAAATTTGGTATCAAGTTTCATGTGAGCATGTTTTACTGAGGGATGCTTTTTCTAATCAATCTGCTAGCTATCAAATTCTTATTCAATTAATAAACACTTGTACTGTGGGATTCAATTTTATGCGATAGCTCCATATCAACTTGTTTCTTCAATGATATAAGTGTTTCTTATTCAGTTGAAACCGATTGGTCGAATTGCACAATTTATGTTTTACCAAATAATACCTTAATCAAACTAATTATAAAAAATTTCAGAAGCGTTCCACAGCAAATTGTTTGGTAAGACAAATTCTTGATCAGGATTACACAGAGCCTCAGTTTGAAATTTCTATCCATGCTGGCGATGACAGAAGTGGTGTCAGGTTATACCTGGATGTAGGAACTGTACCTGGTGGTAGAGATGTATTAAACACTAGAGAATTGGCAGGACCTGCAACAATATTGTCAGAGGTATGTAAAAAAATATTATTTGAAGTCATGACTTAAAAGGAAAAGTGTGCTCTGTTGCTTAAATGCATATTCATATTTAATTGTTTTATAATTGTGTTGGGTTAATGCAATTATTGTAAGTAGTTTGTAATTTTTAAGAAGACATTTTTTTTATTAGGTTTTAAGAGCATCTGGTGTTCCGCTGTATTTTACTGTAACTGCTGAAAATGACTCTGGTCAAAAGTCCACAGCTTCATGTGACCTATATACATATGATATAACACCACCTGGTGGCAGATTTGATGAAGATTACAAGACCACCAGTAACCCATCAGTTATTAAAGCTTCAGTGACAGTTTATGAAGATTCAGAGCTTGTAGAAACAAAAGTGGCAATGGGATATGGAAAAGACATATGGGGTGAACAGATTGTCCAATGGAATGATGTTGAACTTGACCAAAGCACTATAAATCATATTACAGCAGGTAATTGGTATATGGATCTATATATATATATAGGATCTACAAAACTAAATAAACAAAAATTAGTTTAGAGGCATGTATAACCCTTTTAATACTTGAAAAATGAGTTTTATACAATTCATAAAATTGAGAATGAAAATTGGGAATGTGTCAAAGAGACAACAACCTGACCAAAGAGCAGAAAACAGCCTAAGGCCACCAATGCGTTTTCAATACAGCGAAAAAATACTGCACCCGCAGGCGTGCTTCAGCTGGCCCCTAAACAAAAATATGTACCAGTTCAGTGATAATGGACGTCATACTTAACTTCGAAATATATAATTGAACTAAAATTAAAAATCATACATGACTAACAAAGGCCAGAGGCTCATGACTTGCAATTGGGACAGGCGCAAAAATGTTGTTGGGTTAAACATGTTTTTGAGATCTCAACCCTCCCCTATACCTCTAGTCAATGTAGAAAAACGAACACACAGCAATATGCACAGTTAAACAATTGGTTTGTTCGAATAAAGCGAAAGAAAGGATTAAGCATAATAATTTATTGTCAGATGGTCTGGCTAAAGGCACCAATGATGCTTTGCTATAAGATCATTTAATGAGACTTCTGAACATACAAAGTTGCAAGTATATTCCTATCAGTACTTGAAAAGAGAGCTTCCAACAACTGCTTTGAAGGAAAAGCTGTAAAGAAATATGACGTAATAACTTTATTCTTGTTGGAACAAATATTCTATACCATTTATTATGTTAGGAACATATACTGTTATATTTATTCCTGTGGAAATAATTTTCCAGAATACTTTTCCATTTGGAACTTATATTATGGTAGAATTTCTATTTTGTGACACCTCACAGCAACAACATTTTGATATAATATTTTGTTATTTTAATAAGAATCATTATAAAAATGCACTATGTAGTTTGTTTTTGAATTCTAATATGATTTCTAATATGATTTTTTACAGAGTCTGATCCTCTTAATCGAAAGGTATTCGGGATGTTCACTAGCCCACGCACAGGAAAATTAGTTGGACCTAAAGCAGGCAAGGATTCTTCCCAACATTATCCTGGAGATTGTGCCAGAGCATGTGTTGAATTACCTCCAACTAAATGTATGAGTTTTAATTTTGATTCTGCAGATGGAACATGTGAACTTGTTGAAGCAATAGAGGGATACCATTTTAAAAGATCCAGATCAGGATATTTTTCCCATTATGAAAGATTAGGTGTTGGGAAGACGAAACAGTTCAACTTTGACCAGCTGCAGTTACAACACAACACAATTTACTTTGTGAATTTCCTTATTAGCAATTATCTTGGATATACATCTATAATCAACACTCAAGGTGTCCTTGTTGATTTGACTACACCAACCACAGGTACCATATATGAATTGCATTACAGTGGGTCTTGATATGGTTTACAGAATAGAGAATATATGAATACAAAAGTTTTACTTCTATTTGGTTGACATAAAAAAGTAAAAACAGAAGTTCTTGAGAGCTTTTCACTGAATAAATACTAACATACATATACACCACATTAAAATAGAAAGCATGCAGATAAGATACATATGCAGCATATATTACATTGCATAGATACAGCACAGACATATTGAAATACATGCATAGCACTCATCAACTACACCAATTAACATTTTAAAACTGAAGCATTACTGAAATTTAAAGTAATTAAAGTACTAGTCCAACATTTCGGTTCAGCCTGTGGATAATGTTTCTATACATCAATAGCTTTGTCCAAGCTTCATGGAGTTGTTTGAATTTTGGACAGAAGTTTTTTATGGTCAAAAGACTGTATTCAAAGCAAAATTTTGACATATATTTTTTTAGTGTATCTATATTTTCCTTATTTTTTTTTTTTGCATTAGAAATTAAGGAACAGTTTAAGGTTGAAGTCTTCCAGACACCAATAACTTTTTCAATCCGTATGAAAGGTAATATTACTTGGACAAAAGTTTCATCAAGATCAAGAAATAGAACTGATAAATTTACTTAGTTTTGGCAATTAACATTACACTTTTACTCTGACAGCAGCAAAAAGCAACAGACATAGGGTTCCAAGGTATTTTTTAGGAACTTATCTCAATGCATTGTATAAAACATCTTTTCAGGAGATATTAGAAATGCCAGTAGAGACAACCTTCTGCGTGTTGACTGTTTGTCTATCATTCCCGAGGTACACAGACCTGATTGGATTATTCGTTGTGAAGGGATGAATCCTAATATAAAAAATCACAGGTATGTCATTCAACCATATAATTTTGACTCTTTCTTGTGTAGGCTTTTGAAGAAGCAAGACAAATCAATCCTACATAATTCCTTTAGCCCATCACATTTAGGTTCAGTCTGCAGTTAAAGTTTGTTAAAACATCAATAACTTTATCAAACCTTCATTGCATTTTTTGAAAAATGGGTAGAAGCTTTTAGTTGATTTTAACAAAGCCCAATATCTAGAGCAAAATTTACATATTTTTTTTGCCTACTTGTCTTCTTTTTTTTTTGCAGTAGCTATAGTCTTACCTGCATTGATATTTTGCAGACATGAACTTTTTTATGATAAAAAGACCATGGTATTTTGTAAAATTAAAGTGCAATTTCTTTTCAATTTTGCATAATTATGTACATGTATGCATAGATATTATGTGCAATGTGCTTAAATGTGTCAATTAATAAAAAAATATTAAATTAACTGTTGTAGATTGATAGTAGATGGCCCAGGCTCCACAGCAGTTTTCAATGGCTTGGAGCCAAAGACAGATCTCCTGTATACAAGACACAACACATATATCTCAGGTATTTAAATCTAGGAATAAAATTTATTGTGTTATGTACCTTTAGTTGATAATGTAACTTTCATTAGCTTTAGTTATCCCTCTTTGGAAACTATAGAGTCCTGGTTGATTTTTTTGTTCAACCTATTTAGGATGAAGTATGGGGCATTATGTTTTTCTGTATTTAATATTGTATGTCTTTTCATCATCTATCTATTGCAAGTTATGTTTTAATTTTAATTAAGGTTGCTTCAACTTGAAACTAAATACACATGTTCCTTTATATAATGAACTTTTTAAAATATATGTCTAATTAGGGTTTTGACCAAGATTTTTCTGTTCACTGGTCATGGAAATGATAAGAGTGAGCAGTGCATGGTGTGATAAGGATAAATATTCTTGTATACTTTTTATACGCCCGTTTACGGGACGTATTATGGTATACTGTTGTCCGTCCGTCCGTTGTCAACATGTCGGACATTAACTCAAAAACGCTTTAACCAATTTGCATAAAACTTTGATGAAGTGTTTATATCTATTGATGTGAGCTCCCTTTTGTTTTTTATAAATTTCAGATTTTAGGTTTCCTAGTTATGGGGTTTTATTCATTAAAAAAAGGGGGATTTTCTAGTTTAAAGACAATAACTCAAGGATGCTTTCACCAACTTGCAAGAAATTTTGGTGAATTGTTTATATCTATTGATGTGAGCTCCCTTTTGTTTTTTATAAATTTTTGATATTACGTTTCCTGGTTATGGGGTTTTATTCATTAAAAAAAGGGGGATTTTCCATTTTTCAGATAATAACTCGAGGATGCTTTCACCAACTTGCAAGAAATTTTGGTGAATTGTTTATATCTATTGACATGAGCTCCCTATTGATTTTTATAATTTTTAAATTTTTACATTTCCAAGTTACGGGGTTTTATTCATAAAAAAAGGGGGATTTTCCAGTTTTCAGGCAATAACTCAAAATTGCTTTCAGCAGTTCTCATGAAACTTTGGTGAATTGTTTATATCTATTGATGTAAGCTCCCTTTAGAATTTTATAAATTTTAGATTTTACATTTCCGAGTTATGGGTTTTTTTTCATTAAAAAAGGGGGAATTTTCCAGTTTTCGGACAATAACTCATAAAGCTTTCAGCAGTTCTCATGAAACTTTGGTGAATTGTTTATATCTATTGATGTAAGCTCCCTTTTGATTTTCATAAATTTCTAATATGACATTGAGAAGTAATTGAACTTTATTCTTTGAAAATGCGACGGGCGTATCATGCGATCATGGCGCAGCTGTTTATTTTTATTTACAGCTAACTGGGATGGATTCATAGATAGAGAGAGTGGACTGTTGGGTTATGCAGTATTTGTTGGAAAGAGTGTCTGTGATGATTTGATACATCCACATTATGATCCACACAAACATCTCTTTGAGGTATCCCAGTGGACTCATACTGCTACAATTTATCCTATTCCGGCTCCATATGAAACACTGCCAGGTAATAAACTTCATCTTAGATATAATTTTCTTTAACTTCATGTTTCATAAAATATAATATAGATTACAAACCTGATAAATGATAGTGTTCTCATTAATTTGATATGTTTGAAGTCTAAAAGCACAAATACATAGGATTCTAAAGGGTATAGTTAGCTTCAGTCTGCTTGGACAGTGTGCCTTTCTTTTGTTTTAACATAACTTTTTGTATATTGCAGATGACAGATACTATATCTCTGTTCGAGCAATGAATAATGTAGAATATGGAGGTCCTTTGGCTACAACTGTTTGTCATTCCACACCAATATCTGTAGATAATTCAGCACCTTTAGCCTTGGAAATTTATGATATAAGCTACAATGAAAGAACCTCTACCATCAGAGCAAAGCACAACTCTAGGTAAGTATTTTTCTAAAAAAAAATATTTTCATGGTTCCCTCCAACCACAAAATTTAGTATACAACGAAATGTTTTTTTTCTACCAGTTGGAAACCAATAAAAATCATGAATTTTTATTCAAAGCAACAATTTAATTAGGACTCTTAGAAATTTGAATCGACTATTGACTGTTATTCGATTGAAATAACCTCAAAAATGTGGTGCACACTTTTGAATAACCTGCTAGAGCAGACTTTTTTACTCCTTCTCAAGTTAACTTAAGAAATTTTAAGCAGACATGCAAGCTTATAATTTAGTGAACATCATCAGTGACAGACCAGACCTACATGTACTTCTTTTCATGGTAGAGCTTTCACTTAACATACAGTTTTAGAAGTGGAGTTGAATATTGTCAGTACATAAATAGATAATCTGATTAGATCTACCCCTAAAACACCAAAAAATTAAATTTGATCATATCATACAGCATTTCCATCAAACCAAATAGAACACATTGTCTGTTTTCCATTTTTAAATCCAAGATCTTTATATATAAAGAAGAAGATGTGGTATAATTGCCATTGAGACAACTCTCCACAAGAGACCAAATGACAAAAGAAATTAACAATTATAGGTCACTGTACGGCCTTCAACAGCGAGCAAAGCCCATACCGCATAGTCAGCTATAAAAGGCCCCAAATGACAAATGTAAAACAATTCAAACAAGAAAACTAACGACCTAATTTATGTACAAAAAATGAACAAAAAACAAATATGTAACACATCAACAAACAACAACCACTGAATTACAGGCTCCTGACTTGGGACAGGCACATACATACAGAATGTGGAGGGGTTAAACATGTTAGCAGGATCCCAACCCTCCCCCTAACCTGGGACAGTAGTGTAACAGTACAACATATAAACAAAGAACTATAAAAATCAGTTTAAAAAGGCTTAAATCATCAGATGGATACAAATAGAAATACATCTAACAAAAACACAGAGTGGACGTTATGTTCCCTATTTCATATATTGATCATGATATTTTTACAATGTTTTTCCTTGTTTTTAGTGATCCACATTCTGGATTGGCCTACAATGATGTATGTTTAGGGAGAACAAAGAGAGACTGTGTAGAGATGAAATGGATCAGACTTTCATTTGATCCTATCATAACACTTGTTAGAATTTTAACTGATGGTGTTCCAATCTGGCTGAAAATCAGAGTAATCAATTATGGTAATTATATTATTAGCTTTTTCCCTCTTGCTGTTCACCGCTCATATGACCCATATCGATGTTCGCCTAATAAGTATATTTCCTTGTTAAGGGGGCTCACGGGTATAAATCTTTCTTTTTTTAGATATTGGATTTCTCTATTTTTTTCTATAAATGAATTTTATCATATACTTAATAAGGGCTTCCAAAATTATTTTTAGCCAGCCGGACATTTTATATATTATCCCGATTTTAATCACTTAAGACTAAATAAATAAAAGGCAATTATGGTAATCAGTTGCCGAGTTGGACATCCCAATGATTGACATTAAAAAAAAAACGATATTAAACTTTCTTTGATTCAAATTCGAAGTTCTGACGTAAACTGTTAAATTGGCAGTACATCAATCGAAGTGTGCAACATCAGCGTACTTATATCTGCTTAGACTCTTTATTTGTGCAAAATAACGTTGTCAAAAACTTTAGTTTCGTTTTTAAAACCGGATGTTATCATGACAATGGTAAAACATGGACCAGAGACTGATACGTAAATTCCGTGTACGTTTGCAAAGCATGAATGAGTGTAAGTAGCTCTTTCTACGTTATTTCTTCAAGAAAATATTCGAAATAAACGTGAGATAAAGGTATCAATGACAATTTAAGCATTTTTCGAAGAAATTAGGATGCATAATTAAATTTCACACCTGTGCACACGTGTACTAGTTCAAACAGAGACATGTCTCTGGTTAAAAAAAAAGTGGTTATGACGATTTTTCATTTTCACCTTTTTAATTTTTTCTTCAAATCATATTTGTAAACGTATTTCTGATAATTTAAATCTTTTTGACTAAATTAATTAGATGCAAACCGCTGAAATGTAAGAAAATAACTTTGAATAGACCGATCAATGTCCGGCTCAAAATAGTTTACCTGTCACCTGAACAGGTAAATTTCAGTTGTTTGACAACTAAGTAGCCTTGATTAAAATGAGAAGGTATTAAAGTAGGGGTTGTTTTGATAGTACTTTATGATCATGTCACTTTTATGACCGGAAATGTGTGGCTGTTAAAGGCAAAAGGTTGGGTCAAAAAGATCGCGAATTATGTTAAAATGACCGTCTCTTAAGCCTTGAAAACTAAAAAGTAGATGTCCGTTTCATGCTTTGCCCAGCCGGACTTTTACCGGACATTATACAAATGTCCGGAATATATGACCGTTTTGGAAGCCCTGTACTTAATATAAAAATAAAATTAAAAAATGGAGTCACTGTTCATTTAAGCTCACAGTCTGCCTTCGAAAGAAGCATGCATTTTTGTTAAGGTATTTTTTTTCTGTTGAACTAATAGTAGAAATAGAGGTAATATCGAAATAAAAAAAGAACTAAATTACAAAAATCGCTTAAATTTTACATTTGTTTAGTTTAAGTACAGCTTATTTGAAAAAAATAATAAAAAAATATAGGTCACCGATGAGTTAAAAAAGATAATTCAAATTTAATGCAAAAAAATGGCATTTTTGCACCAAAGGGAGATAATTTGGAGCTTTTTCAATGATATAAACATTTTAAAAGTCATCTGGGGCCAAAAGAAATTGATTTTTTGGTTGATTTTTGTACCATATCATAAAGTAACAACTAATAGTGTAATAAATAAAATTTGTAATGAAAAAAATAATGTTTAAATTTTTGCTGAAATTTTTGTACCCTCAAGCCTCCTTAAATTTGAAACCAAACCTCAAGTTCTTGGCTATCTTACATAACAAACAGATTAGAAGGATGGATTAAATAAAATTCTCAGCTACTCCTGAAATGTTAGTTTTGTCTTTTGAAACATTTATGAACTATCATATCTATGTTCTTTTAAAATATGATGGTAAATCATAAACTAAAAGTGAAAATGGAAATCAGGAGTTATGAAAATGTTATATTTTGGTGCAAAGATCTTTCACTATTGTTTTTCATTCAGGTATGTTTTGTTGGAAAAACTAATAATAATAATCAGTCCGTCAGTCCTGTTCTTGTCATTACAACTCCTCTGAAACCACAGAACGAAATTTCCTGAAACTTTGTAGGTGATAAGTACATATACTATATACATGTGCATATCAACAGGAAATTATGATCCTATTGTTTTTCTAGGAGTTGTGCTCTCTGAACTTAGAATTTGGGCCTAAATATACTACTGCAACAGTTTGTCATGACAACTTCTCTGAAATCACACAACAGAATTTCCTGAAACTTGTAGATAATAAAGACTCGGATTGAAATTAAAATATGGTGAAAATATTAAAGTGCAGAGTATTTATGTTGCGAAAAACAAATTATAGATATATCAGTTTTCACAGAAAATAAATTAATTTGATAGTTTAAACATATTTTATTGTTCATTCTAATTTTTTAGTTGACATGCGTACTATTGTGGTTGCTGATACACCTATTATTAATGACAAAACTGCACCATTTTCTGGAGCTGTGATGGATGGACCTTTGTATGGTGAAGATTTATTGTACACAAAGTATTCAGATAGGGTAAGTGCATGCACTTAGTACTTAACTTTAGGGGGTTTTGATGACTATGTCTATTTATGAAGGACCAACACATGAATTAATTAGTTTGGTACTAAAAATTTCTTAAGGTAAGTCTTTTATGCATACTCTTGAAGTACATTTTTTACACTAGTTTATTCATTTGATTTTGATGTATAACAAATTATGTGTAATTGTCTATTTTATTGTCTTGCCTGTGGTTGAATGTGTGACATTGGGATTACAATCCAGCTACAACGTAAACTTTTTGTTTGAAAGCTTTATATTTCAGGAGAAAGAAGACCTGGATACCTTGTATATAGATGCCTTATTTTACAAAAATTCTGTCTATTATGTGTCCATTGTCTGACTTTATTATGTGACTGCTTAAAAATGTATAGGTTTTTTTTGTCATGTTATTTTTTCTCTAATTATGAGTCATAGGATAACTATATTTGGTATATGGGTTGCTTGCAAGTTCTACATATCCATAAGACAGGTTTTACCTGACCTCTACATCATTTCAGGGAATCACCACAAATAGGTTTCACTTCTGTAAATATAGACAATGCAATTTCCCATAGGAACTCCTTTTACTATGAAGTTTTGAAAAGAAATTATATCCTAGAATGGAAAGCTCATATGCACTACCGTTTTTTTTTCAAAGGGCAAAATATAGGGCTTTGCAGCATATTTTCAACATTTGTATGCACCGAACTTCTAAGAGTTTAAACTTATACTAGAGTTAAGTACTACCCCTACTTCACTTTTAAGTCTTCCTCAGAATTTAAGGCAACCGCTATTTATGTTAAACATGTTAAACATTCAGATTATATTTGGGAATCAGTAGGTAAACAAAACAAAATATCTATGAATATTATACATCTCCCCAAAAGAGGTGTGGTTTATGAAACAGCTGTATTAACAAATTGCAACCTATAGGCATTTTGTGCTGAAGCAGCATAAAGCATTCTATCATTCAATCAATTCATGGATCAGTGATCAAGGTAAAGTTTTCATGGTTGAGTCTGATTACCTGGTATTATAAGTAGAAGGATAATTATATTTGGTGTATGGAATGATTGTAAGGTGTTCTTGTTTATCTGGTAGGTATATCTGACCTTGACCTCATTTTCATGGTCCAAAAGTACAGCAGGTGAGACATTTCAGCATGTGCACTTTTGTTTTTCAGATTTGTGCCAACTGGTTACATTTCTATGACCCTGAGTCTGGTATTGGATTATACCTAGTCAGTGTTAGTTCTGTTAAAGAGATAAATGTAACAGACATTGCTAACTTGACAGAGTACAGCAGGACAACACATGAAGCTTGTGTAGAGCTAACTCCTGAAAACAATCTGGAACATGGACATACTTACTTCACCACAGTGTGGGCATTTAATGGTGCTAATAACCAGAAAAATGCTTCAGCTATTTCTAATGGAGGTAAAATGTTAAAAGTATTTGTTGTCTTGTTCAAGAAATTTCTAAAGAGCTGCAAAAATCGTAATTATTATTTTATTGCACTAAATATATTTCTTTGTACAACCCTTTTGAGCTTACCTGACAGGTAAATCACATAAAGGAAACACTAAGGTTTCACAAATCTACATGCTAGTATACATGCACGGTATGAAAAATCATATGATTTGATAAACTAAAAAAATTTATTTATTTTTGCTCTAGAAATAACAAAATCCCTTGTTTATGGACACTTCAAAACCACACTACATGGCTTCCATCTGTATGTAAGTTAGTTGTAGAGCTTATAAAACAAATGCCCCCTTTATTGTGTTTCACATGTGACAAATATCTTAATTAAGATTCAAGTCTTAAGAAAATTATTACAAACCTGAAAAAGAAGAAGACATAGAGATGGGTTATCCATCTTGTTAGGTAGGTTTTTTAGAAACAGTTCCTTAAAAGGTAAACAATTTTTGATATGACAATTTATTGAATAACTATTTGGGCTTCTGACAAGTGCTATTTGACCTAATGTAAACTGATTTCAATATCATAGACCTAAGAAGAATTATTCTATATTGGCACATACACATTACTGTCTTTTAGCAACTAACACATCATTGCGTGAAATCTGGTGTCTGTTATTAATTTATGTCTGATTTTACAGTGACTGTAGATCTAACAGAGCCAGTTTCTGGTCGTGTTATTGATGGAAACAAGACAGATTTTAAAGATATCCAGTTCTCTGGTAATGCAGCTAAAGTAGAGGTTCAATGGAAAGATTATCATGATCCTGAATCAACAATCAAACAGTATGAAGTGCAAGTTCAAGCAGCACCGTATGTTTGTTTCATTATTTTTTGTTTGGGGTGGGGGTTTAAATGTAACAAAGCTAAAAATTGAAAGAAATTTTTGTTTCCCACTTCAAACATTGCAAATGCATTCACTTTTTGTAGATTTTTTTCCTGTAAAAGGTTGTCAATGATATTTTGTATACAGTTGTATTAAAATTGGCACGTCTTATTTCCCTGCAGATAATTTGGCCTGCCCAATTATACATGGTCTATAGAATTTGAAACTTTTGTTTAGTTTAAATGTTCAAATTTGTGATAAGGTAGGTTTAAATGGAATCACTTATAGAAGGTCAATGATATTTGGTATGCTGTTGTATTAGCATTAGCACATCTCTTTTCAATTTAGTTGATATGGCCTCACCCCTTCAGTCTGGGTTTATTGACTTTGAAACTTTGGCATAGTTTACATGTTACAGTAAATGATTATGTAAGTTTAAGGAGAACCACTTATGATAAGTAATTGATATTTTATATGCAGTTTTTTAGCATTTGCAAATCTCAATTCCATGGAGATTATTTGGCCCTTCACCTTCAGGCATGGGTTGTTGATTTTTAATGTTTTACATACTTAACATGTTAAAGTATTGCTGCTTTAATTTCAACATTTGCATTTTTGTTGAGCCTGTGACATTTATTTATACAGTCGATTCCGGTTATTTGCATAGCCTATTTGTCAGAAAAGATTATGCAATAAAGTGGAGTATGCTTATATCCGAAATACCAAATTACGGAGTCAAATAACATCGATAGAACAGATCAGTAAAGGAAATCCCTGAAGAAAGATGAACGTCCATAATCCACTTTAATACAACATATTGAATGTTGATTTATTCTAATAAAGTTTTATGTCTAGTGTCCTATATGTTATTTTATTTTGTATTCTTTCAATAAAGTTTATCAACACATTTTGTTTTAGTTTATTTGCGTACCGACGTTTCCTTTACCTGGAATACGAAATAAAACAAATTGTTCTAAAAATAGATTTGTTTCTATGACCTGTATGTACAATGTACATTGTTACACTTTGATAATAATAAACTGTTAAACAATACTACACAGTTAATAATCATTTTAACAATAGATGTGTAATGAACTGCCTTTGATATGCAGTATTTACCGCTTGCACAGTGATGTAACACTGTTTCTTTAACTTCTTTAGTTTCGTATATGCAAAGCAGTAATGGGGCCCTGTAAGGGTAATTTGCTGGACACAAGTGTTGAAAGTTAGAAAATATAATAATTAAAAGTAAATGCTCTTTTCATAAAATATTAAAAATAAATGATTGATGTATAAAATTCTTCAGCCATATATAAATGCCCTGTAATATTTAACATAAATGCAGATCACCCCAAGCCAAATAACGAGAGTTCATGATCGATAATTAGCAGGCGTTATTGTTTTTTAAATTCACACAACATGTAATCTGTGGACAATGTTTGAAATCCAATCAATTATTAACACCTTTTGAGATAGAATGGTCAGTGATTTTACAACAATTACCTGTTTGGCATTTTTATGACCTTGAGGCTTAAAATAGAACATGGGAAACTTTACCTGTGTACACATCGAGGTTTATTTTTAAATCAAATTCCATCATATAAACACGAAAGAAACTGTTTTAAAACTTTATTTAAATAACACAAAAGTAAATTTGAAATAATAACGAAAAATAATGATGCATTAAAGAAAAATATACCTACCAAATTGCCGTTTCCAGTAAAAAATCTCGTTAGTTTTAACTAAGCATCTCTAGATGGCGATGATTTTCTATGCAATAAACCAAAAGGCCACTTGTAGATCGGCTATGTATATAACCGGACAATTTAACATTAGATGAATTGGAAATGGTTTTGTGCAGGAGAAATTTATGCAATTAGCCGAATTATGCTATTAATTGGTTTGCAATTAAGTGGAGTCGACTGTACACACAAATTATATTCGAGTTAACAATGTTGTGTTGCTGAAGATGCATATAGATCTGGGTGAGTGACACAGGCTCTTTTGAACCTGGTTTAACCCTCATCAGATATACTCGAGACCAAATTGGAAATAAAAAATAATAGATATTTCTGAGCACAAAACTAGAGGGGCCTAAATGTCACAGCCAAAACTGTCATAACAGTCATAATGCAAAAGGAATCACAAGCCCAACTGAAAAACAATAATATAATTTGTAACTGTGAATATTTAAATAGCTTTGTCATTTCACAATACCAGTTTGCTAAAATGTTTTGCATTATTCACTTTTGTCTTTTTTCCAGAAATTTAACTGACAACTACAAAATTACCAGAGATTTTGAGCCATATTCTAACACAACAGACAGTGTAAAATGGCTAAATTTTCATTTTCAACATAAAGACAAAGTAAAACTTTTCCTTCGTACTACAAATGGAGCTCATAACTCTATAATGAACTCGACTGATGGCTATGTTATAGATCTTACACCACCAAAGCTATTGTATTTAGGAGATGGATTGGTTCAACATAAAGATCTAGAATTCCAGGTTAAGATGTGCTTTATATCATTATATGCTTTGGGTAAAATAAAGTGGCATTTTAATTATTTAGTAATGATGTGGTCTTATAAATGTTTTTTCCAGGGTCATTTTACTGACTTTTCATGGTTTAATGGCTTTACTTCAACAATATTCCTTAGAATAGTTGCAGTATATTCAAAAGATTATAAGGTTCAAATTGTTTTAATAAGAGAGTATAGGTATTAGTTTTTGATAAGAAAAAAAATCTTTTTTTTCTTTACAGTCAGATGCCAAAAATCTTTCATGTAATTTCAAGTTTATTGATGAAGAATCTGGATTAGATCATTTTCAAATACAGATTTATGAACAGTATCAAAGTATAAGATCACTTATTTTCCCAGGTAAGTTAATATTCTATTTTTGATAGATGCATTCAATTTATGCATTTTATGCAGCAATATGTTGTTACAGAAAATCTCATTGATTCCATTTTGGATATTGAAGTTTTAAAAGTTAAAATCTCTGTTCAATTCTTTCCAAGCATTTAAGATTATTGTCACAATTAATCATGCAAGTTTAATACTCTCATACTGTCTGAACTTGTATTAAGGATGTTCGCTACTCTGTTTCAAAATAACAAGCTTTTTAAAAAACTGTTATAAATTGGTAGTATATAAATAAAGGAACTATAAAAGCAGAAAAAAATGAAGGGTCTGTGTGATTGTTTTCGAGATATAAGCCATTGAAAATTTGGCGGGAAATGATTCTCTTTAGATTTTTCATACATTTAACATTGGCACCTTTTTTCTTTTAAAAACTATGAAAAAATAACAAGGATTTTATAAGATTTTCAAAGGTGGCATTTTAAACTTTATGTAATCAAATTATGAAAAGAAAAGTAGGCGTCAGTGGGCATTTTTTTTAAAGGCACTACATGGATAAAACCAGAGGATTCCGAATATCTGACAAAAAGTCAAAAACAAGAGTAGCGATCATCCTTAAATGAATTGGATATATCTAAAACAATGTATTTGTAATATATAATTTAACCATAAAATGAAACTTAAATTTCATTTCATGATGTTCCATTAGAATTAATGAAGGATTATCAAATGTGAATAAAAGAAATTATGTGGGATTAACACCAATATATTAACTAATAATTAATCCAACAACAAAGCTTAAACAAAGATCGACATATATATATTTTTTTTTTAGCAACTGAAAATGATTGGATGCAGTTTGATGATGAGACCATAAATGAATTCACCGACTACAGTCTAGATTTGCTGCAAGGCGCTGTATACAGTATCAGAATAGGAGCTGTCAATAAAGCAGGATTTGTGGGAGCTTTTGAAACAAATGGTGTAAAAATAGACAGAACTCCTCCAATTGTAAGGAATTCATATTTGTTAAAATGAAGAAGAAAAAACTCATTTATTGTTTTAAGGATATGGCTTATTTATATCAGTGGAAAATTTGACATGTATTCTTCTTTTTTTTTGGAGGGTGAAGGTATCCCGAGGAACCAGTAATGACGCACCTAAGGTTGTTTTTGTCTCTGCATTTAATCTACCATTTAAAAGAATTAGAAAAAAGGAATGGAATAAAAGATTGATAACTTGTTTAAAATATATTTCAGTCATTAAACAGTTGATATTTGAAACAGTAATAGCAATAAAAATTATGTTTGCTAACATTACAAACGGACTGCCAACTAATGATGGGTACCAGTAATGACGCACTGTAAACAAACCATTAAAAACCACTTGCGTGTACCTGATAATCGAAAAAATTGCTTCAATCCGGATTCTTTAAAGTTAACACTGTTCAACAAATTCAATTTTATTAACAACTTTTGACATTTGCATTCACTTCATTGATCATGATGAAAGAAACACAAAATATTTTATCGATTTAATTGTAACTTATATTTTTATGCAAATTTGATATATAATTGTTCAAAATTTATGAAAGTGATATATATTCCATACATTAATGATTTGAAAATAAAAAGTAATTGCATTCATAAAACAACATTGACAATAATACATTTATCAATGTATACTTCATACATTGAATGTAAAAAATCGATAAACCATAGAAAATTATATTAGCGACGATCATTTGTTCTACAGTGATTTCCGCTTAAATGTAAAACCATGTCACATGACAGTCACGTGATTTGAAAAACACTAAATGGGGAAGCAGACGGCTACATACTTTTATTGACCAAAGTGGATATAGGACTGATAATCATTCGGGCAAGGGTAGAATGTTTTTGACCTAAAATGGCGGAAATTGCATTGTCTTTAATATTTTAAGCAATAATTACATTTCTGGGCGGAGTTTTAGGCATCTTTGTTGTAGTCAGATGACCTTCACCATCATGTTATGAACAGCAAATGTTGATGACGTCACAGCTTTTGTTTAGAAATATAAAACTAAATAGGTGCATCATTTCTGGTCTGCTTCAAAACAGGTACAAAGATGATATACCGGTAATGTACATTTAAAATTTTTTCTGGAAAACATGGAACAATTTTTTTATTGTTATCTGAAATATTTGAAGTATTGGAAAGATGGCATTTGACTTAACTGAAGCTTGATTGTAATCTTTCCATTTGAAATATGTTGGTCACTGATCTGAAGAAATTTTTTTTTCTAATTTTTTTTTTTGGAGGGGGGGGGGGGGGGAGTGCAGCTGTTATTCTTTAACTAGTATATGATCAAATAAAGAATACACTTTTCACAAAATAGAATATAACATTATTAATATAAAATTGATGTGTCTTATCCAATGATTTCTTGCCGTATCAAGCAAATGTTGTTCTTTTTTTCTTTCTTTTCTTTATCCCAAGGGTCTAGAAATAATGTCACCTTTGTCTTCCAACTGACAGTAAAACTGGTAGGGTTGTTAAATCTGATGACGCATCCAAGTCGATTCCAATTGCAGGAATGTAAAGTATTGTAATTTGTTGTCGTCCTGAACATAAATTAAAGCAAAAACAATTATTATTTCTTTTCATAGCTTCATTGTGGCTGAATCAAGGAAGTGTGACAATTTGTATATCATAATTGATTTAACCATTTTTTGAGCTGAAAATAATCAAATGAATGATTGTTTATTCCAAATAAACAATGGGTTGGAGAAGTTGTAAATTTGTGCAGAATATGAGAAAAAAACACTTTTAAAAGAACAATATGAGGAATAAATTTGCAGTAAATTTCTCACACTTATGGGTGATATTTTTTCTTATCCTGTAGTAAACTTGAGAAAATTTATGAACAGGTTAATCAGCTTCATGTGAACACTTTGACTGATGATGAAGAACAAGTTGTATATGGTTATGTGTGGCAAGCTGATGCAAAAGGTATTAAGGCAGCATGGCAAGCTTCAGATCATCAGTCGGGAATTGTTAGTTTCAAGATAGCTGTTGGAACAACACCAGGTAATTTTAACATTTTTGTATTTGGTACTCCCATGACTTGTATTTCTAGGCTATTTTCAAATGATTTATACTTATTAGTTTGTTACTCTGTTAGATCTACTCAGAGCTAAAATATGCTTAGCTTCACAAGCATAAGCTAAAAATGTATGCTCACTATGCCTACTGTACTGATTAAATGAATTTACTGTATACTTTAAATTTAATCATTTGGTACAGCTTTGACTGTTTTTTTCTTGATATTCAATCATTTATTATGATTTCTTGTTGCAAGGTGGAACTGAGGTGAAGCCATGGACAGATATAGAATTAAAGAAAGATACATACATAGATGGATTGTCACTAGTAGTCAGTGATATTGTCACCAAGACCCCAGTTTATTATGTCGGTTTAGTGGCAATCAATGGAGCCGGCCTAGAAAGTCCACCAGTGGTGTCTACGCCAATAGTGGTAGTTGAATCAGATAGACCAGGTATTATTAGATGATAAATGGTTAATTTGTGGTTTATAATTTTTTATTAATCTTATTTAGTTGAGATGATAGATAAGGCTCCCAAAAAAAACGCTTGTCTCCTGCCTCCTGGCTGAAAAAAGTTAGATATGTTTTTTTCTTTTATAATTTTACATATCAAATATTTTCAAAAGAGTTATGCCCCTCAGAAAAATTAATTATTAATTGAAATAACATTGCATTATATTTATTAAAAGTAATAAGTAACAGAATTTTTTATTATTTTTATCCCCAACCTACCATAGAAGAAGGGCATTATGTTTTTTGATCTGTGTGTCGGTTCGTTCGTCCTTCTGTCCCACTTCATGTTAAAGTTTTTGGTCAAGGTAGTTTTTGATGAAGTTGAAGTCCAATCAACTTGAAACTTAGTACACATGTACCCTATGATATGATTTTTTTAATTTTAATGCCAAATTAGAGTTTTGACACCAATTTCACGGTCCACTGAACATAGAAATTGATAGTGTGAGTGGGGCATCCGTTTTTAGCTCACCGGGCCCAAAGGGCCCCATGTGAGCTTATGCCATCACTTGGCTTCCGTCGTCTGTCGTCGTCGTAAACTATTTAAAAAATCTTCTCCTCTGAAACTACTGGGCCAAATACCTTCAAACTTTAACTAAATGTTCCTTAGGGTATCTAGTTTATAAATTGTATCCGAAGTTTTGATCCATCGACAAACATGGCTGCCATGGCTAAAAATAGAACATAGGGGTCAAATGCTGTTTTTGGCTTATATCTCAAAAACTAAAGCTTTTAGAGCAAATCTGACATGGGGTGAAGTTGTTCAATTGGTCAAGATCTATCAGCTCTGAAATTTTCAGATGAATCGAACAACCCATTGTTGGGTTGCTGCCACCGAACTGGTAGTTTTAACAAAATTTTGCAGTTTTTTGTTATTATTTTGAATATTATTATAGATATATATAAACTGTAAGCAGCAATAATGTTCAGCAAAGTAAGATCTACAAAAAAGTTAATATGACCATAATTGTCAATTGACCCCTTAAGGAGTTATTGCCCTTTAAAGACAATTTTACACAATTTGTTCATCAAGTTTGCTAACATTTAAAAATCTTCTCCTCTGAAACTACTGGGCCAATTACCTTCAAACTTTGACTAAATGTTCCTTAGGGTATCTTGTTTATAAATTGTATCCAAAGTTTGTATCCATCGACAAACATGGCCGCCATGGCTAAAAATAGAACATAGGGGTCAAATGCAGTTTTTGGCTTATATCTCAAAAACTAAATCTTTTAGAGCAATGTGACATGGGGTAAAATTGTTTAATTAGTCAAGATCTATAGGCCCTGAAATTATCAGACGAATCGAAAAACCCATTGTTGGGTTGCTGCCACCGAATTGGTAGTTTTAACAAAATTTTTTGTTTTTTGTTTTTATTTTGAATATTATTATAGATATACATAAACTGTAAGCAGCAATAATGTTCAGCAAAGTAAGATCTACAAAAAAGTTAATATGACCAAAATTGTCAATTGACCCCTTAAGGAGTTATTGCCCTTTAAAGACAATATTACACAATTTGTTCATCAAGTTTGCTAACATTTAAAAATCTTCTCTGAAATACAGGTGAGCGATTCAGGCTCTTGAGAGCTTCTTGTTTATGGACACATTGTTGCTTTTGAGTTATTTCCCTTTGGACAGATAAAATATGTTGTTCGATTTGTAAATGCATGCTTTCTTTTTTAAATTGAACATTTTCAGGTTTGTTGTTACAGAGTAGTGGGACATTTTAACAGTCTTATTTAAAACAATATTCTTACACTGAAGGATTAGCTACATTATCACTCTAATGAATCACTTTTAATCCACCACTTTCAATCCACCATTTACTACATATGAAAATGCCTGTACCAAGTCAGGAATATGACAGTTGTTATCCATTCGTTTGATGTGTTTGAGCTTTTGATTTTGCCATTTGATTAGGGACTTTCCTTTTAGAATTTTCCTCGGAGTTCAGTATTTTTGTGATTTTACTTTTGACCTTTTTCTTTGTTTGTAGGTATAGTTATTGATGGAACAGACAACACAGACCATGATCCTCTATCTGACATCGGTTTTGACATTGATTACCAGTCTGACATTTCTACTATCAGTGTACAGTACACTGGATTTGAGAGCCATCTCCATGGTGTCATGGACTATGAATGGGCTGTAGGAACAACTCCAGGTGGACAAGATGTTACCACATTTTCATCTGATGGAATTTTACATGTAGAAGAGCAAAATATTGCTGGAGATGGTAGGATATGATTTTGCAATAAATAGTATTCTATTGAAATATGGGTAACAACAAACTCAAAGATATCATAAAATAGATTTTAATGGCACCTCCTTTATGAGTTGTTCTAATAGATATCTCCTTTAGTTAAGAGATATTCATTAGATACAACAACCTGAGTGATGTATAGATAATTGTTGTTTTTTTAAGGAATATTTGCTACTTATTTTTACTTGGACAAAAGACAGTATTCACAGCAAAATTATCTCCAAACCATTAACATTGTTTCAAATACATTAATGATTTGATGCTGATGTGACACTAAGTTATTAAGCCATCATGAATCAACCAATCAACCATTTCAAATTTTATAATCAAGTTTATGAAGCTTAAGTTTAATATCTAAATCATTTTATTGTACATTTGTAGGGATTTCAAGCTCTGGGTATGCACAAGTAAATACTCCTATCAAACCTGGAACGACATATTATTCTACCATCAGAGGTATCACTAATGCTGGAAATATTATTGAGTCTGTATCAGATGGAATTACTGTAGACGTACTACCACCAAACATTATTTTAGATAGGTAAATATTATAAACCAACACCAGAAACCTTAAATATTCATATTTATTATAATTGCAACTGAAATGAGATGATACTGTGGATTCATTATTTTCCGTCAAGTAATGTAGTATAAGCAATCCACAAATATTTGTGTTAAAAGAAATACAAATATGTTGTAGGCTTTTATATGTGTTTAAAATTCGTCAGAACTATGAAATCACCTAGGCATTGAAACACATTTGTTTTCTAAATACATGAAAGTGCAAACGAAATAGTGTAATTTTCAAAAATAGACTCAAATGCAATGCCTCATATTGATATATTCCAAGTTTCTGTGCAATTGTCATGGTACTCTGTAGAATTAAAACTGCTGAAATGAAAAAATTAATTATATAGGATGAAAAAAAATAAGAATGCATTAGATATCTTTAATTTTCTTGTTTATACTATAATCTAGGCTATCAGATAATAATGCTATTGATGGTGATATAGGACCAAGTTCTTCAATGTATAAAAGTACAGCTGATTCCCTGTCTGCCTTATGGCACTACAATGACACAGACGGTGAAGTAATAAGGGCCTGGTATTCTGTTGGGACATATCCATATGCTGAGGACATATCACCTAGATCTGAAGTGAATATATCCTCTACACAAAGTAGTTACTTAGAAGTTGGCTCTGTAAAACCTGACACTGGAGGTAAGAAGTTATCTGGCTACAGAAATTACACTGAAAGACCAAATCATGTCAGACTTTATTGGAATGAAGATGGGGAGAATCAATGTTCAGTACTTATAATATGGCATACATCGTAACATTGACACTATAGGTTCTATTAAACCATATGGAAAATCAGGTTGCCACAGTTTTATAATTATGATTAATAATTTTTTATTTTTTTACTGCAACTGAAAAATCTTAATTTACTACAGGCGTGGTGATTTCAAGAATCTCAACAGAGGAACATTATTAATGATGCTCTTAGAACAAAAATTGGAGTATATAGTTATTGCTTTGTCTGTTCATTTGTGTATTCATAACTTTTTTTGCATTATTGATTGAATAACATAAAAAGTACAATGATGCCACATACTTAGCTCCCATTTTTGTCAGAATAAATTTATGAAGAAATCATTAGATAAGTTATTTTGTTTCCTTTTCAATTGTAGGCAAACCTAATATAATCAGTATCTGGGCAGAAGACAAAGCTGGTTTGATAGGTAGAACTACATTTGGTTCAGTTATCATTGATACCAGTCAACCAGGAACTGGTTATGTATCTTGTCCAGAATACATGGGTGTAAGTTTCTTGATATTGTCATTAATGATAATATAAGCAGACTTTTATAAAAATCCTATTTATTTTTTGTTTTAATTATTGTTGTTGGTGCTAAAGACAATATATATTGAGCAAGAATCATTTTAAAGATCTGACATCGACAACAAATTCCCTAAACCTATGACCATTATACAAATGACAGGTCATTACATTAAATGGAACCCGGTCATTACATTAAATGGAAACAAATGGACCATAGATAGAACTCAACTAAACAGATGAGCAATATTAACATTCCTATGAGCTCCAGATCTCACCTTTTTATTTGGATTACCATTTTAATGCTAAGTAAGCAATTCAAAATTTTTGCTCCATTTATCCTATTAGGCATTGTGACTTATTGCAATCACTTTGCATTAGTCTTTGTTGTCGTCTGATAACTTTTTCAAAGATCTTCTTCTTCATTGAGTAGGTGCAAAAATTGGGGGCATTAGATAATTTAAATTTAGAATCTTTACTTAAATCAATCTTTTCTTACAATTTGTAGATGGAGAGCCCAATATTGTGTTCCTGGTCAGGATTTCTAGATGAAGAGAGTCCAATACAGAAATTCATGATCACTCTTGGATCAGAACAAGGGTCTTCAGATATTTTTGAAACAACTCTCAGTGGATTTTTATCCTCTTATACCATAAAGGGTATGTTGATTGATTATAGCTGTTATCCAAATGCATGTTGACCAATAAAATTGAGAATGGAAACACGAAGTGTGTCAAAGAGACAACAACCCGACCAAAGAGCAGAAAACAGCCAAAGGCCACCAATGGGTCTTCAACACAAAGAGAAAATCCTGCACTCATATGCAATCATGTGTACTAGTTTGGCTAAACTGGAAGTCACACTAAACTCTGAGGCATATATATATATGAACCAAAATTATAAAAATATTCAAGACTTACAAGGGACAGAGGTTCGTGACTTGGAATAGGCGCAAAAATGTGGCGGGGTAAAACATGTTTTGTGAGATCTCAACCCCTCCCCCTATTCCTCTAGCCAATATTTTCTCAAGCATTGCAATTAAGGTTAAAACATGAAGATAATGTTCTTCCAGAACACTCATCTTTTTTTTATTTTCAAGTGAGGTAATAAATTTTTTTCTTCTATTAATTTAGGTGCCAATTATCAATTAGACCATGGCAGTTCATGCTTTGCTACAGTCACAGCAGTAAATTCAGTTGACATGGAAACATATGCCTTTTCTGGACCCATCTCTATTGATACAACACCACCTAAACATGGGAAAGTGGTGGACCTGCATACAGTCTACAGAATCAATGTCAATGACAATAGTCAAACTGTGGCAATGAATGCTAAAATATGCAGTACAGATGAAGGTGAGAAGTGTCTTTCTGTGTTTTTGTTTTTTTTAATTAGGAGACCTCCAATTTAAACCTTTTAAGATTTAAGATAATAACAAAGTTGTACAAAATGTAGAAATAAGGCAGAATAAGTCACACACTAAAAGTAACAATTATGGAATATAGTGAACATTTTTTACTCCTTATATAACAATAGTGTAATTAGACAGTACACACATTGGTCTAGTGTTATGTGTATGTATGGTTGTATGTGTTTTGTTGTTAATTCGTGAGAGTTGTGTCCCTTTGTATAATGATGCATATCATGTCATGTGATGTTATCTGTCTCTTTGGAATAAAGGTTTTTGTTTCTGTTAGAAACTACTTTCTTCATTGCATTGTTTTAATTTTTTCAGAAATTTTTATTTTTAACTATCGATGATATAACTTCTTCCAGCTGTATTTCAACAGTTATGTTATATTTTACAGAATGTGATGGATTAGATGCTGTATGCTCAGAATCCCTCACATCTGTATCAGCAACATGGCAGCTCTTTTCTGATGATGAATCAGGGATTGTTGGGTTTGTATTATATATATATAGTAGCAGAAGGTTGAATCTGAAAAGGAAACTTCTTAGGATGCTGCAAAAAGAATTTTCTATTGTGTCAAACTCATAAAACTGAAAACTGATTAACTTCCAAGCAAAATTTTACTCTTCATTCTGAAAGGTAATATGTAAATAGAAGTCATCAGACCTCAATGATTAATTAAAAGTAGTTTTTTTGTTTGTTTCATACCTACAGGTACCAGTTAGCAGTAGGTACAAAACATTCACAGGATGCTAGATAATACACATTATCACCCTGCTCAGTCATTCCGTAATGCTGGTATCATAGCTTTAAGACGAGAGCAGGCATTATCAGCGACGTTGCAATGTCTGAGGAGAAGCTATCACCGACGTCACAATGTGTGAGGAGACGTGATCAAACTTGCTTTTCGTCAAGCGTAAAACTATTGTAGGGAGGCAGAAAGACCAGTAATAGAACGATAAACAGATAATCAGGTTTTCTTCCCAAAGGTATCGTAAAATATCAGACGCTCGATACAATGTGAAGCCTTTTAGCTTGTTTGCTGCGCTCACTTGCCAAAAAGGTTAACATTGTAGCTCGCGGCTGATATTTTACAATATCTATGTGTAGAATACCCGATAATCTATACATGTCTTGTCTTAATCTGATGTTGTTTTACATCTACAGGTACCAGATAGCAGTAGGAACAACACCAGGTGGAGGCCAGATCAAAGCTTTTTTTGATGTTCCGCAAGATGCTAGATATTACACAGTGTCAGGTCTGAGTCTGATGGGATATAGAAAGGTGAATTGATTTTATATGAAATACTGATGTTGTGCACCCCACAGCAAAGGGGGCATCAGACTTTACCCTTGTTTATCAGTATGTCCCAAAACTACCTTTCTCAAATTTTAGTTTGCTTCAACTAAATCATATGAAGCTTATACACAATGTTGATAATCATCAATCACAGATCAAGTCAAATTAAGGTGGCGCTAATTTCACTGTTCTTCAAATTTGTCACTTTATACATGTAAAACATTAATGAAGTTACGGTATATTTACAAGTAGGGATATTCTTTTTTTATTTTATTTAAATGTGTTGTTACTAAAAGAATAAAATATCTCTGTGCATAATTATGCAGTTCGTAATATAAACACTGAACCTTAGTTTTTAGATGATCTGTTACAGTAGATAGGATCTCCCTAAGAAGGTCACTCAATCTATCAACATTTGCTGTATTGTTATTTGCACGAATGAAAGGAGCTTGATCACAAATTAAACTGAGATATATAAAGTAAGAAAGTGTGTAGAAAATACAGTTCCTTGCTTTTTTTCTAAATACATTCAAAATGACAACTGATAAAAAGACTTACTAATCTCAAAATTACAATATCCAAAATTATTCATCCTTACCAAACAAAAGTGACAATTCCCTGTGTTCTGAAATTATTGTAATAAAGTAAAAGATTATAGCAGTAAATGTTTGTATTGTAGGTTTATGTCTCTATCAGAGGAACAAATGGAGCTGGGTTATCAAGTGTAGCTACTTCCAATGGAGTATATCTATCATACCTAAGTCAGGGTCTACAACCACTATCACATATTGGCATCAATGATGTACTAGACAACTCTGGGCTTGATATGTAAGAACTTTATGTAAATTGTTTCATTGTGCTAAACCAAAGGTTAAAAATCCGTAAGGCAAGGTTAACCAAAGGACAGTTTTGTCTAGTTAAGGCCCTTTAAGTTATTCTCTTGAACATTTTATACGTTTGACCTTGAGCATACCAAATAAAGTCAATTTGAAGAAATTTGTCATTTGCATTGAATTGGTACTACTACTTTACATGTTTTACATCACTCTGCCAGTGAGAGCCATTGCCACCACTTTGGTGTCTGTACTCCTTAGTCATTGTTTGTTTACCAAAATTTGATCTGAAACTGGGCCTATTGGAATCAGGCCTCATTTTTCAAAGGATATGTAGTATAACGGTATGTTTTGAGATCCTGCTTGCATGCCAAAAAGAGAACAAAGGGGTAACATGCAACTATTGGCTTATATCTTGAAAGTTGTTGTTGAAAGAAAAATCTGATGGGGTAAAACTGTTCAAAATGTTCAGATGACCTTAAATGCTCATTTTTTGCTAAAAAAAAATATTATCAAATGATAAAATATTTAGAAGGCACTGCTGTACATGAAAATACACTGAATTTTTATTTTATTCTTTATGTATAGAGATTTCCAGGAAAGGCTTGACACACTTCAAGCATCATGGGATTTGTCAGGTGATCCATGTCCATCTGTGAGAAATGAATGGCAAATACAGAAGTTGGATAGAGAAGTTGTTTCAGAATGGCTTGACATTGCTGGTAAATGAATTTCATTTTTATATAACTAGTAACTTTATTTCAAAATTTTATTTCTCGTAATGAGATTAAATGATTAAATATTGAATTTTGAGACCAACGGACACAGAGGATCATTTGAGCTTTTCTTTTCACTTGATGTCCATTATTGTCTTCCGTTTTACAAAAAAATTCTCTGAAACTACTTGGTCAATTAGAACTCAAGTATTCCACAATCATCATTAGAGTAAATTATGTCTCTTATCTCAAAAATTACAATAGCAAGACAAAATTAGACTGGGCAGAAATATCAACTGTCAGACAACTTCTTAAAGGAGTTATTGGCCTTAATGGCAGTTTCTGTCTTGGATTGAGGAAGCCAAAAAGTGAGACTTAGGTGTGCTGTTTCTGACTGTGCTGACAACAATTTGTTAAAGTTTGTGATTAGGTCAGTTGAAGGAGAACAACTAATGATATTTGATACACAGTTGTATAAGCATCAGCACATCTTAATTTCCAAGATATTATTTGTCCTACCCCCTCAGTCATGGTCTATTGATCTTGAAATTTTTGCATAGTTTATATTTTCAAGTTTGAAATTAGGTCAGTTTAAGGGGAAGTATTTTTAATTAGTCACTGATATTTGGTATGCAGTTGTATAAGTTGACAACTGGCCAAGTTATATAAAAGTACATTTAAAGTGAACCCTTTTTCCATTGTGAAATTTTGTCTTTAAATAGACAATATTTTTCAGATGAATACCATGAAATTTTGTCTTGTTAAAGAAAGGTTATAATTTTTGTGTATTGAGACAATATTTCATAGACAGATTGTCATGAAATTTTGTCTTATGGAGGGGAGGTTACCAACATGTATTCATGTTAGATATTGATATTTTATTTGACTGATAATAACAAAAAAAAAACATATTAATATGTCAGCTACATTGTACTCCTGTACCTCAGAAACACCTTTCCAAAAAGATTAATCAATCTAGTATTTACGAATACTTTTAGTACATTCAATTTTAAACATAAATAAATGATTGTCAGTTCATTACTTATATTTATACAGTTTAATGTAGTACAATGAAACATACATTAGACAATTCTTTAATATATAATTAATCATTTATAAAGTACTATACAAGTTTGAAACTAGCTTATGTTAAAATAAATTTCAAGTTTGAAATATATAACATACTTACTTTACAAAACTATTTCAGTTATAAATCTAAAAATGAATGCTGCATGCTTGTGTACTATTTCTGTAATTTTGCAATAATTTGATCATGAAATATATTTATGGACAATATTTCACAGTGAAATGTTGTCATGGACAGAATGAACTAATGTCATAATAGACATTATTTCATAGTGAAATATTGACCAGAAGGAGGTGACAAAATTTCATGGAAAAGGACACTATTTCATAATGAAATATGAAATTTTGTCTAACGGACAATATTTCATGGGGGACAATATTTTATGTTACAAAAGGTCTTTCAATACAAGATCTCTTAAAAATGAGAGACATGTTGAATTAAGAAGACAGAGCTAGATTTTTAGAGAAGAACAGTTACTTCATATGTACTTTTTATTCTTTCAGACGCAGAAGACGCAAATTTAGATGGACTAAATCTTAGAAGTGGAGAATTATATTATTCTTTATTGAGAGTGACAAATGCATTGAACTATACTTACATAATAAGGTCCAATGGAGTTACTGTTGAAGATGATCCACTTATTCCAGGCAGCGTGTTCGATGGATATATAACTGGATTTGATTTGAATGTTCAACCCTCTACCCGTAAAATATCTGCTAACTGGGATGGTTTTGGTTTACTTGCTTATGATGTATTTCAGGCAGATGTTGAAGGTATGTTGATTTCAGTATCAAAATAAAAGATATAGAACAGAACTAAAATAAAACATTGTAATTCCAAATATAAAACATAGTATTACAAAGAGGAAACTGCTCAAATGCCCCTTCCCTTGAAAAAAATTTGTAAGGGATCCGCGGAACCCAGTGTCTCGCCTACTTTATGAAGCTAATAAATGATTTAGGAACTTTAACTGCAGATTGTATGTAATGTTAACTGAAAGAAAACTAGGTACATAATTAAGTAGCGTACGGAAAAACAGGAAATATATTTTAACAAAATTTCCTTCTAGATACTAGCTTTTGATCATAAACAAGCTTCTGTCCAAGTTTGGTAGAAATCCAGGATAGTTTAAGAAAGTTATTAAAATTTTGCAAGGTGATTAATATAAGCATTCTAACAATCCTATAACACTTTAATTTTACTTTTTGAAATTGGTGGTAATTTAAATGCATGCCAAAGCATGGAAACCAAGACATGAATATAAAATTAATGGCAATAAATGGCTTTAGTTTTTATAGGACCGCAAACAAATTTTGAGGTCGTATATTGGTATGACGTTGGCGTCGTCATCGTCAGAAGACACATTGGTTTTCGCACTCTAACTTTAGTTTAAGTGAATGGATCTCTATGAAATTTTACCATAAGGTTCAATACCACAAATGGAAGGTTGGGATTGATTTTGGGGGTTATGGTATCAACAGTTAAGGAATTAGGGTCCAAAAAAGGGCCAAAAATTAGCATTTTCTAGTTTCCAGACAATAACTTGTGGAACGGTGTATGGATCTCTCTGAAATTATACCACAAGTTTCCATACCACAAAGGAATGGTTAGGATTTGCTTTGGGGGTTATGGCTCAAACCGTTTAGGAATTAGGGGCAAAAAAGGAGGAAAAACAAGGTTGTCCTGGTTAATGGACAAATACTTCGGTACAAAACATAATTTAAAGCAGTGTAAGGGAGATAAATCAAATACAATATTTGAATTACCTCCCTTACACTGCTTTTAAATTATGTATAAAGTAATGTTTAATGAACAATTAAGACAATTTAAAACAGTGCAAGGGAGGTAATCCAATTATAACGTTTTGATTACTTCCCTTACACTGCTTTTAAATTATGTTTAAAGAAATGCATATTTATAAAGGAAGACCAGTAAAAATATCTGCAAATGTTGCATCTTTTTTTTTTTTACAAAAAAATCAATATGAAAGATTTGACACCATATTTTAAATTCTATTATAAAATAGATTAAGTTAGCACTATGGTGAATTTAAATGGGTAATTGGAAATTTGAATTGCAATTATGACCATATCTTGAGGGAAAGAATTTTTAGGGGGAAAAAGGGGGGGGGGTAAAAAGAAATTGTGGGGGGTCAATTTTTTTCTCATTTCAGATTTCAGAAATTAAAAAGAATTATTGTTCAAATATTATTTTTTTTTCAAATTTCAAATATTGAAAAATTTCAAGAAGTAATCTTTAATTGCACAGTAGGGCGCATTAGATTTGTAAAATCTTTGACCACATTTATTTATTTGTTATGTCGAATCTAACCGTGTGTTTAGATTTTTAATTTTGAATTAGTTTTCAAATTGGTCTACATTAAGGTCCAAAGGGTCCAAAATTAAACTTAGTTTGATTTTAACAAAAATTGAATATATGGGGTTCTTTGATATGCTGAAACTAAACATGTATTTTGATTTTTGATTTTGGGCCCAGTTTTCAAGTTGGTCCAAATTGGGGTCCAAAATTAAACTTTTTTTTTTGTTTGATTTCAACAAAAATTGAATATATGGGGTTCTTTGATATGCTGAATCTAACCATGTATTTAGATTTTTTATTTGTGGGCCCCGCTATCAAATTGGTACATATTGAGGTCAAAAGGGTCCAAAATTAAACTTTGTTTGATTTCATCAAAAATTGAATTATTGGGGTTCTTTGATATACCAAATCTAACCATGTATTTAGTTTTTAATTTTGGGTACTGTTTTTAAATTGGTCTACATTGAGGTCCAAAGGGTCCAAAATTAAACTTAGTTTGATTTTAACAAAAATTGAATTCTAGGGGTTCTTTGATATGCTGAATCTAAACATGTGTTTAGATTTTTGATTAAGGGCCCAGTTTTCAAGTTGGTCTAAGTTGGGGTCCAAAATTAAACTTTGTTTGATTTCAACAAAAATTGAATATATGGGGTTCTTTGATATGCTGAATCTAACCATGTATTTTGATTTTTGGGCCCCGTTATCAAATTGGTCCACATTGAGGTCAAAAGGGTCTAAAATTAAACTTATTTGATTTCATCAAAAATTGAATTCTTTGGATTCTTTGATGTGCTGAATCTAACCATGTATTTAGATTTTGGATATTGGACCATAATAGGTAAATTAAAATTTTTTAAATTCTTAGACCACATTCATTCTGTGTCAGAAACCTATGTTGTGTCAAATATTTAATCACAATCCAAATTCAGAGCTGTATCAAGCTTGATTGTTGTGTCCATACTTGCCCCAACTGTTCAGGGTTCGACCTCTGCGGTCGTATCAAGCTGCGCCCAGCGGAGCATTTTATTTAATGAAGAACTGCAATAAAGCATATTTGCATTGTTTCTTATATAATATATCCTAGTTTTTCAAAATAACAAGCTTTTTAAAAAAAGCAGTAAAAAAAGAAGGGTCTGTGTGATTGTGTAGAGATGTAGGCCATTGACAATTTGGCAGGAAATGATTCAACATTGGCATCTTTTTTCTTTCAAAAACAATGGAAAATAACAAGGATTTTGTAAGATTTTCAAATATGGCTATTTAAAACTATATGTAACAAAATTATGAAAAAAAAAAAATAGGGATAAGTGGTCATCATTTTTTATGGCACTACATGGATAAAACAAAAGTGTTCCGAATATCTGGCAAAATTTCGAAAACAAGGAGCGAACATCCTTAAAGTACATGATTCTTTCTTATCCTATGCATAGTAAATATGTATTTAAGCAACATGTCTGTGTTAGAAATATACTTTGAATGATTATGACAGGTACTTAATTAACCTAAACTTTTTACATAAAATAAAGTCGAAATTTTAAAGATAGATAATAATATGGTATTAACTGTTAATATGTCATATTTTCTTGAAAGGTAACCAGGGTTATCAAGCTAATGATTCAAATACAGCAGACCAACCCAATGCTCAGGAAATAATGTATTATGAAGTAGCTGTTGGAACAGATAGAACATTTGCTAAAACCAGAGATAATATTGTACCATTTACCAATGTTGGTTTGAACAAATCTGTTACGTTTTATGATCTTAACCTAGCATCAGGAACGGCAATGTACTACTTCACTGTTAGAGCCTACAGTGTGTCATACTCCGTTGCCATGGTTACATCTAATGGTTTCCATGTTGGATATGATGGTGGTGTTCAAGGTGAGATTTCTTTTTAATTTACAGAACTATATGGATAGAAATCAACACTTGTATTTTTTTGCTTTCTTTCAACTTTAAAAGAATTTTTGTTAGTGACACTAGCAAAAATTCTTAAGTTGAAAGAAAGCAAAAAATTACAGACAGTTCAATAAATTGAAAATTGTATTGGTCATACAATTTTATCACATTTTATTTTATAATGATATCACTAGCTAGTTGATATTAGTTTTGGTATTCAGTGAGCATGATTACATTGATTAATTATATTGATTTAGTTTGAAATTTTATACAAATTTGGCTTTCATCATAAGTTAATATTCATTAAGTATCAAAACTAAAAAAGTTTTTTGGCTACAGTCTCATCAAGGGCAAAAACCCAGAGATGAGATATAACAGAGTAACTGGAGTTGAATGACCATTGATAATCTTTTTAACGCTATTATTTACTTACTTTTTTGTGAAGTTTACTTCATTTAAAGTATCGCCGTTGTAAATATGTTTAAGTTCATCTGCTTCTTATGCAAGACCCTCATGTTAAAGCTGGCCAATCCTGCTACAAACTCATAACTTTTCTTTTTTTTAATGAAGTTCATTTATATTGTCCGTTTCAAATTCTTGTGTAAAATGTCTATTCAGAGCAAACTGATTTCATTTTAAATGCTTAGTTTGTAATTACTTCCATCATTTACACAAAAAAAGTCTCTTCTACATGTTTTTGTGAGAGAAAAACATTGATTTTTATCATTTTTTACATAGATTTTTGCCACACAAATATAGAGACCATGACTGGTTTATTTTGTAAAAAAACCTTCCTGTACATAATATATCTGTTCAAAATCATTGAGGTTTATAAAATTGACATTTGAGTGATTTTTTTTAATAAAATAATTTATGCAAATTGTAATCTTACACTATTTTTCTGTTATCATAGGTGGATCCATCATCATGGGTGACTATGTTAACAATGCTACCTATGTAGACATACAGTTTGACGGTTTTACATCTAAGCTAGAAATAATGATGTATTATGTGGGTCTATCCAACAACACAGAAGCTGTAGGAACAGATTGTAAACAATATGTAAGACATGTTTATATTCAAGTTTGGGAAAAGGACAGCACATATATATGTCATTAATGTTAAAGATGAGCTTTACTACATTTTGAATTTTTTAAATCCTAGACAGATGATTTTGTTTTTCAGATTTTGATCTTTAAATAACTTCATTCCAAATCAGTTCAACTTATTCTCTAACCCTTAATTTTTATTTTGAGTATGTATTGCATGGCTTTGCCTAAAATTAGTTTGGATTAAGGTAGATATCAAAATTTCTTCAAATTTACTGAATTTCAAAGTAAATAACTCATCATCATCATGAATCATTGTTTGTGGTATCTGGCTGATTTGTTATCCCAGATAAGAAGAGATAAAATTGAAAACAAGTAATGCCCTTTGGAGCTCCAAATTTGTCAACATCTATTTTCAATGTTCAACAGACAGAAAGAAAACAATGGGGAATCTATATGTTGACCATGTAATACAAGGGGGAACAGGTAGCACATAAATAATCAGTAGAAGGGTCAACTATAAAAAGTTCAATTTAGAAATATTCAACAACTGCTGAATATCTGTAAAGTTGACTTACAGCTCTTTTCCTAATGCTAGCAAGGCAAAGGTTTGTTTGGCTTGCTTGCTTTGTTTGTATCAATGTTTGCTCAAGCATTGTAATTAAGATTGACATCTGAAAACAACATAAAAAGGAGGATTTAAACTTGTATACATTATATATTTAAATTTGATTGGACAATATCAAATAATCAAATTTACCTTTACACAGATTTAACTCCGCCTACTTTTATTGTTTGCAGATGTCAATCTTAATTACAATGCTTAAGGAAACATTGATACAAACAAAGCAAGCAAGCCAAACAAACCTTTGTCTTGCTAGCATTATGAAAAGAGCTGTAATATGATAAAAATGACAATTTTATAGACTCGAAACGATTTAGAACTTATAATATGTTTTCCTGTTGATTTCTTGTTTATACTTAGTCTTTGGGTTGCTGTCTCATTGGCAAATACCCACCATCTTGTTTTATTCCTACAAAGAATTATCACATTGAACAAACATATGAGGAAACCAGAGACTGAAAACATACATTACAACCATAGTCAATATATTTTCTTATTTCAGCCAAAATTTCTTTCTCCCAACACTTTTCTGTCAAATCTTGCTATATTTTTACACATTAAAATATGTATTATATCAATTTGCACTTGATTCTGGTTTTCTACAGCTGTTGGTTAAATTTCTGACCAATTGAACAGTCTGATTGGATATAAACAAATTGCAACACAGTCAGAATTTTTATTGAACTACAATAGGTGGACAGCAACAGTTAAAATCAAGTCACTGTAAATACTTTAATATTTTTTTGTTTTCTTCTTTAGATGGATGGAAAAAGTGATATCAATGAGAAAAATGCATTTAATGTTGTACCACTGCTTAACATAAACAAGAATACATTCTACAGTCTGACATCATTACACTTGCAACTTGGAGGAACCTACTATGCTTGGGTTATAGGTAAGATCTGGATAAAAAAAAACAAAAAAACCTGTGTATATTTGTCTGAAACACAGTACAAATAATTAAAAACAACCAGAGTTTACTAGTACTGCGTATGTTATTTCAAATTCTTATTTTATCAAAATATATATTATTAAATTTAATGACTTACTCAGATGAAGTTTAAGTTTATTAAATTGATTGAATGATTCTACACTATTGGCTATTTCATGGTGGTCAACTTGTTAGTGCTGCATTCCAAGGGTTGTAGGACGAGAGACAAAAACTCTTACCAGTTGACAATTCTGGATTGACTCTAAGATGGCTGTAATTGTTTTTTTAAACTGAAAAAAGCATGTCTAGAAATTATGAAAATTAGGGAAACAAACAGGAACTGATGCAATAGTCAATATCAGTTTCTTTGAACAGTATTTCTAGAGCCACCAAATTCTGATTTCAAATTAAAGATTCAAGATTCAAGATTTAGTTGGGATACAACAATATATGGCTCTCTACTGCAGGCTATTTTCTACCTTACGACTTCCTTTGAAACCAACCTTCAGCACAAACAACCAATCACTAGGAAGTAGAATGAAATTTTGAGAGCTTAGATATATATTATCTTCATTTTATTTTGCATAAACTTTCAAATCCACTTGACTGATTTGATGACGTTCCTGATTTTTCAACCAATTTTGGATGCTTATCATAAGCCATGTTGTGAAAACAATATGTTGAGCTTGGATACATAATTATCTACCCTTGCTACTGTATTGCTCCCTTAATTATTTATTTCATTTGTATCAATTTATTGGTTACACAATGTTTTATATAGGTTTCATTTCAGAAATCTAATTTTTAAATTGTTCAAGTAGGCTATAAATTAAAGAAGATATTTAATGAAGTTAAATATATAATTACAGACTATTGCCAATTATACACTATTGTTTTCTACATTACAGCTACAGATGAATCAGGAGACTGTGGAATGATTTATCACAAATTCACAGTGGATACAACACCTCCATTGTATGGTGCTTTGACTGCTGGACCATTTTATAACATGGTATTATACTTTAAATAAAAGCTGTTCCTTTATTTTCTCTTATTTTTTATGAAAAATGCATTTGATATGACAAATACAATAAAGAGCCAAAAAATATAGAATAGGCAAGCAAGGCAATTCTAGTCACTTAATGTTGAATGTATTATTCAACAAAGTTGTGCTTTGGCTGCTGATATTTAAAAAAAAACATAATTTCTGTATGGTTTATCATTAGGGATTTGTATACACCTCAGACAATTCAACTATTAGAGTCCAGTGGACAAATTACAGTGATCCTGAGTCTGATATAGCAACATATGAAGTTTCATTATGGAAGAACACCTCATGTTATGTCAGTGCAGAAGAGATATTGGTAGTTGATTGGATAGAACTGACCAGCAACTATACAGAGTACAGCTTTGTTAATTTAAATCTTACAGTATGTATATTATTAAAACAATTTATATTATCTTACTGAAAAAATTGGCGGAAGTTACACATAATTATCCCTCTGTATGACAAAATGAATAGAATCCAATTTTACTTTTGATATGGCATATTTTAGGGAATACTGTAATCTAACACATTTTTGCCAGGGATCTGTCGTAAGAATGAAAAGAAGCTAGCATTATCCTTGTAATTTCTCATTCTGCTATACAGATCATTCAGTTATAAAGATGCTATTCTCTAACTAAATAATTTAAAATTTGGAGTATGTTGAACACATCTATCCCATCGAACATGAAATAAAGGATACAAAAGAAACAGTTAAGTCTGCCTCATATCTTGAATATATCTAGAAATTTACAATGAGGATTGGTTGAGAATAAAACTTTTATGACAAAAATATGATTTCAGCTTCCAAATTGTGAACTTTCCATTTCTATGTAGAAACATTACAGCAGAGCCTGCACATGGAGTATTTATCCCCCATGACATTTGATATGGTATTCCAGAGCTTGAATATCATTTCGAAATAAAAAAAAAATTGGCAGAGGGTTTGCTGCTTTAAACATCTTTAAGTGTGTCAGCTTAGTTACCGTAACGTCTGTAATTTTTCAAAAACCATCATAGATAGAGAAAATATGGAAGGTAACGATCAGAATTTTTTAAGATCTACCTACTGTTCATTTGAACCAAATTTTTTGAGAAGACTTCAAATTTGAATAATTGCCCTTAAATAATGGGAGTTTACCAATTTCTTGCCTTTCATTCTATCATTTTAAAGACTATCATAGATATAGAGAAATTGCTAATCTGAAAATGATCTGCAGGATAAGATCTACAAATAACTTTCATGGCCAAAATAGTCAGTCAACTCTTTAAAGGAGTTAAAGACCATGATTGACATTTTTTGGCAGAAACTATATTGGATAGAGAGAAACTGTTTAAAGCAAAAATGGTTAGCAAAATAAGACTTACAAATAAGTCAACATAATGGAAATCTTCAGTCTACTGCTATAGCCCTTGAATGACAATTTTTACATTTTCTTCAGAAACTATACTTTAAAGTAGTTGCCTCTAAATCACAATATTAACTTTTTATTTTTATTGTTGGTTATTATCTTGAAAACTGTAATAGATAGACAGGTACTCTGTCAAGCAAGGCCAGATTTTTGCCCCACACAGTTTTGATTTATCATAAATGTTCCTAATGCATAGTATCATATCTCATATGACCAATATAGGCTCCTTGAAGCATCTTATAATTATAAATCACAAAGATTAATGATTTTTTTCTTTTTCTTAGTTATTATTTCTGATGGTTGACTCAGATTATCTTAGCTTAACACGTGCAGGCTTTAGGAAGTTAATTAGAAGTCAGTAGCCTGCAGTTCAGTAGTTGTCCCTGGTTCATGGTTAATATTTGTTTTACGTAAATTAATTTGTTATAAACTATGCCGTTTAACATTTTTCCTATGGGTCTTTTTATAGACCACTGTATGGTATGGTTTTCTCTCATTTTTTAGGTCCATACAGTTACCTTTAATTGCTTACATCCACTTCATTTGAACTTTGGTGGATAGTTGTTTCATTGGCAACCATACCACATCTCTTTATTTTCATATTTTTAAATACAATGATTGATCAGATCATCCAATTATAAATGTTTTAAGATTTTTATGTGAGCTATTCCAAGTGGCCAATAAATCAACCTGTATGAAATATTCCACACAGAATGAACACAGAATATAGTAGGAATATCGATCGAGTTCCTACCAGAAAAGAGTGATATTATAGTCGCACAGTAGTATGAATCTACCCAGAAAATAGCCGAAAATTTAAATTAGCAGGAATTTCTTAGTAGGAATATTGTATATTCCTATCAGGAATATTCAAATTAGCAGGAATAATTTGTAAGGAAAATAAAATTCCTACTAGAAATCCTGGTATTAATTTTTCAAAATTCTACCCAGAAAAAAATATTTTCTAGTAGGAATCTACAAATATACAAAATGTAAGTGTATATTCACAAATACACAACTGGGTAAATCATTTATGTTTGAATCTCAACAACAAAGAACAAGGAAATGCATGGAATATATTCATTTTAAAAAAATCATCTTAAAAGTATAAAAATTACCTTCAGTCTACATGAGCCATGTTTTCTTGCATTTCAATATTGTAGTTGTTTGACCCTTGCAGCATTCTGTTCCAACACAACTTTTCATTCTTTTCCCCCTCAAACTTTTGAATTTGTGAACTGGAACTTGGTTGCATTTAACACAGCAAAATTTGTGTCATTAGCAAACATGAATCCAGTTTAAGATAATTCAAAAGATTCCAGGTAGAAAGATGTTCTGGAAGGAATAAATTAATTCTGGTAGGAATTTTGTAGTAGTGAAATGAATAATCTAATCATATTTTCTGTCCAAATTCCCACTTAAGATTTTCAAAAAAGAAAAAATCCATACAGACTTTAAAAATTCCAGCTAAATAGTAGGATTTTGCTAGTAAGAATATAAAAAAATCCAGTCAGAATTTTGTTCATCTTTCCTGTCCCCCTACTTTCTATATAGAATCTTTGATTCTAGGTGGATTCCTACTACATTCCTACTAGATTCTAGGTGGAATCCTACTACATTCCTACTAGTTTCTAGGTGGAATCCTACTACTTATTTCGTACGGGATACCAATCAAAACCAATTTGTGTCGACTCAGGTACATGATGTAATTTAGCTTAAGTATATAGCAAATGATTTGGTGTTTTGAAATAGTACTATAAAAGCCGATATCCGATTTAAGGTAGAGTCTACTGTATAGGGATAGTGTCATATATTGTACATTCAGTTGACATTTATTCTTTCAGATGAACATTCCATATACAGTTCAAATAAGAGTTACAAATGAAGCAGGACTTTCAATTATTGGGAAATCCTCCCCACTTTTGTATGACCCTTCCAAACCTGTATCAGGTACTATAGTTGATGGTCCAGACTTTACAACACCACATGTTTGGTTTAGTTCTACACAGACAATTACAGGTATGTACTTTGTTTTTTATAAACTTTGTTTCAAAAATTCCAATAAAGAACATATACCACATTATTGTAGTAACAAACCATTATTTAAGATGTTTCCAAATGTCTTAAATAATGGTTTATTACTCTAATAAACTTGTTAAATAGTTGTTTTGAAAATATGTCAGGTTTCAAAATCATAGATAAAAAGATAGTTGTATTCATGTTTGATAAAAGAATTCTTAATAGAATTAAACCTTTGGAGAAATTTGGTATTGTTGTTTTTTTTGTGCCAGGTTTTATAGGAAAAGAAAGTACATTGTGTATATTCAACTTACGACACTCAATGAGTACATGAGCAAAAAAAAAAAGCAAAAGAACAGAGCTTTTATAACTGCTGTTTTAGTTTTTCAAAAACTGATTTCTTGTCTGATTTTTTTGTATTTATAAATTAAGAATGTCTTGTTTTAAACTCTGATTATACCTTTTATATAATAATGCCAATGGGGCACCATTTGGCCCTGAACATTCATTTTTGGTTCATTGACTTTGAGTTTTTTCGCATTCTCTTTATGTTACAATATTGTCATTTTGATTTCTACATTTGCATAATGCTATCAAAATTTCAATCAAGTAAGACAAATTTCTTTGTCCACACTTTATCTGTACTTATAATTAAAAAAAAAAACAGCATGTTATAAATTTCATACATCTGAAGCACTTTTCTGGATTTACCTTCTTCAGGAACCCTCAAACTGAATATTTGAAAGCCAAGGATGTAAAAGGACTGAAAATGTTAGAGCTATAAACTAAAAAGTACCTAAAAAAATAGCTAACTTTGCCTGAGGGAGTTTAAAACTTTTTTTAGCTCACCTGGCCCGAAGGGCCAAGTGAGCTTTTCTCATCACTTGGCGTCCATCATCCGTCGTCCGTCGTCGTTGTCGTTAGCTTTTTACAAAAATCTTCTCTGATACCCACTGGGCCAAATTTAACCAAACTTGGCCACAATCATCATTAGGGTATCTAGTTTAAAAAATGTGTCTGATGACCCTGCCAACCAACCAAGATGGCCGCGATGGCTAAAAATAGAACATAGGGGTAAAATGTAGATTTTGGCTTATATCTCTGAAACCAAAGCATTTAGAGTAAATTTGACATGGGTAAAACTGATTATCAGGTCAAGATCTATCTGCCCTGAAATTTTCAGACAAATCTGACAACCTGTTGTTGGGTTGCTGCCCCTGAATTTGTAATTTTAAGGAAATTTTGCAGTTTTTGGTTATTATCTTGAATATTATTATAGATAGAGATAAACTGTAAACAGCAATAAAGTTCAGCAAAGTAAGATCTACAAATAAGTTGCATGACCAAAATTGTCAGTCGACCCCTTTAGGAGTTATTGCCCTTAATAGTCAATTTTTAACAATTTTTCGTAAATTTTTCTAATCTTTTACATAAATCTTCTGCTCTTAAACTACTGAGACAAATTTAACCATACTTGGCCATAATCATTATAAGGGTATCTAGTTAAAAAAAATTGTCCGATGGACCCGCCTTCCAACCATCATGGCCAAGTTGGTTAAAAATAGAACATAGGGGTAAAATGCAGTTTTTTGTTTATATCTCAGAAACTAAAGCATTTAGAGCAATACAGGTGGCAAAAATGTTCATCAGATTTAGATTTATCTGCCCTGAAATTTTCAGACGAATTCGACAACCCGTTGTTGGGTTGCTGCCCCTGAGTTAGTAATTTTACAAAAATTTGCAGTTTTTTGTTATTATCTTAGATATCATTATAATATCTTATATCTAATACTATTAACTATGATTTTAACCTTATTTTACATGATTTCTAAAGCATCAGCAAATACAGGTGAGCGACACAGGCTCTTGAGAGCCTCTAGTTTTTTTTTGTGTAATTTCAAAATGTATAAGCGGAAAATTTCAGATAGTTTGTTATAAATTATGTCGGTAATGACGTACTAATTACTGAGCTAATGATATCCACCAGCATAGATATCAACTCTGGGCTATAAAAATATGAAAACAACACATTATAAGTGTCCCAGTCAAGGCTTATTTGCTGACTATATTTCTGTTTATTGTTTTAGGTTCATTTTTGCACTTAGCTAATCCAGTTGGCTCAGCATGTCCAGCAAGATTTATTTCGATGATCAATGATCCTGACTGGAATACGTTACAACAGATTGGTCTTAAAGATCCAAGTGGCAAGAAATGGTCCCTTAAGTATCAACTAGAGAACATCTTTAGAAATATTTATGAGGAGACAGTTTCAATAAAGCTTGCAAGGGACCATAAAAAACACCAGATGCTGACTGGAGCTTATTACAGACCTTCTAGTTTATTAAATGGAGGCACATATCATGTAAGGCGTTGTAAATTTAGGGATTGACTGTGTAATGTTATATGGCTGTTTTTTTTTTTTTTAGTTCACCTGGCCACAATTTTGAGGTTTTGCCATTTATACTTGCATGAATTGGCGTCTGTCTTGTCTTCGTAATTTTTTATACGACCGCAAAAAAATTTTGTGGTCGTATATTGGTATGACGTTGGCGTCGTCGTCGTCCGAAGACACATTGGTTTTCGCACTCTAACTTTAGTTTAAGTGAATGGATCTCTATGAAATTTTACCATAAGGTTCAATACCACAAAAGGAAGGTGGGGATTGATTTTGGGGGTTATGGTACCAACAGTTAAGGAATTAGGGGCCAAAAAGGGGCCAAAAATAAGCATTTTTGTAACTTCCAGACATAACTTGTGTGTTAGTGTATGGATCTCTCTGACATTGTACCACAAGGTTCCATATCACAAAGGGAATGCTGGGATTGATTTTGGGGGTAATTGCCTCGAAATTTTAGGAATTAGGGGCAAAAAACAAGCATTTTTCTAGTTTCATGACAATAACTTGTGTGTAAGTGTATGGATCTTTCTGACATTGTACCACAAGGTTCCATATCACAAAGGGAAAGCTGGGATTGATTTTGGGGGTAATTGCCTCCAAATTTTAGGAATTAGGGGCAAAAAAGGGGCAAAAAAACAAGCATTTTTCTAGTTTCATGACAATAACTTGTGTGTAAGTGTATGGATCTTTATGAAATTGTACTAAAAGGTTCCATATCACAAAGGGAAAGCTGGAATTGATTTTGGGGGTAATTGCCCACAACGTTTAGGAATAAGGGGCAAAAAAGGGGCCAAAAATAAGCATTTTTCTAGTTTCCAGACAATAACTTGTGTTCAAGTGTATGGATCTCTCTGAAATTGTACTGCAAGGTACCATACCACATAGGGAAAACTGGGATTGATTTTGGGGGTAATTCCCTAGAAATTTGAGGAATTAGGGGCCATAAAGGGGCAAAAAAACAAGCATTTTTCTAGTTTCAGGACAATAACTTGTGTGTAAGTGTATGGATCTTTATGAAATTGTACTGCAAGGTTCCATATCACAAAAGGAAAGCTGGGTTTGAGTTTGGGGGTAATTGCCCCAAATGTTTAGGAAATTGGGGCCAAAAAACAAGCATTTTTGTAGTTTCCAGACAATAACTTGTTTTCAAGTGTATGGATCTTTCTGAAATTGTACATGTGAACCCCCCGACGGGAGTACAATAATCCCGTTTTCAGGGGTGTCCTCCCGACCTCCCGTTGAAGACAAAAAAATCCCGTGTATGAAATATTTCATGAATGAAAAATTTCAGCCCAACATATCTGGTGTAACTGACATTACCTGAAGTTATATTTTACCTGTAAATCAATTAACATGCATAATTATATGGCTTCACTTGTCACCTTGGGTGTCAAACATACTGGTAATCAACGATTTTTACCTCAGGCTAACTGCCGTTGTGTAATAAAACTTTGTGTATTTAAAATGAATGTTGGGTTACTTCCCTTGATTTATCCTGTTTTAAGTTACTTTCCTTTAAATAATGTAAATTTTTAAAGAAAATAAATAAAATATAAATTGAACAAATAATCATAAAAGGATGGTAATTAAATGATTTAAATGTCTTAGGACAAATAAAAAAATAATAATTTGAAAATTATTTGAGGGTTCTATACTTCCTTTCAAGGCTTAAATTGAAATTTATATAATAACTATGACCCATGATTACAGTTTTAATGTGTTACTTATCATGCATTAAAAATCTACTTGCATAAAGATAAAAATAAAAGATCTACTTGCAGATAGATAAGCAAATGTTCTGATTGCAATGAATAATGGTAAAACAGATATGACCTAAAAAATTTAAAGAACATACTAAAAAAGAAGAATGTTAGATTGAACAAGTTGAAAGTTTAAAAAGATAGAGAAAATTTATAAGTACAAGGGTACTATAAACATAATACATTCGGATGGAAAGTTGAAGAAAACACACTTTAACAGACAATTTCTACAGCACACGGTTACATTTACGACAGAATTTATGTCGATTAAAAACCTCCTGATCTGAGTCCTAATCTCCTGACCAAAATTTCCCAAACTCCTGATCTTAGCTTCACAGTCCATCACATGTACAGTACTGCAAGCTACCATACCACAAAGGGAAGGCTGGGATTGAGTTTGGGGGTGATGAATCATAAGGGGGTTCAAAAAATTTGGGGGGGGGGATTTTTTTTTCCTTTTTTTTCTTTAAAATTTTCCATTTTAAATTGGTTATTTCTGATTTATATATAAAAGCAAATAATAATGATATGGTTTGAATAGATAAATTAAAATTTTTTAAGTTCTTAGACCACATTCATTCTGTGTCAGAAACCTATGCTGTGTCAAATAGTTAATTACAATCCAAATTCAGTGCTGTATCAAGCTTGAATGTTGTGTCCATACTTGCCCCAACTGTTCAGGGTTCGACCTCTGCGGTCGTATCAAGCTGCGCCCAAGCGGAGCATTTTATTTTAGTAAGTAAATGTTTTCCTCTGAAACTTCTAGGCCAAATGCTTCCAAATGTGTGGAACATTATTATGATTAGTTGTAAATTATTTTCAAATCCTAAGGACATGACTTTCTATTTGACAATACTTTTAAATGTTCATACTTTCTGAGCATGGAATTTTTCATCATTATAACAAGTGGGAGTATTGTAAGCACAGCAAAGTTTGCAACTAGTTGTTCCAATTAATTTTTTCTTTTAGCTGGTTTTACCTTCTTAATCTTTCTTAAGTTTTTATTTTGCTCTTTCAGATTTCAGTGAAACCAGCAAAAGGACTTGGAATTGCTGCGACAGAAATTTTGTTTTGGGATGGACCAGAAACTAGTATTGCTTCCTATGAATATGAAGAAGATGTTGACTGGGCTTCATCTGTATGTCAGTGTTGTTTGTTGGATCCAGTACCGGAGGTATAGACAGGAATGGGAAATACTTGATATCTTACACTTTTTTTATCAAATATTATAGATTTTTATATTTGACTGCAAGATGTCTTCAAAAGTTCATTGTAGATATTAAAGAGATAACATTAATGCTTTCAACCATTGGTTTAACACAACCATAAAACACATAGATTCCTTGGTAAAAATAATCAAAAATATAAAGCTTATTTATGATTTTCTACTACAGTTTTTAAGGAATTTAAAGTTTAATGGTTATCAATAGGTTGAGGTTACAAACATCATTTTAAAAGTTATAGATTTTACTGTCATGTTTAATGGTAAAGGAGAAGAGGCATTTAAGTCTATTTTTGGCCCATGAAAAAGAAGTTGAACTATTTAATTATTCTTATGATATAAAAAAATGCATAAAAATCAAGAAATTAATTATTAGATCAGATCAATATTGTTATGACACCATAATATGCCCATATTTTACAAAAATTCGTAAGGGTTCCGTGGAACCCAGTGTCTCGCCTACTTTTTGCTGTTAATCACAGGCTCAACAAAAGTGAGGAAAAAAATTAATAAAAATATTCCTCTCTATACTATCTTTTGATTGTAAGTAGCTTCTGTCCAAGTTTGGTAAAAATCCAGGATAGTTTATGAATCTAATAAATGTTTTAAAAACTTAAACTGCAGACTGTATGTAATGTTAACTGGAAGAAAAACTAAGTCCATTTATAAGTCAAATACGGAAAAAATGGAACAAAATTTCCTTCTAGATACTAGCTTTTAATCATAAACAAGCTTCTGTCCAAGTTTGGTACAAATCCAGGATAGTTTAAGAAAGTTGTTAAAATTTTAACACTTTAACCACAGAGTGAATGTAATGTTAACTGGCAGAAAAACTAAGTCCATTTATAAGTAAAATACGGAAAAAAATGGATTTTTTTTTTACAAAATTTACTTGTTGATACTATCTTATGATCATAAACAAGCTTCTTTCCTAGTTTGGTAGAAATCCAGGATAGTTTAAGAAAGTTATTAAAATTTCAAAAACTTTAACCACAGAGTGAATGTAATGTTTCCTGGCAGAAAAACTAAGTTCATTTATAAGTAAAATACAGAAAAAATGGAATTTTTTTTTAACAAAATTTACTTTTGAATATTACCTTATGATCATAAACAAGCTTCTGTCCAAGTTTGGTAGAAATCCAGGATAGTTTAAGAAAGTTATTAAAATTTCAAAAACTTTAACCACAGAGTGAATATTTGTGGACGCCGCCGACGCCGACGGAATGTAGGATCACTATTTCTCGCTTTTTCAACAAAAGTCGAAGGCTCGACAAAAATGAAGGAAAAATTTGTTTTAATGCTGTTTTTCATATGTAAATTGTTTGTGATCCTCTATATCAATATAAGAGCAAACATGTTTTAGAGAAGCTTTCTTATAGTATGTTATGTAATCCCATCAAACATACTAACAAATTGATAAAAAAAAACAATGAAAATCAAGATTCTTTTTTAATGTAGTTTGTTGAAGTTTAATAAATTTTTATGTCCCTGTTGTAGGCAAAAAGAGCATTAAGTTTTACCCTTGACTGTCTGTCCATCTTTCTGTCTTTCCAATCGTCCCATTTTTATTTCCTCAGTCTAACTTGAGTTTGCCTCTTGCAAATTTTGTCCAACTCCTACTCAATGCTAAGAACCATAACAACCAGACAGAATTTATAGTTCTCGAGTTATGTCCCTTTTTTACTTGGAAAATTGCAAATTTATCTTGAGGGGGGCATGTATCCTCAGACACAATCTTCTTTTATTTTTATAACTACTTTAACATTTGTCCTTTTTTAAAGATAAACATATATAATCACTTTTTAATTTGAACTTTATTTCAGGCCAATTATGGACTTTGATTGTCTCTTTGAAACATAGTTTAAGGTATTTTAAAATCTGTTGTATTTTAAGTATTTGGAAAAGGGATTTAATGATTCAATGACTATCTTGTAAATGAAATTTTAAGAGAAAAAAATCTGTTCCTTTTCCAGGAATGTGACTACTGCAATTGTTCCAGATATTTATCTGATAAATATGGAAACAGCACACTGCCTTCAGTACCAAGTACAACAATAGCTACAACAGATCAGACAACAATACCACCACCGTATAAAATAGTCAATAATCCTGATGACAGTGTTGTTTCTGAACCAGTAGATACAAGTACACCGTTGGCTCAAAAGTCCTGTGGTATTCAGATTCTTTATGGTAAATTGTTTTTTCTTATAGAAAGGTGATGCATTGATGTTTGTTTTCTTCAGAAATGACAGCATTTAATTCCATAGATAAATAAATTTCACAATGCAACACAAAATAGTATAAATATGTTATAAAGTTAATGATTTGCATGTCTAAGCATGATGTATTCTTTCAAGTCATAATTTAATCACAAGAAAATAAGTATGAGTTTTCTTCCTGTTTTTACCAATTTGGAGAAATTAGTAACCTTTCAATACAACTTGGTTTTAAATTTGGTATTTAGTGGTTATAGGTTGCACTTTGTAAATACAGCTGTTTCTCAAACCACTCCTCTTTTGGGGAGATATATAATATTCATAGGTAATTAATTTGGTTCCCAGTTATGATCTCTATGTTTCATCTCATAGAGACATAACTTGGGAATGTAACCAGTAAATATACATATGCATATTGGTCATATTGAAATCTGTGGTAATCCTATACACAAGGTAGGGGTAGTTAAGAAATTAGTGTTAGTGTAAACTCTTAGAAGTTTGGGGCATATAAACGTTGAAAATATGCCGCACAGCCCTATAATTTGACCTTTGAAAAAAATAGTAGTGCATATGAACTTTCCATTCTAGGATATATTTTTTTTCAAAACTTCATGGTAAAAGTGGTACAGTTTTAGCCGTAAAAGGAGTTCCTATGGGAAATTACATTGTCGATATTTACAGAAATGCAACCTTTAAACTTGATGTTTAGAGGTTTTATATTTGGTATTTAGTGGTTTTAAACTTGGTGTTTAGAGATTTTATATTTGTTATTTAGTGGTTTTAAATTTGGTGTTTAGAGGTTTTATATTTGGTATTTAGTGGTTTTAAACTTGGTGTTTAGAGGTTTTAAATTTAGTATTTAGTGGTTTTAAACTTGGTGTTTATAGGCTATAAACTTTGTATTTAGTGGTTTTAAATTTGTTGTTTAGTGGTCTTAAATTTGGTGTTTAGTGATCGCCTCTTCAGTTGATTTAATGTTAACATTGCATAAGTAAGGAAATAATGGAAGATTTTGTTTCACATTAGGTCTAGGAAAAATAATTGAAAGATCTACTTTTTGAAAGAGTTCTTCAAAATGTTGAATAAGATCTGATTAAAAGATTTCTACATTTACTGAGTGCTGGTATTTTTGGATGTTATAAGTGAAACTTAATTTTGTATTGGATCCTTTTGAAAATATAATTGAAAAAAAAAGAACAAGAAAAATAATCCTGCTTGATTGATTGAAACCCTATTTGACAGAAAGTTTGTTTTATTTCACTTATTATACAACACTTTTATGTTGATCAGCTAAGCAATATGGATGCTAAAGGGAGCCTTTGTGGCACCATTACAGCTTGGTGTGCCACAAACATGATAAGCAAGAAATAAGGAGGCTTTTTATAAAATCATATTGCCACTTGACCTTTAAAGTCTTTGCATTATTTTTCTAATAAAAAAATATTAAGGGACCTTAAGAAAGTAGAATGGATTTTAAAAAGGTATGCAGTTTTTGAATTGAATTCAATTTTTAGAAGGAAACTCAATTGATTAAGAAATATAAAATGGCTTTCATAATGAGAGAGCAATGAAAATATACAAACTTTATTTAATAAAATGAGAATGGAAATGGGGAATATGTCGAAGAGACAACAACCAGACCAAAGAGCAGACAACAGCTGCATGTTTTAGTCTATAAAATTTTTAAAAAAGTGCATGTATGTGTAGCTTAGCATTCTATTTTCCAGGTCAAAATTCAAAAATTGTGACATGGTGTCGGTTCTTTGATGATATGTACCCTAGTTTAAAGACATCAGTTGAATACAACATCACAGGAGAATTCCTTAATTTCAAAATAGTATTTAAAAAAGAGATGGATAGTGCAGTTGACGTAAGCAAATTTTATCACTTTCCATAAGCAGTGCAATACTTTCCGATAATGACTATATATCACATTAATTTAGAATAAAAAAAAAATAAAAAAAGAATTAGTACAAGTTTGTGATATATTAATATTATTCTATGCACAAATATTTTTCTAAAAATTAACTTATCATTTTGATTTTGATTTGTTTCAAAAATTTTTTTTTTTTAGAGTTACTTTACTCATGCACAGGCAGAAAATTTCACTGAAAGATTATTAGTAATATTTTCAATCAAGAATGCATCAATTTAAGTTTATTATTTTTTTCTACAAAATACAACAGATATGTGGGAAATTATTAGGTTAGATATTTCAGTTTGAAAATTAGCTGTTCTATTTAAAAAGGGAGGTGTGGTATGGTGGCTTCATAAGGAGTCAACTATCCACCAGTGTCCAAATGGTGGTGATGTAAGCTACAATGGCTAACCAAAAAAAAATTAACAATGAGCAAAACCCATACTGTAAAAGCTATCAAAGGCCCCAACATGACAAAACAGTGAATTGAAAACAAATAGATGGCAACCTACATCAACCACTAATGTACAGGCTTCTGATGTGGGACAGGGTTAGTCAAGCTCATGAGTGCTCAACATAAGAACGAACTGTAAAAATCTTTGGAAATGGCTTGACTTATAAGATTGAAAAAGTTAAAAAGCACAGATCTAAGAGTATCAATTGCAACAATTACAAAAAGCTAGTTAAAAGCTAAATACGAATAAGAAATGAATAATATTCTCTCAAAATAAAATGTCCATCAGTACAGGTAAAACATATTTAGTGTAAAGACATCATGATCAGTCTTGGAATATGTCATGATATAAATGCACAGTATCGATATGACGAAGGACCATATAAGTTTTCATAACTGCATAGCAAAACACTTTTTTCTTTAAATTTATATACAGTATCAAAATAATTATTCAAAGATCTTGCATAAAGTGCTAAATTGATATCCTTAAAGAAAAAGTCTATTTAAATGATCAATGAGTATTTCAACATGGAGGATGGCTAATTTAGCTTTCAGTTGAAGTTCATTGATAGAGTTAAAATTAAAAACTGAAGAAATTTCTTTTGATAGGCTTCTTGAAGTAATTAATAAGTCAAGGAGCCAACAACCCAAGAACATAAACTAGGAATACACCTATGACAGGATACATTATCATACTTTATCTTTTAAGATTTGTTACTCAGACTTTAAAAAGAGAGCACAAACATATAGTCAGCCCCTTCCCTCATAAAAAAATCTTTTTTCAAAGATGTTGGAGATGGAATCATCAATTTTTTTTTTGCAATATTTAAAGCAAAAGTTTGCCAAAACTTATTTATTTCAGATTTCTTCGTGTCTTGTGGTATATGTAAATGATGAAGAATTAACTGAGCTTTGTGGAATACCTGATCTGAGTGAAACAACAAATCTAGTTCTGCATGTTTTCAATCGTGACAATTATGTTCCAGAGATTACAGATGTATTTAATATGTTCTCTACGAGGGCAGTTTTCAAAAATCTTATACTACCACCACCAACTGGTGCACTTTGTCGCTATGGTGATCCTTTTAGAGGTGGAACTAATCCAATAATAAGATATGAAGTTGGTATTGGGAGCGACAAGTTGTTAACAGATATTGTACCCTTTAGGGAAGTCATAGAACCATGTATCCCTTGCTTTGGGGAATGTCCAAACTACAACTGTGACCAGGATTGTGATCATAATAAACTTGTGGACTACAGTTTTACTTTGACGAACTTAGATATTGCACCATATGTAATAGATTTGAATGAAACAGGACATTCGTATAATAAAACTGTAATATACTATCTAACAGGTAAATGTTACAAGATTTTAAGTCCTCATTGTAGAAAAGGTCAAAATTACTTATCCAAATTGGTTCTCTGAATATTTATTTTTTCATCTATTTATCAAATGAACATCAGTCTCCACTTCAGAGGTCTGGTACAGGAATATCTTTTTCAGCAATATAATGTGTTTGATTTTTTTTTACCTTTCTTTATGGGAGTGAATTTTAAAGATACAAGGCGAGAGAGACATCAGTTTTTGTCCACTAAATCCTTTCTACCTAGTTTAATATTGTAATCACAGAACAACTTCCAGAATTTGATGAAATATACATTTTGCTGTATTGAAGTGTTTTTACCTTTATTCTGATTTTTTTCTAGGAAAGGCTGTGACTGGATCTGGAGATAGTGCTGTATCCTCATCGTCAGGATTTTATATCGATATCACAGGTCCTGTGTTTGACCTTGACATAATGCTAAGTTCACCAATTTATAGTGATGTAACACGAGGAGAGTTTCAGCCAGTCAAGTACCAAGCATCAAATAGCACCATTAAAGCTTTTTGGAGATGTACTGATGAAGAAAGTCAAATAATGGTAATTATTGTGATTGGACCAATTCAGATCTGATGTTTTATTATTGAAATAGCATTGTATTTTACATAATTGTAAATGGTTCAGATGTCATGTACAAAGGTGCTAAGACTTCATAAAGCTATTTATGCTGAAGGGAACTAAATTTGCTAACAATTCAATCCTGTTTGTCCAAAGCAAGCATTATTCTATTCTCTCCAAATTGGTCTGATTTCTTCTGGAAATTCTTTGTTGAAATGATTTCAAGTAGACCCTTCACAAATCATTGGAGAAAAAAAAGACATTTTAGACATTTATATATAAATGCATGAAGTTATGATTAAGAAATAATTCATGGGGGCTTGAATATATCGTGATTTTACAACGGGTTGGCCCTTTATGACAAATATTTTACCCTGAGCGTATAGCGAGGGGTAAAATATTGGCATAAAGGGACAACCCTTGGTAAAATCACGATATATTCAAGCCCCCATGAATTATTTCGATTCTAATAGGACAAATACGGCAATTGTTTTGGATCTAAGTGCTCTAGATGAAGGCATTATTTGCCGTTCCCATAAATAAACGCACTATTAAATTGACTTTAAAGACCGGAGCAAACTGAATAAATGATATGCTTAAACTATTTACAATAACATATTTAGATAGGTTTGGATGAATCTAAATGATAAATTGTACTTATATGTATACAAAAATGGCTTATATAACACATTTTAGCATCGTTTGTTAACGTTTCTGTTGTGGTGATTTTCGGTTTCACAAGCGTGTATTTTCCCGTAAAATGCTTATATTCTTACGTCATCGTTCTATGACGTCGGGTAGCTCATTCATAAAAAGAGCATATGACGCGGGAGTACGATTGGAACAGCCCAAACAATTATATTCATATTTTACCACGGGTGTGTACTCAAAGCGTTTGAAGAACGTCATGTTAGAATTTATAATATCATACAGTTAATTATCTTTGAAATTCATTAAAGTATATCTTAAATATGTATACATAGAAATATAACATGATATAAACCTATAAAATATTCAATTTAACATGATCTTGATGAACAACCTTTGCAGGAGAACTTTTGGGCCATTGGGAAAACCCCTGGTGGAACAGAACTTCAAGAATTTCAGTCAGTTGGCCTCAATGTAACTGGCATAAATTCATCATTTGAGGGCATTCTCCAACATAACCATACATATTACGTGTCTATTATCTGTATCAATGGAGGTGGGAAACCTACTCAATGGAATGATACTTATGGTATGTCTTACAGATTACTTGATGTTTTCCAGTATGATGAAAAATGTATGTTCATCTCACATCCGATCTTTTAATACCATGACACATGGTGGTACAAGGAATGATTATTATCCACTTCAAAATGTTTGTTTAGCATAATAAGATCTACAAACAGTTCAACATGGTGCAATTCACCCTAAGAGGAGTTATTGCCCTTGATATATGCATTTTACTTATTTTTGCTATTTCTGATGGGAATATGATAGATAGAAACAAACAAACAAAGTAACAAAATTGTTCAGCACAAAATCTACAAATAAGTCAAACATGGCCAAAATTGTTAGCTAACTCCTTACAGAAGTTATTTACCCTGGGTGAAGATGATTGCCTACATTTGGCAAAACAAATAGATAGAAAGAAACTTTAAAAGCATAATAAGATCAACAGGGTCAAATGTACTTAAGTGAAATTAAGAAAATCTAGAATTTAGAATTGATATAATTCAGAAGAGCATAAGTTATTGAACTCAGTTTTGAAATATTTGACTTTTTAAAAATGGCAATATAGGCTGACTCTGACTTTTACCTGATATTTAGCATTATCATTATTTGTTATTATTTATTCAAATTGTAAGAAAAGAAATCAAGATTCTACTTAAATTTCGGTAAATACCTTGAATGTGCCATTGAAGTCTTTTCTAAAAGAAAAATGGGTGCTATGGAACAAAATATTTTACCCTATATCATAGGAAAAAACCTGAAGAGTCCAAAAACATTTGACATAAATTCCTAAACTTGACCTAAGTACACCCTTAAATGACAATGTTTTATTGTTTTTTTGTTATTTTGACAATTATCCTGAAGACTTTAAAATATAGGTATAAACCGTGAACAGTATAATTGATGCAAAAATATAACTAGATAAGATTTACAAATTGCGTTAAAGATCAAATAGATATGAAGATGGCATATTTTTACAAGGTGAGCAACTTGGGCTTTTTTTTTTTGTCATGTGCTTACATGAATGTATTATTCATTGTAGGTGTTGTTCCTTTGTTAGAACTACCAGAAGTAGATACTTTAAACAATACAGTCTTAGGAGCAGTTAAACCATTTGATGAACCAGTGATACCTTCAGATGCCATGGAGAGTACAGACCCTGATAGTATAGGATTTACCTTTACTGTTAGTGAAGATAAGTCTGTTAATAAATATGGTAAGTTAACATGATGACTTAAAATTGAATTTCTGTTCAAACCATACAGTTTTTTTTTGTTTTTACAATGAATACATAACCTTTAAGAAAAGATATTTACTCTTAAACAAAAACAAAATGTTTCTATTTTGCAAAATCTTTGATAGAGATTGTCAGATTGAAGTAAAAACAAGAGAATATTAAAAAATAAAGACCAGAAATAAGGCAAGCAAATGGCCCTCCTTATATTATCTTGCCTACAACCAAGTAGTAGAATGCAAAAAAAAAAGGCATTACAATCTGGGGGCTGTGACAGCATAAATAATTGACATAAAGCTTTCTATTTTAGGGGAAAGAAGACCTGGATGCTTCCTACCTTTTATGCATATGGATTTTGTTACAAATTTACCATTTGTTGTATGTCTATTGTCCTTGACCCCATTCTGACGGTTATTTGACTGCTTAAAAACTATTTTTTTTTGTCATGTGAATTTCTTACTTATTATGATGAAAACGATAACTATATTTGGTATATGAGATCCTTGAAAGGTCTACATATCTGTCAGACAGGCTCCACCTTACCTCTACCTCTTTTCATGGATCAGTGATGAAGGTTAAGTTTTCAGGGTAGAGTCTTTATCTCAGATACTATAAGCAGTAGGTTACTATATTCGGTGTATGGATTGACTGTAAGGTGTATTTGTCAGTCTAGCAGGTTTCATCTTACCTTGACTTCACTTTCATGGTTCATTGGCAATATTATTTTTTTATGTTTTATTCATATCTCAGATACTTCAAGCAAAAGGTCAACTATATTTGATGTTTGGAATTATTGTCTGTTTGGAAGGGTTCATCTTACCTTGACCCTAATGGTTCAATGGTCAATGGTCTGTTTTTATCATGAAGTCCATTTCTTAGATCTATACTATAATCAATTGGATGACTTTATTTGGTGTAAGGAATGGTTACAAGGTGTACATGTCTGTCTGGTAAAGTTCAGCTTACCTTGACCTTGTCATGCATTCATTGGTCAGTCTTACATTTTCATTTACAAGGTCTGTTACTCAGGTTTACTACTCATTAAGTAAACTATGTTTGGTGTATTAAATGATTGTATGGTGTACATATCTGTGTGGCAGATATGTTTGACCTTGGCTTCATTTTTTAGGTTCAAAAGTTAGTTATATATGTTTTCATGGTGAAGTCGTTTCTCAAATACTACATGTATAAGCAATCTGTTAAGTAAATGTGATGTATGAAATTATTGCAAGTTTTAAATGTCTATTTGACAGTGTTTGACATCTGACCTTTACCTCATGTACATGGTTCATTTATCATTTAATTTTATGAAATACTTCTTGCATAACCTTTTTCTCTAAAACATCCAAAAAGAGACACTTCAGTGTGTGCATTCTTATTTATTTCATTGATGAAATTTTTTTGTGTCCAAACTATGTTATTTATATATTTTTCTAATTTTTAGTAGTTTATATTCTGTAACTATTGTTAAATGTGTATAACAAACACAGCATGGCTTGCTTGGTCTATTACATGTCATTTGGTAATCGGGTAAGAACATGAAATTTGAAGCTGCCTTTTTACTTTGCTGTTAATGGCATACAAGGGTTAATATGCCTAGTCATGTAAAAAGAACACTTTTTTTTTTGACAAAGTCTTTGATATAAGACCAGTGATATCCAATTTTTTTACAATCATCAGAAAAAACAACTTAAAATATAAAAAAAAAACTAAAATTCACCGAACTCAACTACTGTGAATTTAGAAATTCATGCAAAGTTTTTATTAATTAAGGCAACTGGGTGAATAGGCCAATCTTAAGAACTGGAGTTCTGATATCTGATACATGTATCTGTACACAGTTTATCTCGAAATAGCAATAATTTATCTCATTTGCTTGTCCATTGTTGGAAAATTACAATAATGATGCATGCAAAAATTTCTGAATTTGCAGTTTATTTTTTTAAATATTTTAAAGTTAATTAGGTTAAAATAGCAGTAAATTGTATTTTTTTTCAGATCTGTGTATTGGAACAGATAAAAATAAAGATGATATTTTCCCTTGTGTTTGGGTGGGATATAATATATCTGGATCAGCTTCTATCAAAGATGGATATTTGTTAATTGATGATGTAAGAGTAAGACCTCTGTCAGAACTGCAGAACAGATTTTGGAATGTATCTGGGGACCAAACACAGAACACAACAAGTGTATTCCATATGGAACCTGGCAGGACGTTGTTTCTGACTATGAGAGTTTGTAATGAAGCAGAACTCTGTACTAACAAGTCAATAGGAAGTGTACTGATAACCAATACAGAATCAATAATAAAAAGATCAGAACATGGAGAATCTATTAAAATTGTAGACAATATTGCAGTAGACTCTACCAGGAGAAAAAGAAGTGTAGAAACAATTGTTTTAACAACTCCGGAAGGTAACATTTTTTGCCAGTAAATTTGAATAAAAAATATGATATATGATTCAGGAACGAGTACATTTATAATCAAAACTGAATCAAAAACATCTGAAGTACAAATTGAAATATACTGTCTTCCAAAATTACTACTTCATTATTTGTGTATTAATTTTGTAATGAGAGGAAGACCAGTGTTAATGTTCAGTTCATTTTGTCTTAGGTGATAGTCAAAGCTACTAGAAATAAAATTAAGTTTGTGCAGAAAAGTGGTTTCAGGAAGCCAAATCACATACTAAATTTGTCATTGGATTGGAATATTTCTTGGATAAATGGTCAAATTTTATAAGAGAAAAACCGCTGTTGAAGTTGCTTGGTTTCAAAAATCATCATAAAATGGAATCATTTTTAGAGCAAACGGAAAAAAATTATGTCATCTTATCTTAGCTTGGTCACTAAAGGTTCTTTAACTCTAACTGTTTTACCTTAACAACACACCTGGTCACACTATGTAGTAATATAGGAGTACCTAGCTTTAAACTGTTTGAAGTTAATGTGAGACTAGCAGTTTTCACTGTCTTTATTCCCGGATATGATGTTTTTAAGAACTTTTATATTTATATAGGATTAATACCAGGTCAAACGATTGTACTTCAGCCAATATCTGAAGAAGATCTAACAACAGAATACAGATCTGATTCCACATCTGATTTTCAGCCATACATAGTTAACCCAGCAACTACCCTGGATATGGTGGAAAGATTATTGTACAAGAGGTACTGTGATTTTAAATTGATTTATTAAAACACCTAATGATGGACATTTATGGAACTGTAATGGTGTAAAACGGTCTTTCATAGCATTATATTTGTTCTTTCATTTTATGGTACATCCTATACCCCACCACAACCAGTGAAGCATTTTCTTTTTATTTATTTGTATCTCCATCAATCCATTTAATTTTGGAATGTTTCCATAGTGGCTATTGTAAATGATTACATTTATAGAGCACATATCTTAACTTTTCTTACCTTCAAGGTTGATATTTCCCTCCTAGAAAATTTTAAATTATTTAGAAGTTTCATGCAAAATATTCAATAGTTTAACAATAATTTGTTAAGATTTACAAGACAAAACAACAAATTATACTGAAATAATGATGTGAAGTATTAGAAACCTTTTTCGTGTATTAAAAGGTTGTCTTGCTTCAAAACAAAAAAGGTAAATTGTTTTAAAAAAACCACATTACTTTGTAAAAGTTCATTTTCTTAGTTATCTCCCCTCATATTGGTAAGTGGACAAAAATGTGAATCAAATTAAAAAGTTTCCTCTTTTTGATAGTGTTGTTTTTCTTTGGTATTTTACAGAATACATTCCATGGTAATGACATTTTCTGTAATACCAGTTGGTCACCTGCCTATGCCAGGACCAATGAATATAACATATCCTGATACTGTTGGAGAGAATGAAGACAACAGAACTGTATTGGCACACTGGAATGCTGGTATGTTCCTTCATGTTATAATTCTTATAAATATTACAATCACCTAATTTGTCCATCTATTTGTTAAATAAATATTTACATCAAGATTTCCTCAGAAACTACCATTACAGAATGACATCATATTTGGTAAGAATACTGACAGACATGATTTGCAAGGTATGTGCACATTTCAGATCTGTGAGACTTGTACTTTGCTGATACTTTGAAATGAATGGGAGCATGATTAGAATGACAATAAATGCATTTTTATTTTATTAAAACTTTGGTGAAGTAAGAATTTGTGTAAAAAAAGACATCACAATAGCTTGAACAAATTGTGAAAAGACATAATACTCCTCAAAAAACCAATCCATAAACCATTTTCTTTACGCAGCAACTAGCTTGACCCATTAGTGGGACTCAGAATTTCCATTTTGTTCTCTATATTAAAAAGATCCATAATTCGAATAATAAATCTTCAAAGTTAAAGTGTATGACATTATATATATATTCCAGAATAGATTAAGATAAGGAGGTTTATCGCTATTTTACGAAATTTTCCTTTGATCTTACTGACTGATAATTTTCTTTCGAGTGATATGAAAAATTATCACTAGAAACTGAGGGAGCATGTGCTGTTGTTAATGAAATTAACAATGTCATTATAGGTAAAATAGCGATAAACAGATTATCATTGGTCATCTCAACTCGTTTGCTTTCCTCACTTTTGCCATACTTGTGTAAATGCTCTTTTGTTCCGACGTTGGAAAGTTCCGGGCGGAAAGAACTAACTAGCCGAAAAGTTCCGGAGGAACTTATTAACTAGTTACTTTGTTCTTCCTCTGGTTTAAAAGTTCCACCGGAACAAAGTGACTAGTAGAAAAGTTCCAACGGAACATATCAACTAGTTAGAAAGTTCCTTTTTGCCAAATTAGTCCAAACCGGAACTAACAAACTAGCCCAAAAGTTCCAACGGAAATTATCAACCAGGCGGAAAGTTCCATTTGGAGAATTGATGCAAAGTAAAAGCGCAACATATTATATTTGAACCTTTCAAAGGGAAACCAAGATACTGATTACAAAAGTCAAAAGGAACTTATCAACATGCCACAAAGTTCCTCTTTGGCAAATAAGTCAAAACCGGAACTAACAAACTAGCTCAAAAGTTCTAAACGGAACTTATCAACCAGTCACAAAGTTCCATTTGGAGAATTGATGCAAAGAACCACATGAGGAGGGGGGTATTCTTCCCTCTCTTGAGGGTACTATGAATACTAAATTTGCATGATAATGCAACTTATTCCGTTTTATGTGAGCTATGAAATACAACTTAAATTTTGCATATTTGTCCCCAAAGAAACCCCTTTCAGTGCGTTGGGTATTCTTGTAAATTAATGATTTGCTCTTATATATACTGATACTCATTCTTCCTCCTCTTTCTACAAAAAGGACGAAATATGGTATATTCGGAACGATGTAACTAGTTGTTCTGTTCCGCCAGAACAAATTCAACTAGCTACATTGTTCCGGGACTTTTCAACTAGCTACTTTTTTCCGGAACTTTTCGACTGCACTCGGAATAAAACAACTAGTTGGAAAGTTCCATCGGAACGAAATAACTAGTTGAAAAGTTCCCCCGGAGCAAAGTAACTGACGGAACATAGTGGCTGTTACACTTGCTCAAGCGAGAAAATCAATCTCGTTGAGATGATCAACAATAACCTATACTTTAATCTATGCTGTTTTAAACTTTCCGTAATTCTTTATAAAGAACACCCTTTTTTTCAAATATTGCTAGGTTTCAGTCATTTGTACCTCAATGACAGTTACATATGTTATGACTACCAATTTGCTAACACAAATAACTTATTGCAATTGCAATTTAAATTCATCAATTCAAACTGATTCAAAAGGTAAAATTACTGTGAATTATATATATAGAATTTTATATATATAAGTACGTCTGAACCAGTGACAACTCTACAACAGATTTATCCTTTGGATCACCAGCAGTGATGGTGATACATGGCTGTGTACATTCTGTTTATACAACTCGTCTAAACATCAGCCCAACAATGTTAGATCTGTAAATTTGCTTTCGCAAATTTTTTGCTCTTCCCTCGCCGGGATTCGAACTCAGGCTACTGAGATATGGTGACACCAAATTGCCTGCACTGTATATGACGGGCTAGACCACACGACCATATATATTATCTTCCTTTAATATCAATAGATAAGTAATTACTATAGAAATATTCAAATTATAAGTTTTCAATAACACATGATTTAAAAACTTAGTGAAAGTTATATATTTTTTTTCTCTCTGTATAGCTCTACAGCAGTGGCAGTTGAGTAGTATGACCTGTGGTAAAACCTCAATGTTGGAGATTGATAATGAAGATAGAACAAAGACTGTTGAGGTATTATTTTTATGAATGTATGTGTATTTTATAGATTATCTTTGATCATCTCAACGAGATTGATTTTCCTGCTTGAGCCGGTACTGCGAAAGTGAGAAAAGCAATCAAGTTGAGATGCCCAATGATAATCTGTTTATCGCTATTTTACCTATGACGACATTGTTAATTTTATTGATAACTGGCACGTGCACCCTCAGTTTCTAGAGATAATTTTTCATATCACTCTACTGTGCTAAGAAAGAAAATTATCAGTCAGTAAGATCAAAGGAAAATTTCGTAAAATTGCGATAAATTTATAATACATGTACCAGCAATTGTTTAAAAGCTATCATTAATTTACCTCCTTAAGCTGCTGGTTAGTTTTTTGGTTTTGATCATCTGTTTGTTTGTCTATTCATTCATCCTTCTGTCCCACTTTTGTATCTGCAACTGCTCCTGAATAAGTTGACAGAATTTTGTGACTTTTGGACCTCCTCTTTTGCAATCATTGGCATTTATCTATTTGTTGGTGTAATCTTTTTTTAAATCTTCTCCTTTGAAACTACTTTGCCAATTAAAAATAACACAAAACTTTACCTGAATTTTCCATGGGTCTATCTAGGACAAAAATAATATCCAGGGATTCAATCCATCAGCAAACATGGCCGCTATTGCCATAATTAGAACATAGGTGTAAAATGCAGGCCAAAAGCTTCCAAATTTTGATGATGGATGCCTCATGAAATCTTAAATATTGATTTTGATTATCCAATGGCCAATAAGCATGACTGCCACCTTAACTAGCAGTATAAATCTAAGAATAAGATTGCCAATGAGATATTTCTACCAGAAACCAAATGGCAGCTAAGGTTTAAGCAACTATAGGTCAACTTAAGGCCTTCACAGTAAGTAAAAACCTTGTAGTAAATTACATATCTGTTATCCTTGGATAATTTCTGATCTTGATATAACCCCTACAGTGATAGAACCCCCCTTTTTTTCGGAGGATCAATGCATTTGAATGGGGACATATAGTTGGAACCAAGGATCCGGAAATTTTCCCAAGTCATTTCGGTCATTTTTTTTTGTGATGTAATAATATTGTGATGCACAATAATGCATTTTTCTGAGGGTGACAAGTCTTGCACATGGACAAGTAAAGTCCTTTTTTGTGAAGTATTGGGTCAAACAAGTGTAACTGTACCCTGATCTAATAGTAACAGTGATGTCTCTGAGTTAGAAACTACACGAGGAGACGTTTTGTTGTTGTGTATTGCATCACTGAGGTCGTATGCATAACCCTTTAAATTTGCATAAATTAAAAGAGGAATAATTACGGCATGTTTCATCATTTTGAAATAAAGTTATGTAAACCAATTAATAAACTGTGTTGAGTTTCTTATTGCATGTACAAGATATTGTTTGTATTGTTCAAATTGCTGCTGTTTGGATGAGTGTAAGTGATTACCTAATACACAACAAGATAATGTGTATTCACCTGGTTTACAATAAGAGGATCAAAAAGGGGAAACTATGATTCAACTTTTCTTTGAATAAATAACTCAAGTCTGGTATAGTGATAACAATTGAATTTAATAATAAAATTCATGATTTTAAATAAATAAATAATTTATCTGAACAGAAGTTTGTACACAATTACAACAGTTCAATGAAAAACAATTGCATTGTAATACAGTCCAGAGAGAATGTATGGCTTCACTTGGGTAAAAATCGGAAGTTTAGCCAGGAAAACAAAAGAAAGGATAACGCCCATTACATTCTGTGAGTAAGATGGTTTCAAAAAATCGGAAGTGCAAAAAAAACAAAAAGAAATCAAGATTGTTCATTCGCTGAGTATATTTCTTAAATAGGCTGTATGGCTTCAAATCTAAATTACGTTATTTAGTTTTAATTCCTTTTTTAATCCTTTTTTTTTAATTCTGCATTCCTATAAATTATACGCTTTACCACTTTTGTAAATCTATTAATATCTTTATCTGCCATTTCCTACCGAAAAGTTAACAGTAAAATCGATCTTTCAAATAAGATCATCAATTAACCCATGTTGATCCCCATTTTCCATGCGCAAACTCAGTAAACATAAATCTATATTTAACAAACATTGACCAAATCAGCTGATCGATTATAAATGGATTATGTTTTATTTGGATAAAAATGGACAGATTCTCGAGTCAACAGTGTTATTTGTCTTCTTTAATGAATAAAATAATATCTTTTTGGGAAAATCTAGGTCAGAATGGTTAAAACGTTAAATTTGATGCACAGCAAGTCGCCATATTGTTTTTATTGCTTAACAGGTGTTTACAGGTGAGATTTGTGTACATGGCCTTTATGGCTTTAATCAAGACAATAACGACACCCAAGCCGAATTCAAACTTCCTGGACATTGATTACTATCCTCAAGTGGTGATAATTACTATGTAAACAAACCTAGTGGCTTGAACCCAGACTTACCCCACGCTGTGACTCGACAGAGTCCTGTACATTGTTTTCACTTACATTATAGAATAAACAACAGACTAATGATAAATATTATTAAATCACTAACACAAATCAATAAAATTTTTATTTTGTCTCAAACAAATCTATTTTTCTTGATGACCTGAAAACAAAAATAAGTTCAAAATGGCGACCGATAAAACCCTGATCTCAATGAAATGACCGAAATTATTTCTGTAAAAAAAAAAAAAAAGACCTAAATCCCAATAAATCATTTCGGTCTTTTCAGTTTCCAAATCGGTCATGTCTGGCATATATGACCGTTTCCGGACCCTTGGTTGGAACCCCCCTTTATCCTGGGTTGGGAACATCCCCTTTTGAAACTGGCTGGATCCACCCCTGCCTTGTCAAACTTAACTAGACTGTCATTATTTGTAAGAATAAGATGTGGTGAAGAAAATTCAAGAAAAAAAAAACTAATTGCTCTGAGACTTTGATACATGATTTTGAATAATTTATTAACACAAATGTGTCTCGATTCATTATAATATTGATTTTATTACTACAAGTACCATCTACGGGTCTCTGCCACCCTTTCACACTGCAACACTTCTGACCATATGCATTCTTCTTCCTCTGTCAAAAACTTTCTGTACATATAAATCAACTTCCATGTTTTAAAGGATGATTTGATGTTTGGTCTATGGAACTTTATGATATTTATAGATTATCGTTGATCATCTTAACAAGATTGATTTTCTCGCTTGAGCCGTTACGACGAAAGTGAGAAAAGCAATCTAGTTGAGATGACCAATGATAATCTGTTTATCGCTATTTTACATACCTATGACGATTTGTTAATTTCATTGACAACGGGCACATGCGCCCTTAGTTTCTAGCGATAATTTTTCATATCACTTTACTGTGCTGAGAAAGGAAATTATCAGTCATGCAGTAAGATCAAAGGAAAACTTTGTAAAATAGCGATAATAAGTTATACTGTTAAAGTTAATTTCATATCTGCAGGGAAGTCACTTACTGTTTACAATTCTTAATTATAACGACTGAGTTTGGAATATTTTGTAAATGTTTAAAATGATTGTCTGTATACTTTTGCTGCTTATTACTGTGTTCAGATTGCATACATGAAAGATGAGTAATATAAGCGAATCTAATTGTTGTTTTTTACTTAAAAACAGTCTATCCAAAAACTATAGCAATTGATACTTGCAATATATTTTAAAGGTTTGCAAAACATGGACAGGTGACGTAATCAACAACAACATAAGTGAAGGAAATATGTCCTATTTCTCAGAAGAGACACAATTTGCTGTGTTTATTGTATCAAATAAAGTGTATAATTCTCCACCAATACTCCTCAGTGACAGATTAATTACCATGGATGAAGATGAAGGTATTTAAGATTTATCAGTAAAATGTCATACACAAAAGGATATCAGAAATATTTATTCAAGCAGATTCAGAAAAATTGTATTTTTATGGATAAGTTTAAACTCTAAATACTAAAGAAATAAGGGATTTAAAGGCAATTAGAAACAATCTATTTAAATTAGAGATATGAAAGGTTGTCTAGAGGTACTTTTTATTAATGTTTTTGTAAGTGTCCTGTTAATATAAAATTTGATTCACAGTTTGGTGCATGGTACATTATTAAACAGTTTGAGTTTATAAGAGATATATATATGATTATGTCACCTACTCAATAATGTTTTGTGCTGCCCATCTGTCTGTCAAAAAAGTTTGTCAGTTCAAATTCTCCTTCAGTTTGACCTTTAAAATAGTATTATTTGATAGCATGGTACATTTGTACTTACTTTATGGTGTTGTAATCTTCCTATAGCTATTTCAGTTTTAAAAGTGATGATTTTGCAGATTTCCCACACAAAAAGTAGATTTTCACATCTTTATACAAATATGGATTTTGTAAAAACAAATCATCAAAAGGTTGTACTGAAATGAAAAGCATTTGTCCATCAATTGTTTAATTTGTAATTTTAAGTTTTCAGCTTACCTGACCCAAAGTGTCAAGTGAACTGTTGTAATCATTTGGTCTGTTAACTTTTGCAAAAGTCTTCTTTGAAATGACTGGGCCAACTAGAATCAAACTTGACCACAGTCATCATTGAGTATCTAGGATTGTCAGCTCTCTTACTGAAGGTCATTGATTCTCTCTTGACACTCAGGCTCTCCCAACCAATAAAAACTGAATGCTGCGAAAGAGCCCAATAATGTTGAATTTCCGTGAAACACCAATCAATCAATCATATTAATCCCGCTATGCAAATAGCACTAGTTATAAATGTAATTCTTTATAGAAGGAAAAGGAATATTTCCTTGTGAAAAGCAAATATTTATTTTTTCTGTTTTCAAAAAGTCTTATTCATATTACTGCATTAATTTATTTTGTGGTAAAAGCTTTGAAATGATAAGTGTAAATAAGTATATTTTTATATGTTATTTGTAAGGAACATTACAATACCAGTTGGAGGCATTTGATGAAGAAGGTGATGTAATCAAATTCAGTCTGGCAAATCAGACAAACAATCTTAGTAGTATTGAACCACTGCCATTAGAAGATGGTCTGTAAGTAACAATAGTTAAATCTCATTTTTTAAGGCAAGGCTTTTATTGTCATTGTGTTCCAGCCATTTTTAGTATACATTAATATATTTTTGGAGTAGCCTTGGCTCCTGGCCAAAACTTTTTGTCTATTCAAAAGCTTTTTTATGGTCCCGCAACAAAGTTGTTGGGGCCATATTGTTTTACCCTTGCCTGTCATTCCATCTTTCTGCAAAAAACCATATTATACACAATTTTTTTCTAAATGCCTTCGGATATTGGGCTGATTTTTGGTATGTGAGTTAACCAGGTGGTGTTACATATGAAGTTTTAGTTTCATTCAGCTTTGCTAATTTTTGCTGAAATTACGGGCTTTAGAAAATTGTTGAAAATCACAGTTATCCTCGTGTGATGTGTTTTCGTACTAATAAAAATTTTCACTGTTGAGTTTTTATTCACGTGTGAACTCAAATTTTAAAAGCATGTTCTGTCGAATGTTTTTAGGTATCCAGATTTTTTTGTCAAGGCTTACTACAATTTTTTACTGTTTCTGATTATTTTGCGATTTTCGTATGTCAAAAAACGGCGTCATATGTTTTCGTATGAAGTAAAAACTGGGTCAGTACACAGACAGGAAATGACTATAAAATCCGGAAATGAGTATTTTCTAAAGTCGTGGTTGAATCATAAAAAAAAAGTTGTTTAATTCCGTTCAGTACTAAAACTTAACTAGAAAATAGTTTTTGGTTGATGTTTCATGTGTTGAAATTGTAACATTGTGATTTTTTTTCAGATTGGCACTTGGTTTCTACAAAAGACATTTTTATTATGCCCCCGCCGTAGTGGAGGGGGCATGAAGTTTTACCCTTGTCCGTCTGTACGTACGTCCGAACGTCCGAACGTCCCGAAATTGGTTTCCGTTCTCTAACTTGAGTTTGCCTCAACCAAATGTTATGAAACTTATACACAATGCTTATTACCACAAAACACAGATCAAGTTTGAATTTTGGTGGTGTCACTTTAACCGATCTAGAGTTATGCCCCTTTATAAAAGGAAAAATTGCAAAATTTTTATTTTCTTCTAAATATCAAGTTTATATAATATATTTTTAAAATTGGAGTTATCTTCCTTTGACCATGATTATAGTTGAATCAACTACAATCAATGCTTTATACAATGCAATGTTTAATTTTGACTTCCACTGATAAAACACAGATCAAGTTCTCTAACTTGAGTTTGCCTCAACCAAATGTTATGAAACTTATACACAATGCTTATTACTACATAATACAGATTGAGTACGAAATTAGGTGGCAACACTTTTACCATTCTAGAGTTATGTCCCTTTATAAACATAAAAATTGCTGAATTTTTTAGTTTGTCTCAACCAAATGTTGTAAAACTTATACACAACCGTTCTAGAGTTATGCATGTTTACAAATAGAAAAATTGCTGAATTTTTAGTTTCTGTTCTCTACTTAAGTTAGCCTCAACCAAATGTTATGAGACTTTCACACAATGCTTATTACCACAAAACTCAGATCAAGTTCAAATTTGGGTAGCGTCACTTTTACCGTTCTTCAGTTATGTCCCTTTATAACTATATGATATGCAAGCGGGGCATTATCTGTGTCCACATGTGGACACTATCCACATTTATTTTTTTTTAATTTAAAATGCAGTTTTCAAACTTTGTGATTAAATGCAAAAAGCTAAGACTGTTTTCATCTTTATGTATTAAGGATGTATAAAAAGAATTGTCAATAGAATACTGAATGAATGGAGCTTGAACAACCATTTTATATAAGAACCCTGTTAATTTTAACTCCCTGGTTTGTAATAAAAACGACCAAAAAACACATGACAGTCGAAATGTCTTGAAGATCCGGTGTCTGACAAGCAAACAACATAGCTGTACTTCATGTAACCCTTCAGAGTTTTTTTGGTGTTCCAAATATAGAAACCGAAAAACACGTCACAATATTTGTGTGTTCAATCGAAACTGAGGAAATATGGATGATACGAAAACATATGACACGACGATATATGGACTTTTTTTCTATACGCCTTCAGATTTTCACCAATTTTTTATATATGAGCTTGAGTCTACCATGATGAGATACAAATCAAGTTTCAGTTTCATTCCACTATGTTGATTTTCATGTCATTTCAACAGTCATCAGGTTAGATCTGTAGTAAATCCACCTCCTGTTTGCTGAAAGTTTAAAATTTAACAACTCATTCATCAAGGAAATGTTTCATCAAACTATTATTGGTCTTGAGAGCTGGATACTATCCATCAATGTTTGTGTCAATATGTGTTGTTGAAATTGCAGATTTTTCAACTTTTTGAGATGGGCCATTGGTGTTGTTCCAACACATTCTTTAGAGGTTATGTTATATGAAATTATACACATATCTAGATCAATTAAATACAAAATTGTGTGAAATTTTGACATGAAAACACAGCTTTCATAATGAAATGAATTGCTTGAACAGAGAATGTGAGGTTTAAGTAAAGTGGGTTTTTTTCTGTATTAATTTGCTTTAGTTCTGGTTGCAGTGATGTAATAATAAAAACAAAATTGTGATTTACCTTTATGCAAGAGAGAATTGAGTACTTATATTCAGTTCAGACCTATTGCAAATATAGTAAACCTGTAAAGGAAGTAAATAGATGTTGCACATAACATGAAAAGTCTTTTATGTACAGAGCTCGGGCATTTACAACCATTTAGACAAAATCTACAAAAATTTAAAAACAAAAATATTCAATTCAATCCTAAAATTTTATCTTGCCTCTATGATGAAGGATATGACAGCAAGACAAAGTTTTACCTTCGCCCGTATGTCCCCAAATTCATTTCTGTTTTTTATCTTTAGTTTGCCTCAACTAAATGTTATTAAACTAATAAATTTTATTTTATAGACTATTGTATACTCCATGCACAGATTGTTCAGGCGTTGAAACCTTAACAATCATCCTAACGGAAGTACAGACCAATGAAGATATACCTCCAGCCAGCGGTGAAGCAATGCTTATCATTACCATTTTAGATTATAATGACCCACCAGAAATATTCCTAACCCAGTATGGTCAATATATTTTATCATCTGATCCAACAGAACCAGTTTTGGTAAGAAAAAAATACATATAATTTCAAAGTGTTCGGTATGATAATCAATTTACTGAATTTTACTGTAAATTGACTAAACGACTAAAAGTGACTTAACAATTGATTGTTCAGACTTTTTCATATGATGATAAGATCAAAATGATTGTTTAATTAAGACCAAAATTCATTTAGTACTGTTAATATATAATTGAGAAATATGAAAAAAGGTCTTTAAGATAAAAGATATTTGTCAGCAACCAACATGGCTAAATGACAAAAAAAAAACCAAATAACTTCAACCGGTCAACAAATTGACTTCAATATTTACGTTATTGTAACCACCATTTAATTCTGGTATCGATGATGAATTTATTTGCAAAATTAAAACTATGGCCCACTGCAGTGTTGTTCTATACATTGTGTAAATATGTCTTTTGATTGAGTTGAGCCATTTCAATTGATATTGTATAGTGTGTCTTTCTGTGCTGTGATGTTACACTATTGTTTCAGATAAGGGTGAAGGTTGGTACCTATTAAAACATTTAAACCCCGCTGCATTTGTTTGCACCTGTCCTAAGTCAGAATCTGATATTTAGTATTAGTCGTTTGTTAATGTGGTTCATAAGTGTTTCTCGTCTTTTATATAGATTAGTCCATTGGTTTTCCCATTTGAATGGTTTTACACAAATCATTTTCTGGGCCCTTTATAACTTGCTGTTCGGTGTGCACCAAGGCTCCGTGTTGAAGACCGTACTTTGACCTTTAATGGTTTACTTTTTCAAATTGTGACTTGGATGGAGAGTTATCTCATTGGCACTCATACTACATCTTCTTGTATCTATAGCATGTACCAGTATTACTTGCACAATGTTTGATATCAAGTGGGGTTTACATTTCTACTTTGACCAACATCACTTGCAACTCTTTTCATGGAAAATATTAAGGATTAAATGTAAATTTTTTTAGGTTTACTTAGAACAGAGAAACACATTTAACAAGGGGAAATGGACACAGGATTTCACTGCAGAAATAGGAGCATTTGATGTTGAACAAAACAATCTACATATAGAAGTATATGAACCAAGTTATGGTACAGTTCTTTTCTTGGATGAAAAAACAACAATTCCTGATATAAATTATTGTGAGACAACATTAAATGTAAGCATTTTAAAGCTATATGAAAGCTAGTGGCTTGGGTATAGGAACTTTCCCTTTTTCCTGTATATGTGTCTACCTGAATGTTAAAGTTTTGTATTTGAGAACAGTTTTTGAAACATGAATAATAAGTACAACAAAAATGAACTTCATTTAAGTCACCATTGATTGTTGGTATTAAATGCCAATTGTGCCTGCTAGTTTTATTAGTGGAGGAAGCTGGAGTGCCAGGAGAGAACTATCGACCCCAAGCAGGAAAACAGACAATCCAAGTCAATTGCACCTGCCATGTACAGGGTTCAAACTCACAACATCAGTGTTGACAGGCTAAGGATACAGTGGAGGGATTATTTTGACCACACAGCCAAGTGCACTGAGGCCCCTAGATGTGTTCAATGTTTTGAAAAAATTAAAAGAGGGACCATAATTTTGATGGAGTATAAATGCTTAAATCTCACTAATGGTTCTTACTTTACTTGATGTCCAGTAGCAAATATGTCATTCATAATCACAGGATGAAAACAAACAAAATAAGAAACCAATTAGGTAGGTTCTTGAAATCATATAAACCAGTAAAGATTAAAAAAACAAAAACATAATTTTGTGAGTCATTTTTAGTCTACTGATGATGTTCATTTTTTTATATCAAGGTAACTACTGATTCCTGTGTTATTTTACCGCATACTAAAGATAGCATGTCATGGATTTATACCACATTGACCTACAAACAGGCCATGAATGTATCTGGATATGATGTAGCTAAATTGTATGTCTCAGATCCTATGAATACTTCATCAGCTGTTGTGACAATACAGTTTGTTTTAATGAAACTCCCTTGTCAGAATGATGGGTCTTGCCAAGGTAAGTTGAATAAATAGCTCAATTTTAGGTATATTGCATTAGCTCAGAACTTCAGTAGTGACAGTGACTTGACTTCTGGTGTTTCAAATCTAACAGGGTTGGAAGAACTGTAAACCAACTTATTTTTGCGAGCCATTTATTTTAGGACCTTTGCATCAAGAAAATTTTAGAATCGCAAAATGTATTAAAAGGATTAAACACAAAATGAAGTCAGCAAAAAATAGTTGGTTAACAGCATTGCTTTCTTTTTTAATTGCACAATTTACACTGATACCTTGACTGCATGACCTCATAACAGGTTGGTATCTTTAATTTAAAACAGTTTGTTAAAATATCTGACCAGTTGTACAGTTTGATTTGATTAAACAAATTAAAATCGAGAACTCTAAGATAGTCGAACCTTTTACGAAATCTGATCTCATTTTATCCGAAAAATTAGCCATAGTTTGAATTATCAATTTATCAATAAATGATTAGTTTTATCAGAACAGAGGTTTTCAGTCAGATGATAGGTCAAACTGGGAAAGTGGATTAAATTTGACCATTAACTTTATAATATATGAGTGATTTTATCAGAACAGAGGTTTTCAGTCAGATAATGGGTCAAACTATGAAAGTGGGTGAAATTAGTTTAAGTGGAAATCTGTTCAAATCATTTAATTTGCTAAAAATGCAACTAAGAACAACTAGTTCTAGAAAAATGTCACACATGATATAACCTGTTCAACCTCCACAATTTAACAACCTCAGAAGTACGATAATTGGGTCAGAATTATTATTGGAATGCAATAAGTAGAGACACTACCAGTTAATGAAAATAACGCTTGATTGATTTTGTATGTCTAAAGCACCTATTGCCAGTTACCTTTATCAGGATTGCTTAAAGTCTAGGATGTATAAAAATTAACAGATGAAGCTCTATTTTGACCAAAAAAAGACCCATAAAAAGATAATACCCAAATTCATGCAAGGTGGCAAGTAGTCCAAATAATTATGACGTTTTGAAAGGCTATTTTATATTTTGCTTTGACACTTTCCTCCTGCAGGAAGGGGTCAAAGCAAAAAGTTAAAATGACTTTCAAGATGTCATAATTATTTGGACTAGGTAGCAACATCAGTTTTATTAATTTGTGTGTAATTACACTGGTAGAAATAATGAAGACATATATTTAGTGAATACGACAAAACAGTTAAATTTGGAGGTACCCCGTAACTCTTTCAGTACCTCAAAACTAGAAAATATATATATACTTAATTAGTAAAACATTGATGATCCAAATGGATTTAATCATATGAAAGTAAATTCAAACATTTGTACAAACTGGCTGAGCAGTGTCATTCAGTTTGCTTTTTTTTTTTTAATATTCATTATTGACTAGTATATCTCATGGTTCTTATTATTTCAGCAAAGAATGGCAGTAACTACCCCTGCACCAGTACCTATAGAGCAGACAGTTTTGACTTGTATTATGACTGTGCCTGTTTACCTGGCTGGACAGGTGTTTACTGTGAAGAGAACATTGATGAATGCCTAAGTTCACCATGTCAGGAACCATATGAATGTAATGATGGTGTTAACATGTATGACTGTAGATGTCCACCAGATGAGCCTAATTGTGATTTTCAAATTTGGACTATCCCAGTGATAGTTCTGGGATTTCTTTTGATAGTAGCCATTATGGTAGCTTGTTTGAAGAAAAGGTGAATCTATAAATTCTGTAAATTTGTCTCAACAACATTTCCTATTACTGTGCTGTAAATATTTGATTTGAAGCAAAATCTTCCTATGAGGTTGTAGTGTGGAATAAAGGTTTAATGTGCATTTCCTATTTCAATATGCACGTCAATTATAATTAGATCCCTTTCTAATACATTAACATTCCCTTCCTCCTTGCCTCTAATGTGACCTATAGATTAAGACTTATCACTGGCCATGGGTTTGTACTTGAGCAACACTACAAGTGCTACGTATACATGTGTAGCAGATTCTGCTTACCCTGAAATCACCCCAGGTCTTTAGTTTTCTATGTTGTGTTCTTTTTTGTCTCGCCTTGACTGAGTCAAAAAGCGAGTCATAGGTATGCTGTTGTCGGTGGCGGCGACAGCGCCGGCGTCAACAAAAATTAATGTATTAGTTTGTGATTAGGTCTAATTCATGGTGAACCACTAGTGGTAGGTCAATGATATTTGGTATGCAGTTGTATTAGCATTGGCACATCTCATTACCATGGAGATTATTTGGCCCCATGCCCCCTCAGTCAAGGTCTATTGACTTTGAAACTTTGCCTAGTTTACATGTATTAGTTTGCGATTAGGTCAGTTTATGGGAAACCACTAGTGGTAGGTCAATGATATTTGGTATGCAGTTGTATGAGCATTGGCATATCTCATTACCATGGAGATTATTTGTCCCCGCCCCCTCATTCATGGTCTATTGACTTCGAAACTTTTGCTAAGTTTTCATGTATTTGTTTGTGATTAGGTCAAATTAAGGAGAACTGTTAGTAGTAGGTCAATGATAATTGGTATGCAGTTGTATAAGCATTAGCACATCTCATTTCCATGGAGAATATTTGGTCTTTACCCCTCAGTCATGTTCTATAGACTTTGAAACTTTTGCTAAGTTTACTTGTATTAGTTTGTGATTAGGTAAGTTTAAGATGAACCACTAATGTTAAGTTAATGATATTCAGTATGCAAATGTATTGGCATTTGCAAGTTTCATTTCCATGGAGATTATATAACCCCACCCTCTAATTATGGTTTATTGACTTTGAAACTTTTACATAGTTTACAAGTTAATGTTTGTGTTTAGGTTTGTTTAAAGGGAATGACTTATGAAAAGTCAATGGTATTTGGTTTGCAGTTGTATTAGCATTGGCACATCTCATTTCCATGGAGATTGTTTAGCCCTGTACCTTCAGTCATGGTTCATTGACTTTGAATATTTGCATAACTTACATGTAAAAGTATTGCTATTTTAATTTCAACATTTGCATTATCAAAATAACAAATAGGCGAGACAGATCTCTGTGTTAATTTAGATTTTGCCATGGTATTGTCAGTTTGTTTTAAACTAGCCTCTCTATTATGTAACACATCATACTATATGAAAAGGTCCTCTTCAAATCGATGCTTATTTAATTCTATCGTACAAAAGCATGTCTAATGGACATTTTACTTTTATGTATGGATGTTTTTGGTTAGAAATCCTCTTTTAATATTTATAATATTACAGAGGCAGACAATTGATGGCATTGATGGCACATAGTCCCCTTGAAAACCTATTGAAATCACCATGTCATCCTTTTTTCTGGAACTCTGTGGCCTTAAATTAAATCACACTTGGAGAAATTATCTGTGGTTCTCTACAAATAATCATTATTTAGTTCTGATCAGGCCTAAAACATGGCAACCAGAGGCAATATTTTAACCTGATTACAAGTTTCAAAAAATAATTTTCTCTACATGGCCAAATTTTTTGAAATTTTGTAGGATAATTTAAATTTGCTCAAGAAGGGGACGACGATGTCTATTGATTTTGAGGCTTAAAAGTTAAAAAATATATATTCCTTGACTCCTGATGGAAAAAAGGTTTCTGAATGGTAACTTGAGTTTTATTTGCCTTATTGGAATGAATTTACTTAAATGAAAGATATAAGGAAGGGGGAGTTTTATTTTGAGGACAATAGATCAAAGTTAAATGTCACTGAAAAAAATATGTTAAATATTAGGCAGGAGGATTTTGAAAATGAATAACTTGGCCTGAGAAAAATTGGAAACCTATATCTTTGCACAAGACGGGATGATAATGAATATTCTGCAACACAAAATGCAGGAAACAATTTACAAAAATGAAAATAATGTCCGTGCAGCCCAAACACAGAAAAATAATAATGAATATGCATATCAACAGATAATGTGAATGATCAGTAAAAAAAACCTCCCTGCCAACACCCTCAACCCCCATCATATGGCTTGGCATATGGCCATTAATTCCCTTAATGGCAATATGCATTGACAACAGGCAAGTTTGAGAGTTGTTAATCACTAAGAGGAGTTAACTATTATAGTTTGTAACACTTTATACAGGTCAAAAATAAGCAATGATAGTGCATGTTTTATTTTGTCCCTCTTGAGGGGTTGACACAGGGTATTCATTTCTTATTTTGTAGTATTTTCCCTTTTCCCACTTACTCCCTATATCCCACAACCGAAAAGCATGTCATTCCCTCCCTCTTAGCTGTAGCCTACTTGTATTTTAAAAGCTTGAATTCACAACAGACCATATATGAATGGATTTTTTAAAATTTTCTCTCATATATTAAAATGTGAGGTAGACAGCATATGTTTGCAGTGCCAATATTGCACTTGTTATTGGAGTTAATGCCCTTTGGAAATATAAATCAAATGGTATATTTGCTTTGTTAGCACATTGTGTCTACATTTCTTGTCTGGTTTTTATGAAAAAGTTTGATTGGATAGATGTTATATATGCATGGACAGGTTTTTTTATTTATTTTTGATTTGATTTGATTTTATACATTTATTTTTCTTTTTTCTATTAGATTTCAAAAGAAGAAAGACCAAGTTGACCCTTTGATTCAGGTAGAACATAAAGCTGTTACATCTGTTAATTTTTTTTATAATAGCACTGTATACCTAGTATAAATGCAATGAGACAACTATCTACCAAAGATATACGGCATGTGGCAAACAACAACCTTTAGACTACAGGTTCTTGGTTTGAGACAGGCACACTTGGGACAATGTTGTTACAACATACTACAATAGTAAACAAACTTAAAATAATTTGCTATTGATAAGGGCTTTGTTTCTCAAATTGGTACTAAGCACCAAAAAAATACACATTTTACAAAATGACACAAATTATCCATACAAGAGATCTCACCTACAGTTCACATACCATTCATAACAAAATATATAACTATTAGACCAAGTTAAATATCAGTCATTATGCCTCTAACTGATTTTGTATAAAGTTACCATAATAGGCATTCTGGGAAATGTTTATGCTAAGAGTTATGCAGCATGATTCATTGACTTTAAATTTTATGCATAGTATTTTCATTTTGATTGCTTCATTTGCATTATACTATCAATGTCTTAAAAAAGGCAAGACATATCTCTGTTTTAACTGTTAAGCATATTCAAAATTGTCTTATGTGATCTTAAAGATGTAATCTTTTCTCTTTCAATTCAGATTATATTGACCGATAATTTTTTTTTTTTTAATATAAGATTTTGTTAGAATTTGTTCATATATACAGCTTTTTAGTCTTCCATTTTTCTCTCTCTGTCTTGAATCATTGAAAAGCAGATTACAATTAGTCACAAATTTTAAAGACTATTTTTTCTACTAATACAGACTATTTTTAGGTTGATTCAAAAACAATTTCAACACAGTCTTATAAGAAAGATTAAATTTATAATAGAATATGAACAATATTTTTTTCTTTCTTTCTAAATTGTATGCTCATTCCATTTTTGTCCCCCACTTGTGACACTGCTGAGGAAATGGTAATGGTCTCGGTTGGTCAATCTCTCCTAAAAGCATGAATAGTCTTAGACCAATTGACAAACAGTTAAAATTATTTGTCATTATTTATCATTTGACCATTATGTTTTCCAGTCTGTGCATCTGTTCATTCATCTGTTTGTTTGTCCGTCCATTCCTCCGTCTGTCCTGCTTCAGTAAAAGTTGTTGGTCAAGGTAGTTTTTGATGAAGTTGAAGTCCAATCAACTTGAAACTAAGTACTCATGTTCCTATGGTATGATCTTTCTAACTTAAATGCCAAATTAGAGTTTTCCCCAAATTTCATGGTCCACTGAACATAGAAAATGGTAGTGAGTGTAGGCGTACATGTACTATGGATGCATTCTTGTTTTGGAATGTTGTAATAGTGTTACCTTATGAATGAAATATTGTGACATATCATTTAATTCATTCCACATGTATACAGCCCTGCGGACATTTCGCTATGGTGTAGTAATCTATGGATTTATAGAATAGAATTGTAAGAGCTACCTTCTCATATTTTATTTCAATATTCTATGAGTTTTTGTCTTTGAGACATAGATATTACTATCCAGTTGCGGCAGCGTAGAATATTTGTTTAAATCTTAATATTTCAGAAGGTAGAAGACCTGGATGCTACATATCTTGTATGCAGATACCTTATAGATATAAGAAGATGTGGTATGAGTGCCAATGAGAAAACTCTCCATCCAAGTCATAATTTATAAAAGTAAAACAGAAAACCAATGGTCTAATCTATATAAAAAACGAGAAACACTTATGAACCACATCAACAAACGACAACTACTGAACTTCAGATTCCTGACTTAAGATAGGTGCAAACAATTGCAGCGGGTTTAAATGTTTTAGTACCTTATGTTTAGTAAATAAAGGCAACAGTAGTATACTGCTGTTCGAAACTCATAAATCGATAGAGATAAAAACAAATTCGGGTTACAAACTAAAACTGAGGGAAACACATCAAATATAACAGGAGAACAACAACACAACAAAAATACAACATTAAAATGTAACACACACAGAAACGAACTATAATATAACAATGGCCATTTTCCTATCTTGGTACAGGACATTTTAAGAAAAAAATGGTGGGTTGAACCAGGGCTTCCAAAATTATTTTTAGCCAGCCGGACATTTTATATATTAACCCGATTTTAATCCCTTAAGACTAAATAAACAAAAGGCAATTATGGTATTTAGTTGCTGAGTTGGCCATCCCAATGATTGACATTAAAAAAAAAAATGATATTAAACTTTCTTTGATTCAAATTCGAAGTTCTGACGTAAACTGTTAAATTGGCAGTGCATCATTCGAAGTGTGCAACATCAGCGTACTTATATCTGCCTTAGACTCTTTATTTGTGCAAAATAACGTTGTCAAAAACTTTACATTCGTTAAAATCTTAAACCGGATGTTTTCTTGACAATGGTAAAACATGGACCAGAGACGGATACATAAATTATGTGTACGTTTGCAAAGCATGTATGAGTGTACTTAGCTCTTTCTACGTTATTTCTTCAAGAAAATATTCGAAATAAACGTGAGATAAAGGTATCAATGACAATTTAAGCATTTTTTGAAGAAATTAGAATGCATAATTAAATTTCACACCTGCGCCCATGCGCACACGTGTACTAGTTCAAACAGAGACATGTCTCTGGTTCAAACAACGTGGTTATGACGATTTTTCATTTTCACCTTTTTAATTTTTTCATCAAATCATATTTGTAAAAGTATTTCTGATAATTTAAATCTTTTTGACTAAATTAATTAGATGCAAACCGCTGAAATGTAAGAAAATAACTTTGAATAGACCGATCAATGTCCGGTTCAAAATAGTTTACCTGTCACCTGAACAGGTAAATTTCAGCTGTTCGACAACTAATTAGCCTTGATTAAAATGAGAAGGTATTAAAGTAGGGGTTGTTTTGATAGTACTTAATGATCATGTCACTTTTATGACCGGAAATGTGTGGCTGTTAAAGGCAAAAGGTTGGGTCAAAAAGATCGCGAATTATGTTAAAATGACCGTCTCTTAAGAAAGCCTTGAAAACTAAAAATTAGATGACCGTTTCATGCTTTGCCCAGCTGGACTTTTACCGGATATTATATGACCGTTTTGGAAGCCTTGGGTTGAACCTGGTTTTGTGGCATGCCAAACCTCCCGCTTTAATGGCAACGTCAAACATAACACCAAAACAACAACATCACATGACAGGACCACAATACAAATAAATAGGAGAACATATAGGACAAGGAAACACATGAATAATAGCTAACAAAAGGTACTAGTCCACTATGCTCTATACTCTGTTGGTTTGTCTGTCTGCATGTCAGCACTGCTATGGTTTGTGATATTGATCTGTTGATCAACAAACATAATGATAAATGCATACAATAATTTATAAAATTTAAGAAATTTAAATCAAGGAAATCATATATGATAGGAAAAGCAAGCCTTGGAATAAATATAACTGCGAGATATATATACTCCACATGTAGGAGCTGCTGGAATGTTGCTACATAGAAATGGAAAAGTCACAATTAGACAGCTGATAAAATCTCTTTTGTCTTAAAGTTGTTCTCAAGCGACCCTCATTGTCATTTTCTAGACATATGTCAAGATATCAGGGTGACTTAACTGTATCTGCTGTATCTTTATTTTATGTTCATTGCTATTGGGATAGATGTGTTCAACATAGTCACCAAAGTTGCATTATTGAGTAATAGGACATCATTTGTTTAGAAGAAAGTTAAGTTAAAGGATAATGCTAGCTTCTTTTCATCCTTGTATGAGGGAAATACATGTTTGCAAGAAGAGGGACACAGTTTTTTCGCATGGGAATGTCCATATTTTAGTAACATTAATAAGCTATCAAGCCATGTATAAGTCATGTTTTTATCAAGTAACCAAATTTCAATTAACTTGTTTACTCAAGGCAGGCTCCCTGTGATGGCTCCCATCTCTATCTTTTAGTTAAGTTGACCAGTTGTAGAAAAAAATGGTATATCTATATTTTGTGAATGGTGTAAGTGCTTAATATAAATATACTCAAGCATTTGTACATTTGGGTTACAAAAATAATAAAAATTAGAGGATGAAAATGTTCCCGCATTAAATATTAATTTATTTTTATTGTTTAGAATATAACAGTTTGTCTACATTCCAAATTACCTCTAATATTATGAGTATATATTTCTTTTAAAACAGCAAAGTGATATGGAAGAGAACAATGCATCTTTTCTCCAACCTATTCGTAAAATTGAAGCTAAAAGGAAAACTGAAAAGTTAAAGCTTCAACATCAAGATCACACAAAGAGCCCTGATAGTGAACCAAAATCAACAACTGAAGCAGGAAGTATTTCATCAAATCCAGAGGTGAAAGCATTTCATTTAAAACCAATTAGAACAATTGCAAAACAGAAAAAAGTAAATTTGAATCAAAATAAGGGTACATCTGCACAAGCTATGTCATTTAGTAGATACGATATTGGCCAATACAAGAAGAAAAGAGACAATGATACTTGACAATTTTATGTGTGTGTGTTTTATTTTATACTCGATAGAAAACTTTTTAATTAATATATCATGTACATAATTTTAATTTTTTAAATCACATTTTGTTTTGCTACATTACGTTTTAATCTTAACTGGCACAAAGTTTTGTTATCATCAGTTTGCTTGTATCATCATTGTGGGTTAACTGTAAAACAACGTTTGTCATTGGCCAAAATGCTTGAAAAATCATGAAAATTTCAACAAAATGTATTCATCTTTAGCTTTTACGACTTTTCCACATAGTAACAATGTATACTTAATTGTAAAGATTATTTTTACCAAGATTCAAAAACTTTCAAACTCATGATATCCAGAGAACAACTCTTTTTTCAACAATAAAAAACAACAAAGACAGACATTGAGTTATTATTAGCATACATGTAATTGAACAACCAGTGTTTTTTAATGTTTCAACCAGTATTTCATAATGTATACTTATTCTCATATTAAAGCAAAATAATTGTAATCATTTATTATTAAACTCATTAGCATATAAATGTATTCTCTTTATATAGTTTTAAGTTTGCTAAAAATATATCTAAAAGATGAGGCAATATTATACACTATGAATAAAAAGAGATGTTGGGTATAGGTCAATGGGACAGCAATGTAAAAAAATCCCATATAGCACCTTTTTATGTCACTTGGCCTTTAATATGGATTGAGAGACAATATATAAAATACACACACAAAAGTCATCTGGCATTGTAATGATAATGAGGAGAAAGAGGAGGAGGAGGAGGAGCCGATCAGTCTTTGCCCTTACTCTTAATTTCCATGTGCTTATTGGAGAATTAGCAAATATTAAATTTTTATACGACCGCAAAGCGGTCGTATATTGGTATGACGTTGGCGTCGTTGTCGTCGTCCGAAGACACATTGGTTTTCGCACTCTAACTTTAATTTAAGTGAATGGATCTCTATGTAATTTTACCATAAGGTTCAATACCACAAAAGGAAGGTTGGGATTGATTTTGGGGGTTATGGTACCAACAGTTAAGGAATTAGGGGCCAAAAAGGGGAAAAAAACAAGCTTTTTTCTAGTTTCAGGACATTAACTTGTGTGTAAGTGTATGGATCTTTATAAAATTGTACTACAAGGTTCCATATCACAATTGGAAAGCTGGGTTTGAGTTTGGGGGTAATTCCCTAAACGTTTAGGAATTTGGGGCCAAAAAGGGGCCAAAAAACAAGCATTTTTCTAGTTTCAAGACAATAACTCAAGTGTATGGATCTCTCTGAAATTGTACTGCAAGGTACCATACCAGAAAGGGAAGGCTGTTATTCAGTTTTGGGGTGATGAATCATAAGGGGATTCAAAAAATTTGGGGGGGGATTTTTTTTTCCTTTTTTTCCTTTTTTTTTTCTTTAAAATTTTCCATTTTAAATTGGTTATTTCTGATTTATATATAAAAGCAAATAATAATGATATGGTTTGAATAGGTAAATTAAAAATTTTTAAGTTCTTAGACCACATTCATTCTGTGTCAGAAACCTATGCTGTGTCAAATATTTAAGCACAATCCAAATTTAGAGCTGTATCAAGCTTGAATGTTGTGTCCATACTTGCCCCAACTGTTCAGGGTTCGACCTTTGCGGTCGTATCAAGCTGCGCCCCAGCGGAGCATTTTATTAATCTTAAGTTTGACCTGGCCTTGAATCAAACCCACAACCTCCCTCACTTCTACTAGTGAGTATGCTACCACAAGAGCATTGAGGTGTTTTATCAATGTTTTGGAGGCATTAATATTTTCAATTGATATTTATACAACTTATATCTATTTGAATTCTAATTCAATGTAATTTCATAGCAACTAGTTTCAATAACTAAGAAGAACAACATATAGAGTAAAGAGTGCAAAAATGCATGTTGCTCAATTTTTAAAAATAGTACATGCTTTGAAAAACAAATTACATTTAAAAATTTTAGCAAAAAATTCCTTTGCCCCCCAACCCCACCTTTTTTTAAATACAGATACAAATGTATAATATTATGCTGAATAATAGTAATCTCAGTAAAAGAGAGGCAAGAGATACCAAAGGGACATTCAAACTCATAAGTCAAAACTGACAACGCCATGGCAAAAATATGAAACAGACCAAAAGACATACAACAGTATACAAAAACAAAACACAAAATAGAAAATATTATGCAACAAAAAACTCTACCAGAATTTTAACGCTTGTTTTATTGGATTTTTCAGAGACATTAATACTTGTATTATAAATCTCTGGATTATTTCAGATTACTTTGGAACCAAATCTAAGCCATGACAGATTACATAAGACCAATTACAAATAAATTATCGATCATTCTTGAAAAAAAAACGCTTGGCCTATTAAAAGCGGCACTGGCATCAACAAATAGGGTGGTCACATCCAAAAGTTTTTATTCAACAGTAAAGAAAAATACATTTTGAGTTTCCTCTTTGATGAAACTGCTTGAATTAAGGCAAATCTGTAATAAAGTATAAACTACATCACAAATATTTTTCTAATTTCTCATGAATTCTGCTTGTAAAAATATACCAGAATATTGCCGTTTTAGATTTTAAGAAATATAAGAATCTATAGAAAATGACTGTGGGTAAGGGCCCTTGAAATAGCTATATTTCAGAATTTATTTTTTACCTTTGACAGGCAAATTCCTGATTTTTATTTGTTTCTCAGCACTAGTTGTTTATTAATGATTTTTTACAACTGACAAAGAGTTGTGACAATTAAAATATATACAATGTATGTTGGATAAATATTAACAGTGCATGATACGGCAAAAATACAAGGGGTATTAGAGAAAATCATGAAAACCACAGGTTTTTATACATTTAACTTATCAGGATTTTCTAATTTATGAGTCCATAGATTTGACAAAATATAAATGTAATTGAAAAATAAATGATTCGGTTGAAGCAACCATGAAAATGGACATAATCAAGGATTTAAACTACTTAATCAATTGATTTATAACAGTTTATTCCAAACTGATATGATACTTAAACATTGAATATTGAATCTTGAAATATGATTTTTTTTTATCAGAATTTAGCCTTTAGAAGTAAATTCTCTACATTCTAAAATTGAATCTTTAAATCTTGAATATCGGACTTAAAATCGTATATTTCGAAATAAGATGGTTAGTTCGGATTCTTTAAATTATCATTTTAGCCTCATAATCTTAATGAATTTAGTCTCAAATTTGAAGTGAACAGCATTTCGGGTTCATAAAATTTGGATAAACGATAGAAAACAGTAAATCACCAGTAAGATTCTTAAATAAAAGAACGAAAACACTTGTGAAAAGAAACTGAAACTAATAAATACAAAACTAAGGAGTTGCTTTTCAAGTTTTAGTAATTTAGAGTTCGGTCAAGAACAGCAGTGGTGTATGAATCAAATTGAATCAAAATTAAGTATACCTCAAAAAAAATATTTAAATTTTCAGTTACTTTAAATGCTTATAATCTAGACATAACTATATTGCTGATAAGAACATTGTATTTCGTTCTAATTTGTGTAGAAAAATGTACGGGGACAAAAAATGGCTGCTGACACCATCATATCTCTATTTGATTCATCTGTAAGATCGAAAGTGAGAGTTGGATGTTGGGGCTGGTACTGGTTTAGTTGGAGAACATGTACGTATGTTTTTTTTATTCCTCAGGAAATGTTTTACCGTTGTCTTATCCTCCAAGGCTGTTTACATTTACATTCTTTCCGTATAATCAATATACATAAAACATAGAACAGAATCCAAATACAAAAAGGCCTAAACAGAAAAGCAAAAAAAAAAAATGAAAAAAAGGGCATATAGGCCTAAACACAAAAGCAATATGGACCTAAACACAAAAACTAAAACGATCTTAATAGAAAAGCGAAAAAAGTTCTAAACATAAATGCAAAATGGTCTAAAGAGAAAAGTGACAAAGGCCTATAAAGAAATGCAAAAAAGGTATAAACAGAAATGCAAAAGAAGTCTAACCAGAAAAGCAAAAAAGGTCTAATAGAAAGGTATAAACACAAAAGCAAAAAAGGCCTAATTACAAAAGCAAAAAAAAGCATAAACACAAAAGCAAAACCTAAACACAAAAGCAAAAAATGCAAAAGCAAAAAGGACAAAACAGAAAGACAAAAAGGCTTAAACTGAAAAGCAAAAAATCCAAAACAGAAAAGCAAGAAGACCTTAATAGAAAGCAAAATAGGCCAAAGCAGAAAAGCAAGAAGGCCTAAACAGAAAGCGAAATAGGTTTGACAGAAAAGCAAAAGAAGTCTAACCAGAAAAGCAAAAAAGGTCTAATAGAAAGGTATAAACACAAAAGCAAAAAAGGCCTAAACACAAAAGCAAAAAAAGCATAAACACAAAAGCAAAACCTAAACAAAAAAGCAAAAAAGGCCAAAGCAGAAAAGCAAAAAGGACAAAACATAAAGACAAAGAGGCTTAAACTGAAAAGCAAAAAATCCAAAACAGAAAAGCAAGAAGACCTTAATAGAAAGCAAAATAGGCCTAAGCAGAAAACCTAGAAAGGCCAAAACTGAAAAGCCAAACCAGAAAAGCAAGAAGGCCTAAACAGAAAGCGAAATAGGTTTAACAGAAAAGCAAAAAGGCCAAAACTGAAAAGCAAAAAAGCCGAAACAGAAAAGCAAGAAGGCCTAAATAAAAAGCAAAATAGGCCTAAACAGAAAAGTAAAAAGGCCAAAACTGAAAAGCAAGAAGGCCTTAACAGAAAGCGAAATAGGCATAAACAGAAATGAAAATAAAATATATTCACTTAGGATTCGGGTGGTGACTTTATTCAATGCGCTGTAAATTGGGGGACAAAATACGGAAAATATCACAATGCAGAGGATGTTGTTTCATATCTGTTTCAAACGTCTGCCTCATATCTTGACCTTCATCTAGAAATTGACAATGATGGTCTGTTAAAAACAAAACTTTACGACAAAAGAGATGATTTCAGCTCCCCAATTGTGAACTTTCTATTTGTTTGTAGCAACATTCCAGCAGCGCCTGCATATGGAGTATATATCTCTCAATTGATACGATATTCCAGGGCTAGTATTTCCTATCAAGATTTCCTTGATAGAAGGTTGCTGCTCACAAGGAAACTATCAAACCAAGAGTTCCAATTGATGAAGTTGAAATCATCCGTTCGTACATTTTACGGACGCCATCACGAGTTGGTTAACAGTTATGGAATATCTGTTTCACAGATGACGACGGATATGTTTCAATTGTCGTAACTACAATCCCGTCCTCTTTTTCTCGAATGTGACCTACCGAATTAGACCTATCACCGGGTTTGTACTAACATGAGCAACACGATGGATGCCATATGCGGAGCAGGATCTGCTTACCCTTCAGGAGTACCCGAGATCACCCCCAGTTTTTGGTGGGGTTCGTGTCGCTCAATCTTTTGTTTCTATGTTGTGGTTTATGTACTGTTGTTTGTCTTTTGGTCTTTTTTTTTTGCAATGGCGTTGTCAGTTTATTTTCGACTTTTGAATTTGAATGTCC